TCTACAATCATTATGCGCTATCAATCGTTGAGCAATCAATATCAGAAGGAGAAAAACTTTAGCACAGCCTTTAAAAATCTGTTTGTAAGATAACCCAAAAAATATATTACGCCTCGAGGATATCAATCGCTTGTATTACGCTGCCTCATCAACATGTATTGATGTATGATCTTGAAAATAAAATGTATATGTCAAATTATATTTAAATTTTTTTTCACTTTTAACAACGCAAAGAAGGCTTTCCAGACTTTTCATAAAATTTAATTTTGATCTCATCGGATTCCACAATCTAAATAGTGACTACATCACACTTTCGAAAACGAAAGTGCAACGTATGAAAGTCACGATTACGTAAATACAAGCTAGTACAAGTTGGTAGATTCATAAATTATATAGGGTCTACGTATGCGGGAGGGGGGAAGGCGAGAGCCTCAGCACGAAGACGTTAACGATCATTGCCACCATTGTGAGCGATCACAAAATAGACATATCGATTGTTCGGCATTTATGCTTCCCGTCGAGTTCTTGCCATTCGATTAATTTTCACTCTAACTGAAACATTTCGTCTTTGCAATATGATCAAATAAAAGATTAATCAGTACTTCTCGTTTTAGGTTTCTTCCCAAAAATATTCATCTTTAATTAATCCTAATATTCACATGCGTTTTTTTATAGTCCTACATTGATATCCACCTTTTATCACAGATCTTCAAATATACAAAATTTAAGTATGCAAAATCAGGATAATATAGAACGCACAATTTAGCAATGAGGAAACGATTTATTGCGCTTCTCATATTATATTATCCCAAGCAAGGGCTATCGTAGAAAATGCCGTTTCTCGAAACTGGAAACGAGCAAAGACACTTTAATTGGAGAAATGGTGGTCAGTATCTCGCCACGCCTCACTCTTCTCTTTTTCTTCCTTTCTCTGTTACGCATTTACTGTAAAAAATGACCGACGGATATAAGCGACATAGCGTACTAGCAAGCCTTTCATTCCAGATATATAACGTCAAAAGGTGAGCAACCTCTATGACAGGTTGTATGTGCACACGTAAAATAACGCTTAACATTTATGTAATAATGTCAATCATCTATTCGATTCTTAGAGATATACATGTTCAAAAGAAGTACTCGTCATTGAATCAATGATAACATTGCGGAAAATAAATGCATTGATAAAAACTATCAGTCTATCTGCACATCCTTTCAAATTTAATACCACAGATTACAATAACGGTTTTTCGTTTAGTTTAAAGAAAATATTAACTTCAAGCTGATTGAGAACTGACTTGCAGTTTCGATGATACAGTAACCAATTAAATTGGAGTAAACATTATCATGACGTATGAGATAACCAACGAATAAAAACGACGCTTCTTCGCGATATCAGTAGTAATCGTCATCGTGCGTCAGCAAGAATTGTCACGCTATGGAATAGCTCTATCCATTTTCTTTACACATGTTAATGATATACGATATACGGATAATAATTTAAACGTTATTAACTTAACGAAACGAATAACGACACTTTTGATTAACGTGTAAGCAACGTGAAAAATGGCAGAGGAGAACATTATTTTGGACAAACATTTACTCGAGTATCTACAAACATACGTAAGAAACATAAATTTGGAGGCACCTACATTTTATGTAACTAGAGCTTGCAAAAAAGGTGACAATTTCGTTGGACTCGTTTATAACGTGAGAATCGAAGGTATTGAAAATGACAAAATTAAGAATATTAACGTTATTTTAAAGACACCAGTGTGCCTGTCGCACAATCTTGTACAGTCTGTATCCCTGTACAAACGTGAAATATTCTTCTATCGGGAAATATTACCTCTTTTTAAAGAAACTTTAAAAAAACACGGTGGAATCGCTGATTTATTTCCCACGTTTTACGATGCTCATGAAGAACCCAAAAAAGAGGTAAATAACACAAATTATGGACTAAGAGAAAAGTTACATATTTTCTAGACAAAATTCAAAACTCAAGAAAATTTTAAAAAATTATCATTAACTAGGATTATTCTGTCATGACTGACAATTATTTCTTTTTTCTTTTGAGATTTAATCATTACCTATTATTCTTTCTATACAGGGTGTCTCATTTTTAAAACGCACCTCGATAATTCTTCAACAAAGCATTTTCAGCATAAATGTTTCGGACAAAAGTTGTATGATTTCAAGGCGGACATGAAACGACTATATCGTTTTGTTTACGAATGGCACCACTTTCGAGATATTCACTGATCATTACTTTTCTTAAATGGAAATCCCAATTTTTTATTATATTATATTTTTCTACTAATTAATCTTAACAACTTTTGTCTGAAATATTTTTTTATTTGCCTAATATTTTTTGAGATATTTAAGGAAAACTTGATAACTTTTTCAATATTTAACTTACGATATCTCGCTAACTAGTTGTCGGAAGAAATAGTCTCAAGAATATATTGTATTTTTACAATAGTGCCCTGACTTTTGTTAACTTGCTGATATTTGGAAATTTCAAAATCATCAATTAACCAAATTCAGGGAGCTATTGAAACAATATATTCTCAAGACTAAATAAAGCAAAAAAGTCTAGTATCACTTTTTCTTCCGACAAATAGCGAGATATCGTGAGTTAAATATTGAAAAAGTTATCAAGTTTTGCTTAAATATCTCAGAAAATATTAGGCAAATAAAAAAATATTTCAAACAAAAGTTGTTTAAATTAATTGATAGAAAAAGATTGTGCAATAAAAAATTGGTATTTCCATTTAAGAGAATTAATAATTAGTAAATATCTCGAAAGTGGTGCCATTTGTAAACAAAATAGTATAATTGTTTTATATCCCTCTTGAAATCATATAACTTTTGTCCGAAACATTTTTGCTGAAAATGCTTCGTTAAAGAATTATCGAGGTACGTTTTTTAAAATGGGACATTTTATATATATATATATATATATATGTATTTACGATACACGATAAAATATTGCTGTAAATCGTTTCAATAAAATCGATTTATAAATCTATAAATTGAACAAAATGCACTATATAAACATTTTTATTAGAATAAAATGTATCAATTTCAACAGACACCGAGTTCGACTTTTTGCATATGTATACGCGCGCAATATATACATATATATATACTCTTGTTTTTAAAAATTATCAAATATAAGATATAATCTGATTCACCTTTACATTACAGCGATATTTTCGATAGTAATTAATTCACACTTAAACGTTAACGAAATAACCTCTTATATTCAGAAAAGTCCATTGTATGCTGAAAGATGTCTTCGTAAAATATGCTAATTATTTTAGAATTTAATCAATTTCAGTACATTGAGACTCGTACATCAAAACAAATGTTAAGAACTTTATTTCTAAATTGAAAATTCTCTTCTTCTTGAAAAAACTTCTCTTTAAATTGAATTTCCTGTATAATTTTCTGCTTAAAATTATTAACGTATTTAAAATTTCATGTAAAGAAAAAGTAATTACTACTATATTTATGTTACATCTTCCGCAATTTTCGATATTACTTCTATCGTCTATATTTATTCGCACAACAAAGATAGATAAACGGCAACTGTTTTGTAATTAAATCATTCGTAAAACTATATAGATTCGTTGAAAAGCTTGACTTATCAAATTATATAATATATTTGGTATGTCTGGTATTTTATCTTTATGGAAGAACAGATTAAAACAATTAAATTTATGAGATCTTATTTTGTTAGATGAAAAGACGGAACGTCTTTCACGAATAAAAATATCATTATGGAGTAATATTTGACTATACTAAACAATTATTATAAAAATTTAAGTAATATAATTTTTTTAACAATTCATGATATAATATACTTTCCAACAACTTTCTAACGTCTTAATTATGTTTAAAAAAAAATTTTTAATTTCAAAAATGTCTTACAAATTTGTTATATAAATATATAACAAATATTTCTTTACGAAGTCTTTTCAATATACATACTCGTATTGTCTAGGTTATTTAGATATTTAGATTCATGTTTTTCAAGAACTACTAACAACAGTAAGAATAAATGTTTTCAAAATGCATAAAAAACTATAACAATGATGAATTTTTCGTAGGTCTTGGTACTAGAAAACTTAATGCTCAAAGGATTCACGATGAAAAGCTCGAGAATTATGGATTATCCGCATGTTTCCTTGACACTTCGAAGTTTAGGTGAATTTCATGCATACAGTTTTATTACACGTGTCGCTGATCCGATAAACTTCAATAAGTTAAAACAAATGAAGGAACCATTATTCTACCATATCTTAAAATACAATAATGATGAATATATTAATTATCTTTGCACCACCGTTGGAAAGGTACTTCTTATTTCGTTAATCATTTAATCACACCTGTGTATCCTCCCATTCAAACCTATATTTATAATTTATTTTCTTCCATTTTGTCATGTATAGGCTTTAATAGGCGAAGAAAAACATTATGTCGAAAGGTATCAAAAATTCGTAGATAATATTCTACATAATTTAAACGATGTAGTAGATGGGAACGCTGCCGAACCCTATACCGTTGTAAATCACGGTGATGCTTGGACCAACAATATATTGTACAAGTACGACGAGGTATGTCAAATATATATGATCTATTAACACGTTTACTAACATCACATATATGTAACGCACTAATCTCTTACAACAAACACTAAGGATATGTATGTGCGCGCGCGCGTGTGTATGCATGCGTGTGTGTACATATGGGTATACGTGCATGCGCGCACGTGTGTGCGTGCGTGCGTGCGTGCGTGCGTGCGTGCGTGCGTGCGTGCGTGCGTGCGTGCGTGCGTGCGTGCGTGCGTGCGCGCGCGCGCGCGTGTGTGTGTGACAGTGAAAAGCTTTATTTCTATATAGGGTGCTAAATTTCAAAGACGTCAAATATTTTGAAAACAGAATAATATGATCAAAAAATACAATTCTATTTAAAAAAATATTGACCTTTATTTTAGCTTGACGTCTTTATTCAAAATCAACTTTTTTTTAATTAAAATGTATTCCCTTTGTAACAATATAATCTAAAAAAAAGAATCTCGATATCATTTAATTTTTGGGATATTTCACTTTTTACATTTAAAATTTAATATTCTATAGATTTGAGTCGCTTTAGACGACGCTTACACATTCGCTTTAGACGCTTTCATGCTGAAAGTATCATCTTATCTTCTTCCAATATGTAATAAGCAATAAAGATAGAATGATATTATCAATAAAGAAACATAAAAAACAAACACAGTTTTGGTGCCAATATGATTTGAACACCTTTCTTTTCAATCTAATTCGATCTGGTTTCTCTCATTAAGCCATTAGTTGTAAACTCATTCAAATAAATTCTAAACTCATTCAAATAAATTATATTTAAAATTTTTTTTCGAAAACGCAGTTTGCATCGTCATAAAGTTCAAATCTTCCCCTTTAATTTGAAAACAAAAATTGAGTCGCTACAATTTTTTTTCGCAAAGTTACAGCCCTTCAAAAATATCGTACGGAGCCGTGGAGAATACGGAGAGAGTTTGTTTGCCGATGCTAAGAATATTGGCTATGGTCCAAACACGAGCCAGGAGCTGAAAAACATGCGCGCATGCTTGCGTGCGTATGTCAATAATCACTTTTGCCGTTGCTCCACTATGATTTCCAGTCACTTAATCCGCCGGCTGGTACTTGGCCCGAAAGTCAAAAACAACGATATGTTTGAAGGGCTGTAATTTTGCGAAAAAAAATTGTAGCGACTCCATTTTTTTTCACATTGAAGGGGAAGATTTGAACTTTATGACAATGCAAACGGCGTTCCCGAAAAAAAATTGTCCATGTCCGTGCATTCCGTCAAACTTTGCAATTTTCAGTATACCAAACATGCCCTCAGATGTCAGGGATTATAGGAGTTATAGGGGTTATAGGGGTAGAGATGTATCGCATGCAAAAAATGGAAATACATTTTTAAGCTAGAGACTTCAAGCTTCATATTAAAAAAAATATCATTAGTCTATAACAATAATTTTTCGCGAAGTAATCGTTCAGTCAAAGTTGGCCAATTTTCGGCAATAAATTATCTATGCCATAATTCTTTTGAGCAGTATATTCTAAACTACATTAAGTAAAGTATTCAAACCATATTGTAATCAAATGTACATAAACCACTTAAGAATCTATTTTATATTATTACATAAAAAATTACAAGATGATTTGTGAAGGTGATTTTCTAACACTCCATGAATCCTAATCATCCGTGGTAGCGAACATGTTAAAAGCATTCCTTGATTAAATAAATTTCTTGATCAAATAAATTCCCTGATCAAATCTCTGCTAAAATAATTCACCTGAGATGTACATTCAAGTTGATTTCTTTTTCAAGTGCTTTAGACGAAAATTATTTAAGAAAATTACATTTTAAGTAAATATTTCCGTTATGTTTTAAATAAAATTTTAAGTATTTCATAAAATATATACAAAACTATAAATATAAAAGTACAATATAAAACTATTTCATACAAATAATGAAGATCATTTTGATATCTTCAAAAAGTTATATATGACTAATATCAATCATTTACATCATATTTTAAATATTCTCTTAAAAGAAAGCAACTTCCTCTTCTTAGATTCGCCTCAACAGCATTCCAAAAAGAAGGGAACGCAAATGAATAACTCAGGGTAGAAATAAATGTACAATTTAATTAATAAATTAATTGTTTCTAATTCTATTTCAATATAGCATTATCTAATATAATCTCAATCACGTGTTGTTTCAGAAATCGCAGGAATGTTCCCAGGAGAAAATACCATGTGATTTGCGCTTCTTAGACTTTCAAATATGTCGTTACGCATCGCCCGTTTTAGATATAGTTTACTTGCTCTTTTGCTGCTGTACGCAGGAAACAAGAAGTAAATATTACAATCAATTAATAGACGAATATTACGAAACACTATCTAAACGCCTAGAAAGGTCCGGTTACGATTCTAATATTCTCTTTCCTTACGAAGTATTATCCGAACATCTTATAAAATTCGGAAAATACGCAGCAGGAATGGCTATTTTTACTTTACATATATTTACCGACAATAAAGGTGAATATACGGATATAACATCTTCTCATGACCAGAACAAATTAGAAGAAAAAGTACAAAATGATAGTTTTTATAGATATATGGTAAAAGGCACTTTCAAAGATCTCGTCGATAAAAATTATATATAAATATATATTTGTATATTTATATATATTGTCTTAATTAATATATTACGGCATAATGTTTTAAGATGTAAGATAATATGTTTTGAAGATTCAATAAAACACCAAAAATATTTACTCTTCTACTATGAAAAAAGAAATGTATAGCCATGTCTGTATTAAGGAGATATTAAAGCGACTACCAAACTTAGAAATACACTCTTACCAAATAGAACTTAAAAAATTTGTTAGTAACATGTCAATAACAATATCAAAATTATTGACGTTACCGATCTGGGATAAATATAGTATAATAAGTTACTGAAACTCAGAAAAAAATTATCTATACAGAGTGTCCGGTAATTAGCTGCCAATCCGAAGTGTGAAGATAGATTGGGTTAAGACAAACATAAAAGTCCCATACCATTTTGCGAGATTCACAATAATTATCGAGTTATTAATGACAGAAATCTGAGAAGTGGGAGCGCGCCGACATAAATGATTGGAAAAGTGTTGGGGCTGCTCAGACTACAGCGCAGCCCAGTCGATCCAGAAACTGTTGCCGGTGCACGGTGAGGGAAAGGACAACGCGCCGATATTCGTGTTTTATTTCGCTGCACCTACATCTCGCCGCACGCCGCCAATAGTTGCTAGGTCGATTGAGCCGCGCTATGGCCCGAGCGGTTGCGACGCTTCTCCAATCATCCATCTCGCACGCTCATTCGTCAGATTTCTATAATTAATGTATCTATTGCGAATATCGCAAAACAGTATTGAACTTTCATGTTTGCCTTAATCTGTTCTATGTGTTTCCATGAATTTTTCGTACTAAATTATGAGATACCCTGTATATTATTTTAGTATATGAGACTCATCAATTTAATAAGGTGATAAATTTTAATAATATTTTAATATGATTCAATATTTTAACTTTGTTAATCATTATTAATAAACTTGGTGATAACACTGTTTGTTATATAACTACTTGTTTGTTACATAACAATAGTTAAACAAATTTTGGGATTTCAAAGGAAAATATGAACAAAACGATCGTTTGAATTTCTAACTTTATTTGTTCAATAACTTTTGTTTTTTATAGGATTACAGAAATGTCATTTAAATTCTTAAAATGTTGATGTAGAAGTCAAATTATATCTAATGGTTAGGAAGCAAAACCCGTTAAACTTGGCTTCATTGCCGGGACTAATATTTTATATTAGAGGTATGCAAAAGTTTCCATCGTTTTTAAGGCAATATTCTTTTATTAATATTATAAATAACATAGTATATTTAATCAAAATATTTCCCGCCATTATCTACTACTTTTTGCCATCTTTCAGGCAAAAGATGGATACCAGAGATGGATAAAAGAAGTCTTTGCTCTTAAAATGAATGAAGTTATTGATGAATTGTTGCACTTCCTTAAGGGAGAATTACATGTCATTTTTAAGGCTACTTTTACGAATGTTTTTAACAAAAACGGTAAGATCAATAGACTTGAAATTTTCACAGTGTCTTCATTAATGTTCAAAGTATAAAATAAATTTTATTGAATCACAAGAACCGATCCAATTTGTAATTATACATAAAAATGCAGTCATCCGTTTGCGAGCTCTATGTTTGCTGTCAACATAATTCCAGGCCTCTCACTACTCTGAAACCAAAAAATGAGAAAGATTTTTAAAATATACGGTTGCCATTATAGCCCATACCAAAATGAAGGCAGTGAAGTCAAGTTTGGAAAAATAATGATTGTAGAAAAAAAAGTATCGAAAATGAAACTTTTTTTCAACTTGTAATCATGTTTAAAAAATAAATAAAATAAAATATAACTGTGTTCGAGGTAGGGGCGAAAATTACATGTCTACTATATATTGTGTAAAAACTTCGAGTTATTTGGTTCAGTAGTTTTTGCGTAATCATATCGATAGTTTAAGAAAATGTTGTTTCCAGATAAACACGTTTAAAGTTTCATGTGTACTTTCCATATAGATAATAACAAATTTATTTTATACTCTGGACATTAATGAATACACTATGAAAATTTTAAGTCTATTGATCCTACCGTTTCTGCTGAAAAAAAATTCGTAAATGTAGCCTTGAAAACAGCCTGTGCTCCGCATATAATAGGGACCTAACGATACCTTCAAATATATATGTCCGTGAAGCTACCACAGCGTTTGCTCAGTGCGCGTGCGCGACTTTTCCCACGACTTGTCATCACTGGTGGTAACAAGTAGTTTTTACAGAATCAGTAGTGGTGATAGCAAGTTTATCAATAAACAATGAGTAACCACTGTGTAGTGCTGTTACGTTAAAAGGTTAAAAGTAATTTTCTGTCTGTAATTTTTTAGTACACATATTTAATCACTTTAAATGCAACTGTAACAATAACAGAATATTTCTTAGATAATTAATAATAAATATAACTCATACTTTTTATGATTAACGTATGAATACATGTAGAATACACTTGCATAAGATAAGCGACATCCAACTGTGAAGAAAAGTTAGGTTAAGTTAAGCGTCGATCGACACGTTCACGGGCTCAGCACTGAGCGACAAACGTGTTCAGAGTCGCCACCTATACAGGTCTGATGGAACTGCACATTTTGACGACGAATTTTCGAACGTGATAGTTTTTCACGATTTCGTACTTTGAACTAAAATATTTCGACTTACAGTGCACGTAGGACAAAAGTAAAGACAGTTTTGTTATGTAAGTCGACCCCAAGGAATCCATTGAGCTCACTTAGAACTCGATCAGATTATAGTCGTTTGGATGATACGATAATCTTGCCTCCGATCAACTAAGTGCTTCGCGTAAAGAGACCCGGCCGGTCTCGCGGCCCGTGCGCGTCGTATCGGTCTCATGTGCACTTGGCGCGAGACACTGCCGTGTCTCTTGATGAATCCTAAAACTTCTATTTGAGTCATTGTTTAACTTTCAGATGACTCCTAGAAATCACGTTACTCCTTAACATGATAACATATTTGAATGTAAAATTTCCCGCTCTTTCCAAATCTGCGGTCAAAAATAGGGGTTTCTATTAAGAAAAACAAAGTTGAACTTCAAATGACCTTGAAAATGCCTTTCAAGGTCAAAGTCAAGATCATCATCAGTTGACCCCCTATAAACCCTATAATTTTTCTTTTGGACATTTAAAAATGTCGATATTTCCATAATCTTCGAAGTTATTAGTGTGGATAAGTCAAAATGGTCCACCCTATATATTACATGTAATTAAATTTATACATATTGCATAAATAATAGAAATTAAAAAAATATATAATAAAATAATATAATAAAGTAAATAATAATATAATAATAAAACTTTGCAAAATAATCCAATTGGATTCTACCTTTTTTCCGTTTCTTCCAGCGTAAATATTAGCTTAATATATAGGATTTCATCGTTAAGTTTGTTCATTGTTACTAAATTTTTTCGGTTAAGAATATCAATAATAAACAATAGAATCAAAAGTAAATTATATTAAATATAGAATTGTGTTAAGTATTTAACCCAGTATTTATGGTAAATGTTAAAATTCAATAGTGTTATTTATTTAGTATTTAATTATTATTATTGTTATTATTCCTATTACCACTTTATCGAAAATAAAATTTTTTAATTAAAGAGTTGTAAGAAATAATATTTGTGAAAATAACTATACAACTTTTATAAAAACAAAATTGTTCTTCTGTATTCACTAAAGAATTCTTAGTCAAGGAAAGACGTGCAACATCTTCTATAACAATGTAAAAAAGGAAGAAAAATTATATAAATCATACTTATTTACATTTGTCAATATTATTAACATATCATTAGTTTTGTTTATGAATACATTGAACTTCATCGAATTCATATTTTGATAGTATAATTCAAGGCAAAGTAGAAACTCTTTATAAGAAATATATTTTAAAATGAAATGTACAATTTTTCAAATATACAAAATAAAGACCATCTACTATACCATATAATAGAAAAAGAACATATTTAGGTTAATGAAACTTTTGTCTGACATTAATTTCTTTTTTTTAATAATAGGGTCTTCTCGGATTATTCTGAAAAGAAGAAATACAATGTTCGAGATAAACACTTGAATATCTGTGAACGTTATTATATAATTATTTTCTTAATAATCATAATACTTACTAATGGATTAGGCCTAAATCTATATGCAAGCATCATTCTTTTCCTATACGCATCAAATTCATCATCGTCCCTGGATACACCATCTGGTCTTTCAGCTCCTAGACCTGCACTATCGAGTCTATTTGTTGCTCTAAAATTATATTTACTAATTAAAGACTCAAAGTTATTTAAAAAGGACTTAACATTAAGAAACAATATACAAAATGTCTAAAAATCCAAGACATACTTATCATATGCAGATAAATTGGATCGAAGTGAACAAAAACTTTATTTCAATTTGCAACCAATCACCAAACCAAGAAGGAAATGAAATTTCAAAATATTAGTGAGAAAAAATATACTAATAAGTGCGCGTAATGCGATGAGGCGAACTTTGTAGATACAATTTCATTAAAAATGGCTGCGATTTGTTAACTGTTTTTTTGCAACGGAGAATATAGGCATGCATAATATTCGCGTACGGATGTTTACATATTGTACCTTTCATCGCTATTTAATATTCATTATTGCTAACAGGTAATCAACACAAGTCTGTTATTTTCAATATAATTATATTTACAAAATTCATCTCACCGCATTATATGCATACATTAGTTTTTCTTTCATGAATATCTCAAATTTTCAGATGGTTGCTTGCAAAATGACACAGAAATTTTCAGTTTAACTAAATTTACCTGCACGCCACAAATGTGCCTTAAATTTTCAAATACTTTATATGTAACAGCAAACTTACTTATTGACTGGCTCAATACGGCCACTACCTTCGCTGCCCAAACCTTGTCCTTCGCTCCATCCAAGCTTTTGTAACATTTGGAAGCCTATAAATAAAAAAATATTACGAAATTCTATAAGATAAACGATATTTTAGAAAAATATATTTTTTCGGCTTTAAAATCAAAGTTGGAAATATAATTTTTACCTATACAGGATGTTCCATAACTCAATATAAGGAATTTGTGAAGACAGAACGAATTAAGATAAATATAAAAGTCACATACCATTTTGCAATATTCGCAATAAGTATCGAATTATTAATTACAGAACTCTGATGAGTAAGCGCACGCCGAGATGGATAATTGGAGAAGCGTCGTAACCGCTCGGACTGCAATACAGTCGATCAAACAACGGCGCACGACGAGATATAGAAGAAGCGAACTAAAACTAGCCGAATAGCAAGGCAATGTCTTTCTTCTTGCCACGCACCGGCAAAAGTCCTTAGATCGACTAAATCACGCTCTTGCCCAAGTGGCTACAATCATACATCGCGGCGCACGTTCGCTCTTTAGATTTCTGTCTCATTTATTCTGTCATTGATAACTCGATAATAGAGATGTGCGAATCAAGAATTTTTATGTCGAATCGAATCGAATCTCATTTTTTAAATTCGAATTCGAATCGAATCTATGAAATTTCACTCGAATTCGAATCGAATCGAATGAAATCGAATCGAATCATTAAAAAATTTAACATGACTATTAAACATGCAAATAATGATGGAAGATTTTAATATAAAAGGGAATATTGATATTGTAATATATTTAAAGTAATTTATAATTAAGTTATTAATTATAAGTTAAGTTAATTACAAGTTAAGGGTTCAAACATACAGAACCAGATGGCCCGTTTTATAGCTGATGCACGCAAACGATAATGTATTTGATTCCTATTCGAATTATTCGGATTCGAATCATAGGGATTCGGATTCGAATCGAATCACATTAGATTAGATTAGATTAGATTCGATTCGAATAGTTCGCACATCTCTACTCGATAACTATTGCAAATGTCGCAAAAAAATATAGGACTTTTGTTTTATGTTTGTTTTAATCCGTTCTGTCTTCACGAATTCCTCGTACTGAATTATGGAGTATCCTGTATATTTAACCGCTTCGTTGGTATTGACGCACTTTTGCGTCAAAATAAAGACGTGCCATAAATGGCATTGACGCACTAATGCGTACATCGTTTATTTTTTATTGACTGGTCCAATTTTCGTAATAAATTGGTACTCTAAGGTTTTTGAGATTACTGAATAAGAATTTGAGGTCAAAATATGGGAATTCAAAATAACGGATCCAAAATATTTCTTTATTAAATTTCTAAAAGAAATCTAGTTGCTATATTACATATACTATCTTGAATTTTAAAGTTTTAAACTCAAATTCGTTTTTAGCCTGTTTTTACCTGAAAAACCTCTAAATATCAAGTTTCACAATAATCACAATTTCCTTTTTTTGACTACCATACTGGATCCGCCATTTTGAATCTTTAAATTCATATTCAGCAATTTGGAAAACTACATATTAAATTTCATGAAAAATCAGATACATTTTTTGATCGCCATTTTGGATTCATTTCATTTTAAATTTTCATATTTTGACTTCAAATTCGTAATCAGCTACCCGAAAAATATTTACCGCCGTTTATAAAAATCAAGCATGATTTATATACTGCTATTTCGGGTCAGTTGATGCTATTTCTCAGTGCCAACAAAATGGTTAAGAGAATGTCAGAATTTTACTGGACACGTAAGCGGACGCCGTAAGAGATTTATGACAAATTGTGTTTTTAATGTACAATTTATAAATCCTTTTGCACGATTAAAATACACACTGTAGTGCCCTACTGAAGTGCAAACTTCATACCAAAAAAACATTTATATGTTTGTAACTATCTTCTATAACAATATATGGTTTATACAGGATGATTCAAGACTTCTGCTATAAACTTCGAGGAACCATAGCTCTGGCAGGAAGAAATATTTGTCAAGCAACCCATGTTTCTAATATGTCATTTAGGTGCTACGCGACCGCGAAGGTCTTACAAAAACGCATAGAAATGTTCTTTCTTAATTTTGATGAGCTTAAAATATGTTGTAATCTAGACCGAAATAAGGGACACGAATTTTTTTATATATATCCAATCGACCTTTTAAAAAGTGAAATGACTTTGAAAAAAGTCAGTACTTTTCTTTTGGAGAATGTATCATACACACACACACACGCACACACACGCACGCGCACAAACATATACACAAGTATAAGGAATAGAAAAAAACTTTCCGAAGAAAAATTTAGTGATTTAAAAAGTACTTTATAACGACGTTTTTATTCCTTTTAATGTTAAAATTTTAAATATATAGGGTGTTTGAAAGCTTATCATGCAGACGAAAGTTGGAGATAGATTGGGTGTAGCCGAGAAAAAAAGTCATGTACCATAATGTCAAATTGGCAATAGTTACCGAATTATTAATTAAAATATATGAGCCAATGAGCGCGTAGAGAGCGCTTGGCGGCCGCCTCTTGTCGCTTGCACCTCTTGTCGCTTGCGCTCGCTCGCTCGCTCGTCGTTCGCGCCCGCTCGCCTCTTGTCGCTTACAATTGCCCCTCGCCGCGCACGCTCGCCTATCGACACTCGTTGATTCCGCCTATACCAAATGTCTACGTGTTTACCGCAGCCGCCCAGCGCTCTCTACGCGTTCATTGGCTCACATGTCTCAATTAATAACTCGATAACTATTGCCAATTTGACATCATGGTACATGACTTTTCTTCTCGGCTACACCCAATCTATCTACAACTTTCGTCTGTATCATGAGCTTTCAAACAACCTGTATAACCATCACTTACCAATTTTTTCCTGTTCCACAAGAATATATTGTTACAATAGTGTCCTAACTGTTATTAACTTATCGATCTTTGGCAATTTCAAAATCATCAAATTAACAAAAGTCATGGCGCTATTGTAATAATATATTCTTAAGATCAAATAGAGTAAGAAAGTCTAATACTGTTTTTTGTTCGGACAAATAGTTAGTGAGATATCGTAGGTTAAATATTGAAAAAGTTACCAAGTTTCTCTTAAATATCTCAAAAAATATTAGACAAATAAAAAAATGTTTCAGATAAGAGTTGTTCAAATTAACGAGTAGAAAAAGATGATGTAATAAAAAATTGGGGCTTCCAATTAAGAAAAGTAATGATCGGTGAATATCTCGAAAGTGGCGCAATCTGTAAACAAACAAACTGATATAGTTGTTTCATGTACTCCTTGAAACTACACAACTTTTGTCTGAAATATTTTTCGATTTAACGCAGTGTTTCTGAGATATTTGAGTAGATCCTTTAAAATGGGACACTCTGTATATTTCCACACTTTGCTTTTATGAAAAGGTATATATTCGCTCTCTGAAATTAAAATGTTTTTTATAAGAAGTTTGTATATCTATTTTTGTAACATGTGACATAACTGCTAAGACGAAAGCAGTACACAGAGTTGCAAGTTTGTCTATATGAAATAGACATACAGGGTGCTAAATTTCAAACGTAACAGGTAAAAAATCTCGAAAACAATGAAAGATATTAAAAAAAGCTAAAACACGTGTTCCATGATTTCGAAGGGGAAAGAATGGGCATTATCAGTTTTTTATTTTGAGGGCATTTTCAAGATCAGTTGAAGGTCAACTTAATTTTTTAAAATAGAAAGCCCAATTTTTTATTATCTCTTCTTTTTCTACCAATTAATTTTAACAACTTTTGTCTGAAACATTTTTTTATTTGCCTAATATTTTTTTAGATATTTAAGGAAAACTTGATAACTTTTTCAATATTTAACTCACGATATCTCGCTATTTGTCGAAAGGAAAAGTGATACTAGACTTTTTTACTCTACTTGGTTTTAAGAATATATTGTTGCAATAGCGTCCTAACTTTTGTTAATTAGATGATTTTGAAATTTCCAAAAGTCAGTAAGTTAACAAAAATCGAATAATATTTTGCAAGATTTTACAAGAAAAAAAAGTCGTTTCAAAATTTGTTCAAGAAATGTAATTTCAAGGACAGAAGTTGTTCCGCATCATTCTGTACAGAAATAGAGGAGAGCCTCTATACTTTTTAGAAGTAATTTCATCCTTTTAAAACATTTATCAATACCAACTGAAAATCTCTGCATTTATCTATATTCACAACTTATGTTTATACTAACACTACCCAACTGTCACTTACCAATCGGAATGAAACTTAGCTCTCTTATAAAGCATTGAAAAATATTGAAAATCAGTTTTTTATTTTTCCTCAAAACCTTTTTAACCTCTTAACTGTCGAAGGCAAATTGTATCTTGTGGGACAAAAATTCGTTGACACACAATAACTCTGATGGTCATAAAACTCGATATTCTATGGCTTTTTGAGTCGTTAAGTCCGAATATGATATCAAAATTTTTTAATTCGAAATAGCGGATCCAATATGGCGGACACTAATTTTAAAAAATCAATATATTTTCATAAAACTCGGTATTCTAAGGTTTTTTGGGTCGCTGAATCGGAATATGATATCAAAATTCCAAAATTAGGATACTGAGTTTTATAAAAATATGTTGATTTTTCGAGCATTTCGAGTTATGCGGAGCATTCTCCACAATTTTATTAACAGCCGCAATGTTTTTTATCGAACGAGCATTATAACGTACAAGCACAGGTTTATCATAAACCTCGTTCTCAAATTTCTTAATTAACTTACAAATTGTATTGTCGAATGGAAAATGTTTTTTTCTTGAATCGCGAAGTTTACGTTTTGTTTACGTTGTCGAACGCTGATTTTCATAAAAACATTATGTTTCATCCACAACATTGAGACTGTAGATAACAGATTTTGACAACACATAAATTTTGCGAACAATTTTTATCCTATCACACCTATACAATGTTTTAATATATAAGAAAAATATATTATGTAACATTTATATAAACGTATAAATACATGTATACAATATTTTGATATTTAAGAGAAATATATTTCGTATGTACGAACTGTAATTTATATTTCCATATTATATTTAACAAATCTGAAACTTCCATAATAATCTGCATAAAAACAAAACAAATATAAAAATATATTAATTATTAAATTAACAGTATTAATTGTCCTAAGATTATCCTGAGATAAAAAAAAAGGAACAGCAAATGAAGACAAGTCGTCGGCGGGACTCGAATACTCGCCACCGGTGCAAAAAGATTCGAAGCGTGATCTTTAAGGCCGTTCACCTACGCCGATTCAGTAAAAGAGAGTCTTAAGTTTTGTCTTTTGCACAAATCAGTTCTATAAATCAAATTTTGGATTGTTATTTCTCAACAAAAGCCTAAATACTCAAAACCTTTCAGGGTTTTCATACTCTACTATCAAATGATCTATAACTCGTTTGGAGATTAATATATTTAATCTTTTTACGATATAGATAAATATTTCTTTATAAAGCAGTAAATATTAGTGGAATGAATTCACGCACATATCATCTAATTTCTTTGATCACATATATATTGTTGTGTACGAGCCACAAGGAGTGTGGCAGCGTCAGTTATCTGTCCGCGAGCCTTAGGCATATGGATTTTGACAGTTGAAGGATGTTTGTCTGGACGACAGGAGTTTGTTGAAAAACAACAGCAGCGGAGTCTGTCACGAGCCGTCGCCGCGAGCAGACGTGACTTAGACGTTTCTTTTTAATATTGTTAAGACGAGAGGATATTCGTGAATCTGTACATATTAGAAGTAAAGCGGAGTTCTTCTTTTCCCCTAATCCCTGTGTCAGTTCATTTCGCGGACCCGGTACGCGCGAGACGGACACGCGCAACAATGTAATAGAAGTCGTCAAAATATCAGACAAAATGAACAAAGTATAAGATCAATTAGATAATCCATATTTTCCTAAATTTTATAAATTTTGTTGAATAAATTAAATCTTTCTCTCAACCATGCTCTTCTTTTTTCATCATTTTCATTCCTAATTGATAAATGTCTACTTATTTATAAGAAAATAATTTACTGAGGAGCGTCTCAGTTTATTCCTCTCTCTAATGAAGTAAACTGAAATATTCACGAAATCTTAGAAACAAATTCATAAAAGCGTAGTTTCAATTCGAAAATATCTCCTCTATATTTCTCCTCATCGTAAAATAAAAACCTCGAGTATCAAATTTATTTTATTTCTTATGAATGAACAAATAAATGAACTTACCTATGTTATCTTCCTTTAATTTGTATTCCTTATAGTCGCTCAAATCAGGCTCTTTTCCCTGCTTTACGGCGTTATATTGCTCCATAAATTTTTTCAACTCATCTGGTGGTAGAAAATCACCAATATGATGTTTGCCTTCAGCCTGCGCTGTCAATTCCTCGGCCCACAGTTGCGTCGCTTCCATTTCAGCAGACCTCAGTTTGTGTTCCCATGTACCACCCTCTGTCTCTTCATCGCTATCATACTCGTATTTATGTTTTCCTTGCGCCTCTAAACGTTTCACTTCATCCCTTTTCCTTAAAAGATTTTGGTACAAGATATTTATCTGAAATACATACACAGAAATTATCTGAGAAAAATCAACGTTAAACTCATACATAATATGCCCATACACAAAATAAAACATATAAATGTTACAAACATCTTACAAATATTACTAAGATAAATGAATTATTTAAAAAACAGCTGGACTTAGGTGGCATACTAGAGAGTGAACCTAAGAGTGTTGTAATTTTTACATAGTTATTATTAGCGATAAATAATTTTAGGATACAAATAGAAGATAAAGAAAGATAAGAGAAGAGAAGAGGGGACTATAGGAATATAGGTAAAGTGAGAAGGAAAAGCGAATAAAAATAACAAAGGACAATTAAGGTTATGGTAGGGAAGGAAAAAAAGGATAAAATTATGAGAAAAGATAGTTTAGAAGAAAGTAAAGAGAAAAGTGAAAGAAATGAAAACAAACAAGAGAGGATAGCGGATAGAGACAGAGGACTGAGGAAGATAACTTTCAAGGAAAAGGAAAGCAAGGATATAAAAGAGGTTAAAGAGATGATAGACAAATTAAGAATGGAAATGCGTAAGGAAATAGAGGAATTAGAAGATCAATGGGAGAAAAAATGAAATGAGATAGAAGAAAATAGACTGAGAGAATTAGAATATGATATAGGAAAATTATAGGAAGAAAAAATGAAGAGAGTGGAAGAAGTATTAGGGGAAATCCAAAACACAAAAAATATAAGTGAGGAAGGACAAGCTAGTAGGATAAGTAGAGGAAGTAGATATAGAGAAAGTAATAATAGAGGAGGATTAAGATCGTTTCTAGAGAGATAGAGTATAAGCGTCAGTGACAGGGGAATAGATGAAATAAGGAAGTTAATGAAGGAAGGAATTAATGAAAGAGATGCATGGCGAGAGTCAAGTGTTGTAACGCAATCGGATAAAAAGCACGTGATAGTACAAAGTCTCCTCTTTAAAATTAAAAAGTCTCCTCTTTAAATTTAATCGTTTCGATACGATGATCTATCGCCAAATAATTCGCATTTAAAGTAAAACACTGCTTTTTTCTTCAAATGTGAATAATTCGGCGAAAAATCATCGTATCGAAACGATTAAGAAAGCATTTTAAATTTGATGATTTTGAAATTTCCAAAAAAATCAGTAAGTTAACAAAAGTTGGGGTGGGACATTAAAATGGGACATCCTATATATCTACATACAATATATCATTTTTTAGAAGAAGAATTCATCTTTACAGTGGTGCAAAGAAAATAAAAATATTTCCTTTTTTCTGATAGCTTGCTTCCGAATGCTTTCCGAATGCTTCCGATAGCATTTTGTTTATAGATGGCGCCACTTTCGAAATATTCACTGATCATCAATTTTCTTAAATAGAAATACCAATTTTTTATTATATCTTTTATTACACCTTTTTCTAGACCAATTAATTTGAACAACTTTTGTCTGAAACATTTTTTTATTTGATTAATATATTTTGAGATATTTAAGGAAAACTTGGTCACTTTTTCAACATTTAACTTACAATATCTCACTAACTATTCATCGAAAGAAAATAGTATCAGACCTTTTTACTTTATTTACTATCAAGAATATATTATTATAATAGTGCCCTAACTTTTATTGATTTAATAATTTTGAAATTTCCAAAGGCCGATAAGTTAATAAAAGGTAGGGGACTATTACAGTAATATATTCTTGATAGTAAATAAAATAAAAAAGCCTAATACTATTTTTTTTTTCAAATAGCGAGATATCGCAAGTTAAATGTTGAAAAAGTTACCAAGTTTTTCTTAAATACCTCAAAATATATTAAGTAAATAAAAAAATATTTCAGACAAAAGTTGTTCAAATTAACTGGTAGAAAAAGATGATATAAAAAAGTGGATATAATAAAAAATTGGGATTTCCATTTAAGAAAATTGATGATCAGTGAATATCTCGAAAGTGGCGCCATCTATAAACAAAATGCTATCGCTGTCTTATGTCTCCCTTCAAGCCAAACAACTTTTGTCTGAAACATTTTTCGATTTAGCGCAATGTTTCTGAAATATTTGAGTGGATCCTTTAAAATGGAACACCCTATATATCATTTTTATAACTTTCGTTAATCATCGTGCGTTAATGATCGTATTGAATGCCGTGAGGGAGTTCTACGAAACCGACATGCATTTTTCGCTTACGCAAACACGTATGATTGCACAACAAAATGCAGTAGTTGATAACGATGTTGCCCAGTAACAGTGTTAATCACAGTTTAATCACAGTTTAAAAAGCATAAAATATTCTTACTTCTAAGAAAACGGACAAATCTGTATTTATAAAGATTATTTATAAAGATCTTGAGAATCACAGCTTTTATCACTTGTTAGTGCGTGTTCGTTCTCGTAATATATTAGTTTTCGTAAGAGTTTTACTTTTAACTTTGCATACGGTTCAATCGTAAGTTGTGGACTTTCCTTTCTTTTCGGGGCAGACAAAATTAAAACGAATAGATGTTCCGTCTAACATTCCGTCTTTCTCATTTGTATTTTCAAAGTTTATTTTCCAATTTGGGAGTGCTTGTGTAATTAAATATTTTATTCTTAAACGTTACGTTGTAATTGTATTTTACTAATTTAAAGTACCTCATTCGCTATTACGATCGCATTAATCCTTGCTGCTTGGTGATCACATTAATTCATTCATACCAAGCAGCATCGCTGTCAACTACTTTCGTTATGCATTTCGTTATGCAATCATATACGTTTGCGTAGGTTGTGCAATCATACGTGTTTATGCAGGAAAGAAACGCATATCGGCTTCGCAGAACTTCCTCACGGCATTCAATAGAATTATTAACGCATGATCATTAACAAAAGTTATAAAAATAATATGTACAATGTTATCACATATATCGACAAGCTCATCGTATCAGGCGCACAAATCTGCTTAGCACCTGTGTTTGACGGTGAGTTACACTGTCCCTATGTACTTACTGTACTCGTAATAAACTACTTATCTTTATAAGTCAAAAACTAAGCTTCGGATGACATTTTACGAGAGGTACAAAAAATCGTCTTAGAATTTATTCAAGAATATGTTATTTCAAGGATGGTAAGTTGTTGCAGATCATCCTATATAACTACATTACTTCTTGTAAAATTCTTTTGAACTTATTGAGTGATATACAAAATATGACAGCAACATACCTTATAATGATCTTCTGCTTTTTTCCATTGTTCTTCGCTCAAATCAAGTGTACCGAAAGTCTGTCTCGCATAATGAAGAAGTGCTGGTTCGTTTCGTGAAATCTTTGTAAGCATCGGATTCTTCGATTTAATATTCTGCCTCTTGGACAAAGATGGTATTATAACAGCGGGTTGTCCAATTTGTCCTGGTATAGCTATACCAGGTTGCGAAAATACAGCATTTGGTCTGATATTGGAAGATACATTTGTTTCTGTAACGAGAATTTTACTATCTGCGTCACCCCAGCGGCTGCGTCTTCTTCTTTTGCGTTCTTCCTTATTATCGTCCTTCGCTTGATCTGCTATATAAAACAGTATATAACACATATTATTAAATATAACCATACAACTGATATTGAGTATCATTATAACACTCGTATATTCGAGTTTCACCTACCATGTGAAACATTGTATTTCTGGGATTTATCCATGTCATCATTGTCACTAAGTGCTTCCTCGGGGCAATAAAGTTCAGCACCGCTCGTCTTCTTATCCTTATCTGGTTTCTCAGCACGTAATTTTGAAACCAATCCCCTGTACTGGAGATACGCTGCACTTTGCTTTTGGTGCAGAAACCTTGATTAAAATGATACTTAAAACGATGTCTAGTGTAACATATACTCCTAGATACAATATTTTCATAAAAAAAAGTGTAATATTAATATGAAAAAAAATCAAAAAATAGTATCAACAAGTTGATAACTATAAGTAACGTACAAACGTCAAAAACCAGAAACAGTACAAAATTATAGGTACAAAAATGTAGGTATTTTAAAAGACAATTCGAAAAACATGTACAATAAAATCTTTTATGTGGTGTTGACGTGGTGTAAATATTGTTTTGTTTTTAGCTAATATTCATAATAAAAGATAAAAGATTTCAAATTATCTATATAGCATAAAATTTATGTGGAAAATATTGTATTAGCAGAAACAGGATAAAGATCGAATAGTTCTGTCATGAGAAAAAATTAACAATATTTAGGTCAAATCATGAAAATATGTATGTGTGTATATGTATACATAGAATAATGAGAGAAATCGAATAACAATACTAAACTTTACATACTCTGATGCCACAATACACTTGTAAAGTTTATACATATATGTGTATATATGTCTATGTGTATGTGTGTGTCGACGTTTCTCACAATTCATTCTATTTGTCAATTTATATACACAAGTACTAAAATAAAGTCATGGAAAGTGAATACTTTACAAGATATTTTATATCTTGTGTCAAAAAGTATCGAAAAAATGTAAAATATCTCAGAAAGAATATCCATTTTTTAGTGATCATACTTTAGTAATTTTATCCATAGGATAGCCCAAAATCGATTCATATTTAAAAAGTCATATCATTTTATTTAAAGAACTCAAAGTGATCTTGATGATATTAATGAAGCAACTCAAAATGAAATTTTTTTATCAAAATATGTTCCGTTCAAGATCAATGCAACTTTGAAAAAACAAAATCTTAAAATATCACATTCAGTTTAAAATATTCAAGTATGTTAATTAAAATAGAACATTTTATGTGTACGCATATATGTGTGGTGTCATTATTGCAGAGTATGTTCAATGTAAAAATATGCACATATGTTCTTCCTGACTTAATTAAACCTAAAATACCATGGTTTATGAGAATATATAAAATTTATATACAAATTTATACAGAGTGGTTTAAGAGGAAGATTAGAGTTTAGAAGCATAGACTTTTGTCTATTTATTTTTGCCAGACTATATGCCCTTAAATTCCTCAACCCGTTTTCAAGTCATCCTTATAAAAGTTAATCCTTTTATAATATAGCCGATATTTAATGATGCACATATTTGCAAAAATCCACATTTTAAACAATATATTTATCGAAATCTATATATTTGATAATACATATATATATATATATATATACGTATACGTACATATATACGTACATATATACATACATATATATATATGTATGTATTACTGATATATCGTCAAAAACTATTTAAATAGAGATTTTTAAAGTCCTATAATGTAAAATAAATTATCTTCAGATATTATATACAAATATTAATCGTATTACAAATGAGGTATAGGGAAATGGAAATACAAAACGAGGACCAGTGAGGACAGTAGTTACCATAATTTAGGATCTTGGGCGTTCTTCTCGCGTACTTCTTGTTCAATTTCATCTCCACAGTCAGCCACGATACGTGCCAGCTGCTCAGCCTCTACTAGACACACTTAGAACCCTTTGTCAGACATATGTAATAATGTCCTAATTCGCTTTATACATATTTTCTACTAATTTCCGGTAAAATAATAAAATATCATTTACACAATTTAACATTATGTCTCACAGGCAAATAATCTTTCTAACAATTCGCTGTATCATATCACGCGAAATATAAAATTACTAATACTTATAAAATAGATTTGTTATGTGTGATACGAGAGTAATTTGTATTCCTTGAGTATAATACTATACCTTGTTGTTCAGAACTCTGTAGATTGGTCGGTGGTCTCACAGGTGGTGGTATTTGTACATTAGGTGGGCCCACCGAGATTGGTACCTGATTAGAAAGGGCATAGCTGCTGGATATAAGACGTGGTGGTGGTGCTGTATTTTGTATTACTGTAGGAGGCGGCACATTTGGCGGAGGAATATTCAGGTTTGGAGGTGGAACAGAATTAATTGTCGATGGAACAGAATGCACAGGTGGAGGTGCTGACATTATCATAGGTGTTATCACATTTGGAGGTGGAACATTAGCTACATTTGGTACTGTTACCACAATAGCTTGTGTGCCAGTAATAGGCATCATAGTGGGTGGCATTTGTGACATTGGTGGCAGAATGTTTGGTGGAGGTATGTTAGGAGGAGGAATATTTGGGGGCTGTAAATTAGCATTACATGTTGGTGATGGTACATTACATTGTTGTGGATTTTGTATAATATGTTGTTGCCCATTCGAAGAAGAAGACAAATTAGCCATAGGCATAGTTTGAGAAATCTGCATGTTAGGTGGAGGAACATTTGTATTAGGTGGAATGCTTTGGATAGGAGGTGGAGGGCGTATAACATGAGGTGGTGCAATTTGCATTCTGGCACTGTTAGAATGATCGTTTATATTAGTGTAATTATTGTTAAAATTCTTTGATACTGGCAGCCTCTGCAAATGAACAGATGAAATTGGTGCTAAATTCCTCATATTTGGTGGAGGTATGCTTGTCATTTGCATCAGTGGCTGAGGCATGAGAGATGGAATGGAAGAAATATGATTATTATTATGAATCGGAAATTGATTGAACTGGACATGCTGTCCATTCTGGGATTGGTTATAGCTATGTCTTGTCTCTGGACTTAATGGCGATCTATGCCTAGTAGGTGATGGACTTGATGAAGGACTATGTTTCCTATTATCTGAACTTCTTCCCCAACGTGAATCATTCCTCCTACGATCTCGTCGATTGTCCCAATCTCTAGTTTTTTCATTTCGATGCTTTCTATCCCTGTCTCTTTCTTTAATAATTTCGTAAGATTTGTCATCTCTCCTTTTATCTTCATATTTATCATATACTTCTTGTTTTGTGGTTCCTTTATTATTTGCTATTTTCTTAAACTGGTCCAAAAAGCTACCATCATTGGCAAATACATTCATATTATAAGATGAAGGTTTTTCATCATCATCCCTATAAATATACATATATAAACAAATATATATCACATAATATATATAAACAAACAATACAAACTGCATTTAATATATCCAAATAATATATATTGGCATTGTATAAAAACAAATTATATACGACAATATATCACATCAAACTTGAAGATTGTTACATTATAATGTTCTAAGAGGGCTTACTTTGGACCATTGCCTTTACCGCTTGCTGCGCTCGAGGACGACGAATTTGACTTTTTCATGCATTCTACAGCTTCTTTTGCTTTCTGTTCTTGCATCTTCGCTTGGATCTCCAACTTCTTTTGTTGAATAATTTGTTCTTGCTTCGACATTTGCGCAAAACGTTCATTTCGCGAAGTTTTTGACACAAATGGATCGGAGCCTTTGACACCACGATACGCCATTTTTATTCAATGATTTCGATAGCAATTGTCTGATTTTACAAACTTCAATAAAGAAATCTAAGTATATATTAGATTCTAATTATTGACAAAGTAGTTAATGTATCAAAGCTACTAATAAAAATTGTATGCTCTATTCGAGCTTCATCCCATCGAGCTTCACATTTCATCGAATCAAGTAATGTCAGCCATGTTTATTGCTAGATTCATATTGTAAGCCTCGTTTACACCGATCATTTAATGCCCGTTTCTATCGACGTTGATTAAACTGTCAAGGCGCATTCACACCTGGACAGAAAGGTGTTGCGTCATGGACAAGCATAGAACATGCGATGTCTAGATTCGTTTGGTTTACTTTGGATCAGCGCTATTCTTGTCCAAATCTTTATTATTTGAATCTGTTACCTTTGGCTGCGTTCAGAAATTCTACTTCGAGTTAAGTGTCTGCAGGAGCCATACTAGAGACCTCTCGCGGAGACCCGCGAACTAGGCAAAGTTATATTGCAAATTATGAACAAAAAACATTATGAACAAAATATGAAGAGAATCACCTTATATGTATGATATTTGCAATCAGGAGAAATGTCCGCAGGGTCGTACAGAGCGCTTTTTTGGAAAAAAAATTGAAATAAAAATCGATTAAATAATTTGCATGAACGTTCAATCGCAACTGTCCTTTGGTCTGTTCTTTATAGCTGCACTGCTGAACTAGTGCAATAAGTTAGAATGAGAAAAAATATAGTTGTCTCATTTTAACTTATTGCACTAGTTCAGCAGTGCAGCTATAAAGAACAGACTCTTTTACAACTGAAAATAGCACTTTGTAACTAGTAGTTGCCATTCTTCGCAACTTGCAATTGGGTGTTTGCAATCTATACCGGACCGGGCTTTACTTCATGGTTTGAACATATATATGTTGTTTTATTTTTAACCAAAAAATTTTCTGTCATAATTCATCGCTATCGAAACGTGTTTTATCATACCGTTTTTGGTATGAGACTTTAACACTTTATTTTATTATTGCAAATTATTGCAAAGAGAAATCAAATTCATTTAATTAAAGTAATGGGTATTGTTTATGCTAAGGTCTGTATTCATTAAGTTTCAGCATAACCTAAAAACTCAAAATATTGTATAATCTAGGATATATATGTGAATATATATATGAATATTTTCTATATATATACATTCATACTCATATGACAAATTCATATGACTTATGCTCACAATTATATTTGGAAATGTTCAATGTATATACTATATATAAATATAATATATTAAGCAGATATCATTATTAGGAACCTAGCAGCCCTGCAGATTTTGATCAGTCCAAGAAAAATATCTTTACGAGTGAACCTAAATCATCAGTTGATGCAATGGATGATCTTGTATGTTCATGACTTATATGACAATATGATTTAACTTTTATATTGCTCTAAATATTTATTTTATTTATATATTGATAAAATTTTCTGATAAATTTTATACGTTTATAGATTTACTTTAGATCTTTCTTACAGCAAGCAGTTTTTCATAATAAATCCGGATTACAAAGAGAAGATGGAAATAAACAAATGAAACCTATTGATCTACATGGGATAAAAGTATGTTGACAAGATTTTATTATCTGAAAATTTCTAGGGAAATGTAAGTTGTAGTTATAAAAATTTTTTTCACTGGAACAGTAAAAAAGTTTTAATTTATATGTCAGTATCAGTATTAATTCAGATATCAATATGAATATAAATAAATATATATGAATATAAAAGTTGTAGGATTAGGGACAGAATATAATAAAAAAATATATATATATAATCTATTATAATATCTAATATCTCAATAATCAAGAAATATGATTGTTATTAAAGATTTGTTTGGTTTAGAAATAGAAAAAGATATATCCCTTAATACTACTTAATCTAGAAAAAATACTACTTAAGAAACTATTTGACATATAGTTTCTTAAGTAGTATTTTTTCTAGATTTTGTTATTGAATACTCTGTATAAAATATATATTTCTTTTTTTACACATAATTATACAGTAAAAGTGAAGCTAAATATCAACATATAATTTTTGAAGCAATCTTAATCTTACAAGTCCATTTTTAAGACAACTTATAATGAGATATTAATAAAACTATTGTAAAATAAATCTGAACGATATCTGAAATAAATTTATCTACATAGGTACATCGATTCTACTAATGTTTATGTTATTTTACAATGTGGTGACATTTATTACAATTATAAAATAAATTATTTATTTATTACTTCAAGTACATTTGCATACAGTTTACAAAAAGTATTCAAAATGTCTATCCTGAACCTGATTACATTCATGACATCATTGTAATATTGATTGTCTGATTTTATCAAACATTTGAGGTTTATGTTGAATTTAGTCAAAAGCAATATATATTCACACAATTAGTTCCTCTCTGGTGTCAACTGATGTGGTGTATGACACTATTCACATGTCACCAAAAAAAACAATAATTGTAAATGATTACCCAAGAGTCGACTACGTACATAGACGTAGGATAGAGACGGGGAAAAAGAATCATGATTGAGTTGAACAATAAACATAAGCATAAAGAGATTTGAAGAACATAAATATCAACCGAATCAATGTACTTTAGTAGATAAATTTATTTTATAATTATAATAAATTATAAAATAAAATTGTCACCTTCGCGGTCGCGTAGCATATAAACAACGTATTAGAGAATATAGATTAACATAAAATGATCCTTTTTGCAAACCATCATTCCTCAGAGTGAAGATTCTGTCTCACTATATATATTAAGACATACATCTTTTATATATTGGAGTTTATGGAGTTTATTTATTATATATGGAGTTGAACAGATCTATATTTTGTTTATAACATTCCCTGGCAAAAATATATAAATCGCTAAATTTCTTGTTTAATTCTACAATGATTCAATAATTGCCTCATTGCATGCAATGATAATTCAATATTTGCGTATACACTTGTGTTACAAAATTAACAATTTTTATTGAACAGTTTTAATACAACTTTAATATACAATTAACTATTATACAGGATGTCTTAAAACTACCGGAACACTCAAATAACTTTGTGGGATCAAGTTTTCATGAAAAACTTTAAATACAAAAGTTGTAGAAAATTGTCTAACGGACTTGATGGTGACTTTAAATTTGACCTTGGCCATGACTTTCAAGGTCGTTTGGAGGTCAACTTGCGTTTTTTAAATGGGAACCCTTATTTTTTATTATACTGTTCTTTCTTACCAATTAATTTGAACAACTCTGAAACATTTTTTCATTTTTCTAATATTTTTTTAGATATTTAAGGAAAACTTGATAACTTTTTCAATATTTAACTTATGATATCTCGCTAACTATTTGTCGGAAGAAAAAGTGGTACTAGATTTTCTTACTTTATTTAATTTCAAAAATATATTATTACAATAGCGTCCTGACTTTTGTTAACTTACTGACTTGAAAATTTCAAAATCAAATTAACAAAAGTCAGGGCGCTATTGTAACAATATATTCTTGAAATTAAATAGAGCAGAAAAGTCTAGTACCACATTTCTTCCGACAAATAGTTAGCGAGATGTCGTGAATTAAATATCGAAAAAGTTATCAAGTTCTCCTTAAATATCTCAAAAAATATTAGACAAATAAAGAAATGTTTCCAGCAAAAGCTGTTTAAATTAATTGGTAGTAAAAGACGGTGTAATAAAAAATTGGGGTTTCCATTTAAAAAAAAAGTAATGATCAGTGAATATAATGAAAGTGGTGCCATTTGTAAACAAAATAATATAGTTGTTTTATGTGTCCCTTGAAATCATATAACTTTTGTCCAAAACATTTTTACTGAAAATGCTTAGTTGAAGAATTATCGAGGTGCGTTTTTTAAAATGGGACACTGTATAGGATGAGGTTGATAAAAAATTTACCACTTCTTTTTCACAAACGCATAAAGATAGAGAAATATATCCCATATACAGTGTCCGCCAAAAGTTCCGAGCCACCTAAATAACTCCTAAATGGTGTAAGGTAGTGCTGGGAATTAAGTGAACAGCACGAGCTGATTTCAGAGAGAACGCTCGCGCTTCCCCTACTACCTCTGAAGCGCGGTGGCCGAGCCGCCGATCGCGCGTGAGACGCTCTGCCTCAGAACCAGTCATATACGATATAAGATGGGATCGCACCCTCCGTAAGTAATAAATATTTTATTTTTGGTTTGACGGTTTGGATTGATGGAGGGTGCGATCCCATTTTATCATATATGAGACCGTTCCTGAGGCAGAGCGTCTCACGCGCGATCGGCGGCTCGGCCGCCGCACTTCAGGAGGTAGTGGGGGAAGCGCGGGCGTTGCCTTTGAAATCGCTGCTCACTTAATTCCCAGCACTGGTGTAAGGTATTGAATTGAAATTTATAGGGATACAGTGGGATTACAAAGTCTATCACTTAAGCACAAAAACACCCATCACCACATTACAAAGGAGGCGGGGGAGAGGGAGGTCGGAAAATCTTAAACGATATATGGGATTGAGTGAGGGTTCGTTTGAAAGGGCTTTCCGAAACGAGAATAATGCGGGGTCGTCGAGACCTCTACGATTTTTTTTCACAGAGTTATGATCATGTAAAAATTTCTATTGAGATTTTGCGATAAAGAGGCCACGACGAGTAAGATAAGGCCTCACGCGTGTTTCTAAGTTAATAGAAGTACATATGTTATGTGTGTGTGTGTGTGCGCGCGTCGTGCGTGCGCGCGCGCGCGTGCGTGTGTGTGTCGTGTTCGCCGCGAGGATAAGGACTCCGTGGTTCGTCAGCTTCACAGTATTTCACGACTGCAGACCTTGCCGCGAAAAATGCAGCCGCAGCCATAAAGTTCCTAATACTGATGTATATATAAAGGAATAAAAATACGAATTATTTTATTAAATTTACACACAATGTAATACACGTTAAATTTATTTAATGTGTATTACACATTCCATATTCCATAGCACAACCAAATAGCTACAACCAAAGTCTATGAGAGGTTAGGTCCGCAAACGTAGAAGAGCTGCGAGAAAAAATAATGAACGTTTTGAATTCAATCACATCAGATCTTATAACTAATGTTATGGATACGTTTTACGTTCGCTTAGGACACTGCCAAATTGTCGAAGGACACCAATTCAAACATTTAATAAAATAATTGGTTTTTTCTATAATAATAATTTTTATTCCTTCATATATACATCAGTATTAGGAATTTTATAGGTGCGGCTGCATTTTTCACGGCAAGGATGGTCTGGAGTCGTGAAATACCACGACTCCAGACCCTCCTTGCCGTTGAGTTGACGAACCACGGAGTCCTTATCTTCGCGGCGAACACGAACACACGCGTGCGCACGCACGCACGCACACACGCGCGCGCGCGCGCACACGTACTTCTATCTACTTAGAAACACGTACTTCTATCTACTTAGAAACACGTGTGAAGCTTTATCTTACTCGCCGTGGCTTCTTTATCGCAAAATCTCAATAGAAATGTTTAAGTAATCATAACTTTGCGAAAAAATATCATAGAAACCATGACAACCCCGCGTTGTTCTCATCTCGGAAAGCCTTTTCAAACAAGCCCTTTCTCACTCAACCCCACATGTCATTTTAGATTTTCCGACCTTGCTCTCTCCCTGCCCCCCTATAATATGAAGGTGGGTGTTTTTGTAATTAAATGGTAGACTTTGTAATCCCATTGTATCCTTATAAATATCAATCCAATATCTTAAACCACTCAGAACTTATTTATTTTATTTAGGTGGCCCGGAACTTTTGGCGGGCATTGTATGTTAAAATTTTATTAGTAAAACTCCTGTTTAGGGGACCCACCTCAGATAATCTTGTCCGTTACATATATTATTAAGGACACTCTCCTAAATAATATTCAAGAGGTTTTAGCTGTCGCTCATTGTTTCTCAAAAAATTAATAAAAATATTTTATCAATTAAATGTAATTTTCACATATACTATACATTGAAATGTGATAAACACTACACACAGGGGGAAGCCCCTCTCCCGCTTATATATACTGTTTAACATTGTTTAATGCACGTTGTGTCTAAAAAAATGGGCTTTATCTATAAAATTTCATTTATAACTTTTTAATAAACAATGAGCGACGGGTAAAAAACCTTTTGAACATTAGTTTTTAGACTTTCGCGGCCATTGATACAATTAGGGTGTGTTTCTTCCGGATGGATACCGCATCATAATTCAGTTTTGTGCCGACGTTTCGCAAACATTGCAACTTGCATCATCAGGGCTAGGAGCTCCGATACTGATGGTCTTCCTGGTTTGTGGTTGTCCTTATATATTCTTCCATTCTTCTAAGTAGGGGTTGGGAGAAATGAGGAACGGGGTAGGGGAAATATTTCGACCAATCACATTAATTGGTCAGCTGGTCAATTAATATCCAAACATGTTAAATCGGGTGATTTCATAGGAAATAATATAGGACCACTTTTATTGATCTATTTGTTGGATCTATTTGTTGCAAACGGTTGAAGTTGAAGAATGAATGAGATAGCTTATTTTCAACGCTCATATATTCTGACTTATAATTTTATCGATATTCTGATAATGATTAAATTTTCGAAAAATACTCTGATACAAAAGTTGCTAAACTTATTAAATATTATCTATAGGATGAAAGTCACTAAAATATGTATCCTTACAATTGTATTTTACAATTTTGATAATGGAAATATTCCTCTATCTCTAATCTCTATCTTAACTGTTTGTAAGAAAATGTAGTGAACTTTTATCAGACTCATTCTATATAATAAACTTATATACAAGGCGCGTATACAGGATAATGCGCCTTATAAAACCCTACTAACTTTGTATGAAATATTTTTTTCTAAAATGTATATTTTCTGAGATATTAAGAAGTGTCAATATTTTTCGTATACCCTGTATAGAGAATTTTTGAAATGTAAATTAAACAAGATTAAAAAATCAATACAAGCAATGAAGTGAGATAAACTTTATAGGATAACATAAAGAAACATATCTTTGGCTTCTATCCTAATTTAACAACGTTGATTAAAAAATTTTTTTTCTGATACTTTAATATGAACAGGAATAAAATATTTAAAGTGAACATAAAATATTTTGGAAGGAAACGAAGGAGCAAGAAAGCAAAAAAGAGTTTTTTTGCGTTCTTTTTTATACATAAATTTTAAATATCTTTTTTTTTATAATAGGCACGAGTTGACAAAATACACGTAGATGGCCTTATGAGAACAAAAGACGATATAGTCAAGTCACAAGTGACGGACTTGTTTAAAGCTAAAGATTTTCAAGATGTTATTATACGCGCTTATAAAGTGCAGGAAAAATTGGAAACTTTAGGATGCTTTAGACGTATTGGAATTTACATTGATACCAGCCAAGGTCCTGAAGCCACCCCTGATGGTGTAGAAGTGGGTCTATACAGGGTGTCCGGAATGTGATCATTAATATTTTGTGTACTGGTAGATTGGGTATAGCCGAGAAGAAAAGTCATACCATAATGTCAAATTGGCAATAGTTATCGAGTTATTAATTGAAACATGTGAGCCAATGAACGCGTAGAGAGCGCTGGGCGGCCGCCTCTTGTCGCTTGCGCTCGCTCGCTCGACGTTCGCGCTCGCTCGTTCTTCGTCGCGCGCGCACGCCTCTTGTCGCTTACGGTTGTCTCTCGCCGCGCGAGGTAAGCTATCTTATACACAGAGCTCGTCCTGTCGCATTCTCGTGCGCTCATTCGTTTACACATTTTAATTAATTACGGAATAAATATTGAAAAAATTGTAAAATGGCACAGGACTTTTTTAATTGTTTTAACGAGTTCTACCAGTACACAAAATATTAATGATCACATTCCGGATACCCTGTATAATTACACATTAATTCAACAAAGAATAAGTAATTCTTCAGATATAAACATATTGCAGTCTTATGGTTGTTATATATTCCATTATGTGATATATAATCATTTATATTTATTAGATTATTTATTGTAATTAGGTCACTTTTAAAGTGCGTGAAATGAGACGCTTAGGTGGTGGCATTAATACGATGGTTGGGGACAACGAAGGATCTTTGATGATCAGTGCAAAAGCGCCAAATTTATTTGGGAGAGGAGAACGCATTCAAGTGGAATATTCTTATGGTACTAAAAGTTCTATCAACTTTAACATATCTGCCTTTAAACCGTTTCCACGAAACTTATACAATGCAGCGTGAGTTATACAGTATTATATTTATTTTATGATTTTAGCATATTTATTATCATACTTGTATTTTATATTAATTGCTGAGTTATTTTATAGATTAACCAGCACTATATTTAATACCACACATGATTTTCCATGGTCTGGTTTTAAAGAAAACGACAAGGGGATGCTTTTCGACGTAGAATTCAATCCAACGAGTATATCTAAACATAACATACAATATGAAACTGCATTTAGAAATATAACTTGCTCAAAACAAGCGGCGTTCCGTGTCCGGGAACAATGCGGACCGAACTTGAAATCTGCCTTAAGGTATATTTGGACGATAGATAAAAGAGATTCTCCTATATTTCCTGTTACCGGAAGTTTTATGCGATTAACAACAGAGATGGCTGGATTTGGTGGTGATATAGGTTTCTTAAAGAACGAACTTGCTATACAGAGTAATTGGTCACCGAGTGAATATCTTGTAAGTATTTACACTTGTATGATGCTACTTCTTATGGAATAATGAAGACCGAAATAAAATAATGCATAAATAAAGAAATGCCGAAATAAAGCATAAATAGCGAAATTTGCATAAAAGATAGGCAAAATAAAGTAGCAGAAATCAAATTACGTTTTTTTTTAGAATACAGGTATATATTTCTAGGTTTCATTAAAATTGCACTAAATGATGCAATTAAAAAAAATTCTGATTTATAACTAGCTTTAGAACTTTTATGTCACTTACTGTTGGCCTCCCCATTCTAAGTGTCTGCTAACGATCGAGTATCTAGCATAAAGTGATGTTTTAAAACTTTATTCAATTAATACTGTACAACCCGCAATAGAATAAAAGAAACATAAAGTAAATTTGCGATTTAAAACGGAAAGAATATATGGAAAGTATATCACACAGAAATAAGATAGAACCATTTGTTGTTATTGTTATCAATGAAGTAATGAAAAAAAGGTTATTAATATATAGAGTGGCCCATGTAAAGTGTTGTGGCAACCCAAAAATACTAAAAATATTTGTCGCATAAAAAAGATTGTTTATGATAAAGTTTCATATATTCGAGAGATTTTTCTAACTGTATAAGCCAAAATCCACTCTCGTTCTCCCTTGAAGAGGGGTGGAGGTTAACTTCATAATATTAAATGGAACATCCTATAAAATGTTACACATTTGGATTTTACGAGAAGAAATGAGTAAACTTTATCTGAAACATTTCTTTAAAAAATACTTTTATCAAAAGTTATAGACATTTAAACTTTACAGTATTTAAAATATATTCAAACTAAAATGATAAAACCAAAAATTAAATAAAAACTTTACATTACTTAACTTTTTACATTTTTTATTAAATGTTCGAATAGTCGAATATAGTTGAAAAAAATAATGGAACGCGAATATATCACAAATTAGCAAAAATAACCAAAATTGCTTCATATTAGCCGCCATCTTGGTTCTACCATGTTTAATGATGATATGAGAACTACATATCTTCAAAATATAAGTCTCGCATGCACTTTTTAAGTATTTTCCAGAATGATTGGAGCTCTTTTCAGTATCAAAATTAAGATCCAAATAAAAAAAACCTTTAAAAAATCATGATTTCTTATATATTTTTGTTAAAAACCTATATGAACATTGATTTTTAGTATTTCTAAGTGTCACTATTCGAAAGAGTGACCTCGAAAATGGGAGAGTAGATACTTCTCGACAATTAATCTCTTCTGATCTTAGAAGTAATAAGCGTCAGACACAGAGGTTGTGATTTTGCCGATTTGAGTTATTGAGTTAAATGGAAACCCCAATTTTTTATTACACCGTTTTTTTCTACCAATTAATTTAAACAGTTTTTGTTTGATACATTTTTTATTTGCCTAATATTTTTTAAAATGTTTAAGGAAAACTTCGTAATTTTTTCAATATTTAACTCACGATATCTCGCTAATTACACAGGTCTACAAAAAATGGGATCATGATTGTTGTTGGGCAGCTGGGGGTCGTTTCCCAAGTAATTTTCTGCGTATAATCCGAATCCGGGGTCAGAATTGGCCCATCACATCAGGATTTTGAGATATTTGAGGTTATATACTCGAAAAATGGCTTTTTGGGCTACTTTTGAGGTTATGTATAGGACGCACAAAATTTTTTAGCTCTTTTCTTCTAATTGCATCATTTAGTACTACTCTTTCTCTTCAAAATGAGCTATCGAATGGTCATCTACGATTTTTCCTTACAAAGTTACGGCCATTTTAAGATAACATGAATTCCAAACCCTGCGCCGTTATAGCCCAACCTCATGAGCATTCACATTAAACTTGTAAACTTTGAACTATAAACCCGAAAACCTGGACTGAAAACTGTATATGGGTTTTTGGGGTCGCTGATTACGAATCTGATCTCAGATCGACCCCAAACCTATTATAATATTAGACTTAATGAGACAAAGTCTTAATATATCAACTTCAACTCTGAAGGAAGAAGTTCCTATGTCGATTACTATTAATCAACAAGCAATTCCGTACTTAAATTGCGCGAAACATCTTGGAATGACATTCAATGCTTGACGAAGCTTCGTTGGAAGGAACACATAAAAATTAAAGAAAATAGCTGAATACAGTAAGAACTAAAATGGAATGGTTGATTGGCCAGAATTCCAAGCTTGTAGAACATAACAAACAAAACATTAGTTTATGCAACAAACTTTTGCTATATAAATCACTTTTGAAACCAGTGTGGACTTATGGATTCTAAATATGGGGTTACAGTAACTCAATGTAAACTCAAATATTAAAATAATTCAAAATTTCAACACAAAGTGCTGTGAATATAATCGATGCCCCGTGAGATTATTGCGATGCGGATTAATCATGAACACGGTTGCAGAGGGAAAAACCATTATAACTCAAAAGCAGGAATGTCATTTTCGTGATCATCTAAATCATTTGGCTTTACATTTTCTCTATATCACTAGAAACTTGAGCCAACTCAAAAAAACCAAACCTATTTTACGATTTAACGTAATGTAATAAATATATCTATCTGTTCTGGATGTATCTTCTCTTCTGGAAAAATTGTAAAATTGTATTTGGTTATCACTGTAAGACCAGAACTTATCAAAATTAATATGTCCTCCTTAAAGCAATATTATAAAATAATTCTTGACTGGCTTACTTATATATAAAATTAGAAAAAATAATTTAAAATAAATTAAATATTTAATATATATAACTTAATATTTAATATAAAAGTAACTTAAATATTACTTTAATAACTTAAAAATAACTTTAACGTAAATAAAATTTTACGTGATTATTTGTAAAATGGTAGAAATTTTGTTATTTAGTTTAATGTGTCCCACATTCATATAAACGTTGATATGGTTTATGTCAATGTAGTTATGTAGTTAATTGAATGATTTAGTTTGATATTTACAATACATAATAAACAACAATTAATATACAATAAAATTTGTTATATTTGAAAAGACGTTTCAGCTAGGTTTTCAATCTGGATTACTCAACGCAATTAGTAATGATATGAAAATAAATATTGCTGATCACTTCTTTCTGGGTGGCCCGTTGAATCTCCGAGGATTTGATTTGAGAGGTTGCGGCCCTCGTTATGATGGAAATTCTATAGGCGGTGAAATATATTGGGCAGCTGCTCTTCACATGTATACACCGCTTCCATTTAGACCTGGTCGTAACAGTTTTGGAGATTTATTTAGGTTACATGGTTTTGTGAATGGTGGTAATCTGTCTAATTTCTCTTTCACGTATGGTGAGTAATATAATTTAATAATTATATCATTACTATTCTTACTATCAAATATAAATCTTATTTTTGTCGATTATGTAGATCATGTAACTTTTTCTTGTAATTAGTAATGTAGAAATAAAGGAAAAAGAGAGATTACATATTACATAAATTTACTTAAATTAGAATTATGTAAATTTTTTTATATGGAAGTAAGCTTTTGGTAAAATAAGAGAAATAATTATATTTTACCAGAGAAATATATCAATTATCTCGAAAATGAAAAAAATATGTATTAAAATAATTGTATGATTATTATATCTATTTAGAATAACAATTCTCTTATTTCATGACAATTTAACAGACAAGTTATACATTCATGCTATATATTTGCTTATATTCTTATGAAAATGAATTACAAATATACAGGATGTCCGGTAATTAGCTGCCAACCCGAAAGGTGAAAGTAGATTGGATTAAGATAAACATAAAAGTCCCATACCGTTTTGCGAGATTCGCAATAGATATGTTAATTTAGTTTACGCCATTTCTAAGTTTTTTAATTAGTGTATTCAATATACTTCATATTTATATATGCTTGAATATTTTTCAGGTAATATCTACAATGCAAATATGAAGATTTTCACAGAAAATGTCCGCTGTGCCATTGGTGGAGGTCTTGCAATGAAATTAGGACACATTGCCCGCATAGAATTGAATTTAATTGCACCACTGATGTTCACAAGGAGCGACGTACTCCAACAATTTCAATTTGGCATTGGCGTGCATTATCTTTAAATATTTCTTACGTTCCAATAGTTCCAATATAATAGTATCTTTTATTATTCTTTGTATAACCAATTTCAATGTAAATAAAAGCAAGATTATACAATTCATTTTTTATTATTTCCTAAGATACTACAATCAGTCGATAAATATAATATTTGCAATAAAATCAAACACAATATATTATTATTCGCAATTATAAGAATCATAGCTTATAATAATTATAATTACTTATGTTATTAATTAACCTTTTCACTGAAAACCGTATACAGGGTGAATTATTTTAATATTACTGTCTGAAAATTTATTTTGCTACGCATTTTACAAAAAAATTTTAAATAAAAGTTGCAGGAAAGGGTTAAAGAGGGCAGAAATGTTTTTATAAAAGTTATCTTAAAATAGATTTGGATAGATTTAATTAGATCATATGATTTTTTTAATAAATTGGTAAAAATAAATTAGTTTCTCGAGTTATTCTAACGAGGGGAAGACCAAAAGTGACCGATTTCGACGAGCTTAATATATATATAGTACTACTCCCGCTCCTCCTCCCCCCCCCCTACTAATGAAGAGTAAAGCCATTCAATGCAACGCTTAAGCATTCGCGAGAAAAATAAGTTTAAAGTTTTCGATGTTCTTTATGTACTGGCAAGGAATATCCGCGAAGTATGTGTCTCCGATTTCGATGAAATTTAGCATATTTGTAGAATAGCCAAAAATAAAAAATTTTTATCAGCAATGGCGCAGGTTTAAGGGTTGAAACTATTCAAAGTTTCATCCCCTTTATGCTATTTCGATAACTATTGCAGATAGAAAAAAACTTTTAAAACAAAAACTGTATGGTTTTTTATGAAAAATAAAATAGACTTGGTTAAAATAAAAATATATTTTTAATAATTAACAAAATGACCATATCAGACTTAATTAATTTATTTATCAACTTCATTATATAGAAGAAAAAGTTGTATTTTTCATTTTGAATCTATCCATATATAATGTTTTATATTTAAATTATATGGAGATAACAATTTTATAAGTGGAAGTGCTACCATGAACAAAATGCTCGGTAATGTGCGTGAGCGCGTAATCACTATATCGCTATGCAAATGCCGAAATTCTATTTACATCTTTTGAACGCATTTTAATTAACACAACAATATAAAATAATTCAGAAGTTATTAACACATAAACGCGGGTCGCCGAACATTCTTTTATTTATAACATATACATTCCATATCATATTACTTTTAAGTGCATTTAATATAACATATGAGAAAGGTATGCATGTGAGTTTATATTGACATACTATACCCAGTGAGCAAAATGAGTGCAAATTGAGCGCAAATTGGCAGCAAGTCCGATTAAAATTTGACCAAAACTGTAGCCAACTGTGTCCTCTTTCGGCTTTGACATCAAGGCTTGCTGCCGGGCAACTTGCAGCAAATTCGCAGAACAAACCAAGTGCGTTTTGCAGCGCATAACCTCCCAGGTTATGGTTTTTATAAATAAAACCTTCTTCTGATAATTTTATAGCTCCTACTGTAAAGTCTGCTAAGAAATCATTTACGTTACTAGGCTTTTCATGATATACACCTATCACTCCTATATATTGAGGATATTCATGCATTGAGCATAATATGGGATATATTTGAGTGTTAGAACTTTTGCTAAGAGGTAAACCATCAATGTTAACTAATTTAATTTTTGTGGTTATTCCTCTAACAAATTGATAAGCTTTTCAACTGCAGATTGAACTCCAATGTGTGAATAAGTGCCTGAACTTACAGGTTTGCTGAATATGTGTCGAGGAATATGGAGCAAAGTTCTGGGATTCTGAGGCACACAAATATTAGCTTCTGATTTTAATAATTGTAGCAAATCTCGTAAAGCTGAATGTGAAATGTTATGCGATATTGCCCATAATCGTAATTTATTGATAAAATTATTTTCATTATCTTTTACTACATTTGGTTTCAGATTTATTGAAGCATTGCATTCTGTAACATCATCAAAATTATCCAAGGAATCTGAAGCATTAGAACAGTCTGTTTTACTATTATCACATTGCAATTCTATATTTTCCATGACTGTTGTATTGGCTTCTGAAATATTGTTATTAGTATTACATATTGATATATTATCAGAATCACTTGAATAATTTTGTGATAAATCTAAACATGTTGTGGTTCCTCTCTTTATTTTTCTATATAGTATTGCTTTAGAGAATCTACGTTTCATATTATATGATAATAATCTTAAAAGTAATATTGTTTAACCTCTAAAAATGATTGTGCAATGTGTGTGTGTGTATGTGTGTGGTGGTGGCGCCTTGGTTATTTTTCACACAATATAATACACAAATCACGCTTTTATTATTCTACAAAAAAATACAAGTATATTTTTATTACAGGAAAACAAAGAAAATGCACAAGGTATAACTGCACAAATATAACATCAGACTAACTTTAGTCACAGCGGGCCGTCAAATGTTGTTTATTATACCGTTCCTTGTACTACGCTTTCTATTGGTCTGTTCTTTTCAGCTGCACTGCTACACGCACTAGCAGTGTTGCCAACTCTGAATTTTAAAATCCGTCAAATGCTTCTCCAAAAAACCCCAGAAATAAGCTAAAATTAATAAATGTGTGTATGTGTGCACGCGCGCTATGTATACGTGTGCATATATTTTTAAGAAAGGAATTAAAATAAATACATAATTAGTTTTATTGTTGATTAATTTTATTCATAATAATATAATTATATTATATTATTGATACAATATCGCTTTTATATATATATATTTATATATATATATATTTTTCATATTTCATTTTATTATAAGCAGTATTATATACGCGGTATTATCTACTTTTAGCAACTGATGTCTTCTTATTTCTTTTAGGAAAATCAATCTTCTTTTGACAAAACGTCGCTTCCGAACGATGTCGTTTCCGAACGACATCTCTCAACGTTATCTGGGGAGGGGAGAGTGTCGTGAGCGTGAGCGTCAGATAGCTCAGTGGTCTAGAGCAGTCGCCCGGCAAGCGAAAGACCCGGGTTCGATTCCCGGTCTAGCGACTACCGCGCTCTCGATGTTTTTCTCTCCTCGGAACGAAAAATGAGATGCAGGTCCCGAACGCACGGCGTCCCGTCGCCACCCAGTACTACGCCCTCCTTCTTTCATGAAGTAAATGGAGCTGATGCTCTTATATGTTTTCTGCTTATCGAATGGTTATCAATGTCAGTCAATTTGGCAGTAATAGTGCATTTACACCACTTACATGTTGCTCTTGTTGGGTCATCATCAATAGGTAAGAGCCAGTCTTTGAATTTATCTGACTTTAACCAAGCCAGACGAAATTTTTGTTTATATTGTGGTGGCATCTACATATATCATAAATGTAGCAAAATTAATCTAAGTTAATAATAGCAATAATATAAGGTATATAAAATAATAGTGCAGAAAGATATTAAAACAAGTAATAATACTTACGTTCAAGTCAAACTTATGAGTTGAGAAATAAGCTTTGTACACCACAAATAAATGATCAAGTGTTGTTATTTCCTATTATCTATTATGTAGATAGTTCAGTATCCTCGCAATCTTAGGGCTCTCACAGCCAGCGTAACGCGACACGCGATATGCAACGCGTGATATCCAATAAGCATACAATTATCAAAATAGCAGAACGATCATTGAATATCGCGCGTCGCTTGTCGCGTGTCGCGTCGCGCTGGCCTGCGAGAGCTCATAAGGCTCGTCTATAATAGCTGTAAAGGCTCGTCTACATTAGCTGTAACAGTAAGGCTGTAAGGTTGCAAGACACAAAATGAAATATTTTCATTCGCTGACAGCTTACGTTACAGCCTTACAGCCTTACTCTTACAGCTATTGTAGACGAGCCTTTAGGCCTGGAACACAATACGTCGTATGTCGGAGTCAGATGTCGGATTCATTCATAGTCCAATGAGAAAAACTCGTTACCGGAAAACAAACTCTCTTATTGGACCATCAACTGAGTTGCGACATCCGACTCCAACATACGACGTATTATATTCCAGGCCTTAAGGCTCGTCTACAATAGCTGTAAGAGTAAGGCTGTAACGTAAGCTGTCAGCGAATGAAAATATTTCATTTCGTGTCTTGCAACCTTACAGCCTTACTCTTACAGCTAATGTAGACGAGCCTTTATGCTGCTTCCCCATGCGACGTAAGATATGTAACTTATGTTAAATCGCGTCAGCAAATCAAATCATTTCAGTTACGCAAATCTGTCTAGTGCAAGCATACATAAATTTAATCATGCAATGTTAAAGTAATATATATTATTTAATTATAATTAACTCTTTTCAATACATAACTAAACAATACATAACAATACATAACTAAACAATAAATCACACCTAATAACGCCTCATTCAAATTTAATAAAAAAAGTTAACTTATTTTGAAGAAAAAATCCGCCGTTTCAATTTTTAAAAAATCCAGAAAATACGTCAACAGCTAAACCGCAATTTTTGCGCGCTAAGCGTTATTTAAAAAAGCTAGAAATAACGGAAAATAAACCAAGTTGGCAACACTGCGCACCAGTGTAATAGTGTAGCTGAGAAAGACAGACCAAGAGTGGCGTGCTCGTTTAAATTTGTTGCTCTGACTAGTTTTGTTACATTCAGTGAACATCTATGGAATATTAATATAATATTTCTACCGACGATTTTTATAATATTTTAAGTAGATTTATAGACTATTCCACAAAATAAAAATATTCTATTAACATTTATATATATGATTTCGTTGAGAATATTCTTGTAACAGTATATATTGGATGCAGCATTGAATATTTATAGAATATTGTGTGTTATCTGGGTATGAATGTCACTAGAATATTACGATAAACGAAATTCCAAGATTTGGTCACAATGTCATCATCCCAGATAGCACACGGACATCCACTGGACGTCCGTTATATGTCTATTTTTTTTACAAAAGACGTCCATAGAACGTACGTTTGCCACAACTTCGGACATCTATCGGACATGAATGTCCGATGGACGTACATCGGACGTCCTAAAGGTCCGACGTCCAAATAAGGACATCCTTGTTACGTCAAATTTATGTCCACGGACGTAAATCGGATATACGGACATAAATTGGACGTGAAACGTATATCCATTGGATGTCCGGTGCTATCTGGGTAATATGTAAGAAAGATCCCCATGAACGTCGATGACGTTCATGTCCGATAGACGTCCGAAGTTGTGGCAAACGTACGTCCTATGGACGTCTTTTGTAAAAAAAATGGACATATAACGGACGTCCAGTGGATGTCCGTATGCTATCTGGGTACTTATATTCGTTTATTCTATTATTAACACAACTGTAACGATATAGTCAAGCGATATAAATATTTCAGAAACTAAAGTGATTATTTTAAAGTGTTTATATTTATAATGCAGCATATATATACTTTTGTCATTTTTATATCATTTTTGTATCATTTATTGTGAGTGACGTTGAAGTGCCAAATAAAGTCATATTGACATCATTATGATATCATTATGACTTCTATGTTCTACCTGGGCATGGATAGTACATTTTATTTCCTTATTTGCAATATGTAAAGCCAGCGGCACATGGTGCTTGTTTTCGTGCTGGATTACTTATTGGATGAAAATAATGCATTCTGATTGATGTATTTCCATCCATCTTCGAAAATGTATCAATCAGAACTCTGTATTTTCATCCAGTAAGTAATATAGCATGAAAACTAGCACCATGTGCCGCTGGCTTAATATTCTTTCACCACTTTATTATTGTAGAAATTATCATTAGTTTTTTATATATTATATATTTTTATTTATTTATGAGATTTTGTATTATATTTGGTATTTTTCTTTTATTTGCCTTTTTATAACAGACTTTGACTATTGCTGCATTTGAATATGGTGCCGCATTTTTGAACAAAAATTTGATTGGCTGTCCTATTCTGCAGCCGCCATTATGCGCAATGCTTCACCTAGACCCATATTCAGAACATGCTTATAACTATGTTAGTGCGCTGTTAACTAATCAGTACTGCGATTCTGTAACTCGTTATTGAAGTTAACGACGATTTCGTTATTGTTGCGCAGCTTTTCTACGGTATACAAAAGCTGCGCAACGATAACGAAAGTGTCGTTAACTCCAATAACGAGTTACAGAATCGCGGTACTGAAGGCATATTGCGCGTAGCGTTTCATTGGTTAACAGCGCGCTGACATAAGGCCTGTTCGTTTTGTCTGCACTGCTGAATTAGTGCATTAAGTTAAAGTGAAACAAACGTAGATTTTCTCACTTCAACTTGTTGCACCAGTTCAGCAGTGCAGACAAAACGAACAGGCCTATAGTTACAAGCGTGTTCTAAATGGATGCATTCAGTACTACAACCGCTCACTGAGCGCTAAGTGAGCTTTTGCATCTGATTGGTGCATATTTTTAAATCTAAAGATATATACCAATCAAATGCAAAAGCTCATTGAGCGCTCAGTGAGCGGTTGTAATACTGAATGCACCCAATATGGGCCCTAGTGTTTTTACATCATATAAGGGACTGTGATATTCTGTGATAAGTAGTTGTCAGGAATTAAGTTTTCTGTGACAAACGGGTTTCGTTAATAGAATAAAATGCCGAAAAAGAAGACCGGTCAACGAAGGAAAGCCGAGAAGCAAAAACTGCGGCAGAAAGAGATTAGAACTGCTAAGGAACAAATAGATTTAGCAAAGTTTCCTTGTAATTCAGTAATGGTGTATATCATACTAATTATATGTATTTATATAATTATATACGAAATAGTTGGAATATCTAGCAATTAGAATGTAATTATTTCATTGACATTGTAGGAATGTGATAAATGTGGCAAGAAGCAAAAGAGCCGTGCCTTTTGTTACTTTTGTCAGAATTTGCAAAGGTTACCTATGTGTGCACACTGTGGTAAAATTAAATGTATGTTGAAAACAGGAGATTGTGTAGTACGACATCCTGGTATCTTTACCACAGGTCTATCAATGGTGGTAAGTAAATTTATATGAATTTTGAATTATAGAAATATATTGCTTAAAATTTAATGTTATTTTTATCATTTATTATTTTAGGGAGCTATATGTGATCATTGTGAAGCCTGGGTTTGTCATGGAAGACGTTGCCTTACAACTCATGCTTGTATCTGCCCATTAATAGATGCTGTTTGTCAAGAATGTGAAAGAGGAGTTTGGGATCATGGTGGAAGGATATTTCGTTGCTCATTCTGTAATTGCTTCTTATGTGAAGATGATCAATTTGAACATCAAGCATCCTGTCAAGTATTAGAGGCTGAAAGTTTTAAATGTAACCATTTTTATAAAATATCTTTATTTTAATTGTATTATGATTTCAAATATATTAATGTATTATAATAAATGTTTTCAACTTTTAGGTCAATCGTGCAACCGTTTGGGACAATATTCTTGTCTCAGATGTAAAACATGCTATTGTGAAGATCATGTTCGTAGAAAAGGTTTTAAATATGAAAAGAATAAACCTATTCCTTGTCCAAAGTGTAGTTTTGAGACATCACAGACTAAAGATCTTAGTATGTCAAGTAAGTATTACATTTTGATTTGATATTTGTAATTGATTTCATTTTATTACAAATATATGTATATAAGTTTATTTATACACACATTTAATTACACATATTTCTATCTCTTTAGCAAGAAGTCATAAGTTTGGTAGACAAAATCAAGGTAGTTCATTTGAGTCTGATGATGAAAATGGATATAATTCTCATGGTACATTGAAACATATCTTTATATCCCCATTATCAATATACTCATTTTTATGTCTGTAATAAATAAAAAAATGTACTTATGTGATAGGAAATCAAGATTTTTGTTATGGAACCAGTAGTTATACTAATGAAGATGATGAAGATAATGAAGATGATGATTATGATGATGATGATGATGATGATGATGATGAAGATGAAGATGAAGAAGAGGAAAATGAAAATAGAGAAAATGATTATGATGAGTCATTTAATATGGATAAAGGCAAGAAGGATATTAAAATACAACAAACTTCGTCTAATGATAAGAATAAAGTTTAACATATATTTAAAAATGTAAGATAGCAATAATTGAAAATAAAATATTACACTATAGAATTTAGAACCATGGAATATTTGAATAGACAAATATACATGAAAAAAAGAATTCAAATAATTGAATAAATTGAGTAAAACAAACAATTGAATGACTTGAATAAAACAAGTAATTTAATTTAATAAATTTAACAGTTTCCTATATATTTTTATACAATGCACATACATTTATAAAGATGAGCTTAATAAAAATTTATAAGACAATTGTAATTATAAAGTATAGTGAATTAGATATTGAGTAGTCAACTATGCACAATTGAGTAAAAGAAAATAAATATTAGTGAAGGAATAATGTTTATTATATTATATGAGTTTTACACAATTTAAAATAAAAAGATCATATAATCAAAATTATAATGTATGTGCTATATATAATATTATACACGCAATGTGGTATATTCAGATGGGAATGCAAAAGTGTGGGACCCAAAAGCATTAACACTAGGTAACAATCCAGCATTTGGTATAATATTCCAAGATAATGTTAAAGTAATATTCCTATTTCCCCTGTAAAAACAAAATACAATATATTTAATATCTATGATTTTATCTCCAAATATATATTTTTTTTCTCTATAATATTCAATCTCTATGATATTTTACCTAAGACCTTTGCCATCATCCCAAAAGTAATATTTTGTATTCATGTTTTTGAAGTCAAGTAGAGCATTGTCTCCACGAAGTACTATTTTATCCCATAATACTACCTACCAGTAAAAAAATAAGAATTATCTTTTTATATAAAAATTATATAGAATATAAATTAACAAGTTAGTAAATATACCTGATTAAATTCATTATTCTCTGTTTGGTATTCTGCTGTTAAATATAAGAATAACTGTTTAACATTCCAATTAAATAATGGAGTGAGATGTAAAAGAAATGTAAGGTAAATAGTTCGACACACTTATGTAATATAATAGTTTCATAAAAAAAAAGATTGATATATTTCTATCAGACTTCTATTTTTTTTTAAACTAGTTCATAGAAGCAAAGCAATAGTTCAAATTAAATACATATATTTATCCAAATTAAATATGTGATTTGAATACTACATATGACTATTAAAGATAATTATATAATATTATGTGTAAAGGATATCAGTTTGTAGATCAAAAGTTAAGTAACCCAAGTCATTCTTTTCCCTCGATGCGCTATAATCTGGAACATTTTTCCTGGAAAACATGATTCTTCTATCATAACTGTTTTTAACCATATAAAACCAAATGTAGCATATATATATAATAATTTTTAACATATTGAAATAAGCAAAGTTCTATAACATAGCTTTCAGTTTAGCTTTGTAGTAGATTACAAAATACAAGAACATAGTTAATTTGATGGAAACATGTTTTAAGATGGAAAAAATTCATAACATCTGTTATCACTTACACAACAACTTTAACTGTATTTAACGTTGCGTTCGCTCTGTAATCGATAAATACCGTTGAAAGAAAACAGCAAAATGTGAGGCAGGCTGATACACTTAACGTATATGCTAAGATAGCATTTCCACGCGTTAGAACTGTATGCATATTGTAATCTTGCACTTTGTTGATAACTGCAATAATCTCCTCAAATTAAAATTAACTGATGTAACTATGCATCAATAAATTTCTAACCAATATGCATTGTTTTCCCGAAATCTTGAAATTTTCAACGTCAGCGCTCTAAAGCATTGAACTATAAATATAACCATACTGGAAGGAGCCCTAGTCCATCCACGATACCGAGCGGTTAGAGAGAGATAGTTAAGCTGGGGCCGTGTTGTCTCTTTTTAACATCAACTACCATGGCTGGTAACATTAGTCCCGATCTGTACGGTCGCGGATATAAAGGTTGTCACTTTTTTTTTAATGACTTTCGGGACGCATCCCGACTCGAGAAAGATGAAAGCTGCTGGCTGCTCGGCCTGCGGAGCACACTGCGCAGTAACTCACAACGAAAGGCGAGAAATGAAATATACGTGGTATGACATAAGTATGTCAACAATCATTGCATTTAGCGGAGAAAACCGCTCAATGAGCGATTAGTGACTATTGGTCCTTACTATTAGATCCTTACATTCAGACCAACAACGTTGACAAATTATTCAATAGTTGCTCAACCGTTGAACGCGTCGTGAACGCACCCAATTCTTACATTTTGAAAAATCAGCAGCAGAGGGATAGATAGATACATAGTGCAAGTCATTCAAATGGGAATGCATCTTTTGCAAGGTATTGGACAGGTATGTATATTAAATTTTAAGTGAAATCGTATTTATTTAGTCACTAATCGTTCACTGAGCGGTTTTCTCCGCTGAACGCAATGATTGTTGACATACTTACGTCATACTACGTATATTTCAATGGCTGCGTTCAGAAAACACAACGGTTACACAACGGTTGAGTAATTCGTCAACGTTATTGGTCTGAATGTAAGGATCTAACAGTAAGAACCAATAATTACTAAGCGCTCAGTGAGCACTTTGTTTTCTGAACGCAACCATTTCTCGCCTTTCGTTGTGAGTTACTGCGTAGTACCGCGATTCTGTAACTCGTTATTGGAGTTAACGACACTTTCGTTATCGTTGCGCAGCTTTTGTATACCGTAGAAAAGCTGAGCAACAATAACGAAACTGTCGTTAACTCCAATAACGAGTTACAGAATCGCACCACAGTGCAGCGATTCTGTAAAGCTAAGACTCCATGCATGCGGTGAGCTGCGGCAAACGGTTGCGGTGACCAATCAGGAGACAGACGCATGCCGGAGCTTGCCGCAACCGGACTTGCGCCTCCCTCCTGATTGGTCACCGCAACCGTTTGCCGCAGTTCACCGCATGCATGGAGTCTTAGCTTAAAGCCAGCGGCACACGGTGCTTGTTTTTGGATGAAAATACTGCGTTCTAATTGGTGCATTTCCATCTATCTTCGAAAATGTACCAATCAGAACGTAGTATTTTCATCCAGCAAGCAATCCAGTACGAAAACAAACACCGTGTGCCGCTGGCTTAATACCTCATCTACAATAGAAAGGTCATTCTACAATACGTGTCGTAAGTTGTAAGCCGTAAGAACTGACCAATTATAGCCGATTATTTTTGTAATAATCGACTGTGATTTACCAATTCTTACGGCTTACAACTTACGACACGTATTGTAGAATAACCTTTCTACCTCGTCTACAATAGAAGTCGTAGAGTCGTAAGTTGTAGAAATTGACCAATCATAGTCCGGTAAGAGAAAAATAATCGACCGCGATTGATCAATTTGTACGACTTACGACTCTACGACTTCTATTGTAGACGGGTATTATATTGTAGACGAGGTATAACTCGTTATTGGAGTTAACGACACTTTTGTTATCGTTGCGCAGCTTTTGTATACCGTAGAAAAGCTGCGCAACAATAACGAAAGTGTCGTTAACTCCAATAACGAGTTACAGAATCACACCACAGATGTCCAGACTCTGTATTCTAGGGTTTCTAGGCTCGGCTAAAAGCGGCCCATGACACTTCTCCTTCTTCTACTCCTACAGGTCCAGAACTATCTATTGAAGGAAGGAAGAAAGGATGATCGAGAGAGTCATCATATGTCAAAATGGCCGAGCTTATAGCGATCCCGTTGAAGAAACCGTCGGACATTGACGTAATAAAACCTCTTACTAATATTATCAAATCTACATATAATAGCCCAGGTAATCAAAAAGATTATACAGACGCTATCGCAGAATTCAGCAAGTTGAGAAACAACGCTTTGTGGCGAGCTTTTGAGAAATATGAAAGTTCTTTGGAGGTTATCTACACGTATGTATGAGTCATCTGTAATTAATGATAGTGTTAATTGTAAAGCGATAACAAAATGTTATGTCACTAACCATTGTGATCCATGATGTCATTCGGCGAAATGAATATTGCATTTATCATACATTTTATATATATAATTGAATCTTAAGATTCATGTCAGTCATATGATTAAATTCCATTGTAAGTGAAAGATATTGGATTAGTGTGCTCAGTACTCGGTAGTTAATTCAAACAGCTTATTAAGGTTGAACTTCAATTCAAGCAGAATCTCAAACTGTATGATTATTTATATATATATATATATATATATGATTCCAGGATAACAGAATATCTCAAGAAATATAAATTTTATAAAAAATTTTAGACATAAGTTGGACTTAAAAAGATCTATTCATTTGCTTTATCAAATTGACTTTGAGTGGTGCCACTAAAGTTAGGTCAAGATCTCTTGAATTTTTTTGATAGCATCTTTTTTTTATATATCTTCAAGTCTCTTGTCAAAGGTATCTGTAAAAGAATCAAAAGAATCTGTAAAATATTATCAATGTCTTATTTTAAACTGTAACAGTTTCAAAATATATCGAATTTGAAGTCTGTACTTAAATATATTGTTATACTCAGAAAAAATGAACATCCCTATTTATAGAATGTTTCTACAAAATATCTACTTCATGTTTTATTTAATATTTTTTTTATTTCATACAAATTTTTAAATATTTCAAATTTGGAGTTAGTTTCAACCATAATCAGGCTTCAAATATAATCAGACTGAAAAGATATAAGCAAATTAAGGTTCAATCTTAAAATTTTTACTGTTTTTGAATTATATATATTTACGAATTTGTATATTTCATCAATATATTTCAAAACAAGGACATATTTGGAATTTAAAAGTTTCTGCTCTACATTCCATATTTAAAGAATATGCAGAGCTATTGTTCCAACCTGCAATTCATGGAATTGCAAATTTTTCACACTTTTATTTTAAAAAGATCAAAATTTCTAAAATTAGAATTCACTATTCACTATAAGTAAAATAGATTAAATTTAAACTTAATAATAAATAAAATAATAAATTGATTTACAAATTAATAATAGGTTTAAAACTTATTCCATATATTCAATTATATTAAAACTTATAAATTTTTTATGAAATTTTAGAAATTTAGAACTTTACAAATTAAGATATTTTCATTATATACACACTCACATACAGAGTAAAGTGTGACAACCCAAAAACCCTAAAAATATTTGTCATCAAAAAATTGTTCATAACAAAGTTTCATGTATCTGAGAAGTCTTTCTAACTATATAAACAAAAGTCCATTCTTACTCTTCTTCGGAGTTGAGTGGTAATTTCATAATTTCATATAAGATCTATAAAATGTTACACATTTGGATTTTACAGGAAGAAACAAGTAAATTTTATCTGGAACATTTTTTTAAAAAATACTTCTATCAAAAGTTGTAAATATTTTAACTTTACAGTAAAATGCATTCAAATTAAAGCGATAAAACCATAAATTAAATAAAAGACTTCATAGTTTTTCATATTTTTTACTTTATTGAGCTCGAGTACATGAAATTTGTCATGAACAAGTTTTTGATACGACAAATATTTTTAGAATTTTTGGATTTTCACACTTCATGTGGAGCACGCTATATACAGGGTGTCCCATAATTGTAACACACCAACTCCATAGGGGTGTAGAGCTAAGCGAGAGGAACGAAAAAGTCCTTTTCCATTTAGCGATATCTCGCATAGTTTTTTTAGTAATAACCGCGTAAAGTTGGGCGTTTGTCACTCCCATCATGACCTATAGATGCTCTGCGGCGAGCTATGTGCGTCGAAGCTGAGCAGTATCGCGGCTCGCACTAACCGTCGCACAGTGTCAAGACGCTATCGCGACAGTTAGCGTGAGACACGTTATCGATCAACTTCGCCGCAGAGCGTCTATAGGCCAAGATGGGCGTGACAAACGCCAAACTTTACGCGGTTATTACTAAAAAAAACTATGTGAAATATCGCTAAATGGAAGAGGACTTTTTCGTTCCTCTCGTAGCTTTACACTCCTACGGAGTTGGTGTGTTACAATTATAGAACACCCTGTATACAAGGTGCCCCATAACTTAATACGAAAAATTCGTGGAGATATAGAATGGGTTAAGGAGGTATGGAAGTCCCGTATTGTTTTGCGATATTCACAATAAGTACCGAATTATTAATGACACAAATCTGATGAGCGCGCGCTAAGATGTATGATTGGAGAAGATTTCTGTTATTAATAATGCGATATCTATTGTGAATATCGCAAAACGGTATAGAACTTTTATGTTTGTCTTATTCTATTCTGTCTCCACGAATTTTTTGTACTGAGTTATGGGACACCCTATATATTATATAGGCAAGGTGCCTTAATTTAGATGATCGAACGCTTGTATATAACAACGGGTAGAACTCGTTGAATAAAAAAATCTACCATTTTGTAACCTACTTTTTGTATCATTTGTAAACTACTACAGTAATTATCATGATTATAATGATGATATTAATGAAAAAAATTGATCGATGTGCGCGATGCAGTAGGGTGAACTTTTTAGACGAATCTCACTGGAGATATTTGAATCTATCAATAATTTTCTATTGACGGTGTGTAATACTGAATAATGTTCAATATGAGATTGTATTTTCTCACTATCATTACATACTATTTGTTGCCCAAAAGATTGTTAATAAATGTTAGACATCTTGCATGAAATAATGTTTCACCCTATTGCGTTATGTTACAACCATTTGCTAATTTTCTTTCATTAATATTTTGATAGTTACTATAGGATTTTACAAAACAGTAGAGGATTTTTCTATTCAGTTTAACAGGTTTTATTTGCGACACTTAGATCCAAACATTTTGTGCATGTGTTTAAAACTTATATACTATAATTTGTAGAAATCTTTAAATTTCCAATATATTTATAAAAAAATTAATAAATATACACACATGCTTTTATATTTATTTATTTATAGCTATTATGATCAGTTATGCGCTCTGGAAGGAAAAATCCCTGCTCATGAATTGCAAATACCATTTAAATGGAAAGATGCTTTTGACCGTACCATTTTTGGGGGGAAACTTAGTTTAAGTAAGTATTAAAAAAAATCATTTTATTTTTTATCAGAAACTGTCATCAATTTGTAACTTTGTATTAAAACTTATTTTAATTATTTAAAAACTAGCACTCGATACAAAAGTGTTACAAAAATACTTATTGTTACACTAAGTGTTAAAAAATACTTATTATTACTTACCTTTAAACATAGAATATATAATTAAGTATAATAGATAAGATAAGAGTGATATAGATTCCAAGTAGGTATATGCAACTTATCTTATTAAACTTATCTGTTATTTTTATTCACAGCAATCAGTACATTGGCGTATGAAAAAGTATGTGTTCTTTTCAATATAGCTGCTTTACAAAGCTCAGTTGCTGCTATGCAATCATTAGATAGCGATGAAGGATTAAAATTGGCAGCTAAATTGTTCCAGGTTTTTTTTCTATACATTAATAATATTTTCGACATATTAATCATGTTTTAATCGATTAATTCCTTTTATTTTAGCAAGCGGCTAGTATATTTAATTTTTTAAAGGGAAATGTTATGATAGCTATTCAACAAGAACCAACACCCGACATTAGTCCAGAAACGCTCGGGGCGTTAAGCGCCTTAATGCTCGCACAAGCACAAGAAATATTTGTGTATAAAGCAATTCATGATTCTATGAAAGATGGTATTGTCGCTAAACTAGCAGCACAAACAGAAGAATTGTATGCGGTTGCTTTGAAGATGTTTCAAAAAGAGATTTTCCGTGCGTTTTGGGATAAAGAATGGGTACCTTTGGTTAGTACACTGAAAGGGTATATAAGACATAATAATTTTTTATATTTGCACGGAAATTATAGATACTTGTAAATATTACAGATAGCAGGTAAACAAGCTGGTTACCGTGCTATGGCTGAATATTATCAGTCGCTTGTATGCAAAAACAATAAAATGATTGGAGAAGAAATTGCTAGATTAGAGGTAATTATATTGTCGGTAAAAATTCATTGCAATCTCTTGCAAATGAATTTCTTTAAAGTGATTATACAGTAGTGTGTTAACATGTAGCATGCTATGGAGTTATTCAAAGCTGCTCAACAAAGATCAAACAAGCCTAATTTGTTCCAAGACTGCGCTAATAAAACGCAAAGAAATTTAACGGAGGTGAAGAAAGATAATGATTTTATATATCACGAAAGGATTCCAGACATCAAGAATTTGGAATCTATAGGAAAAGCTACCGTTGCTAAACTACTTCCGCTTCCTGAGACGTTCAGTTCTAATTTTAAAGGTTTATGATAATGATTTTACGCAATTTTATATATGATCTTATCTTCATGTATTAAATTAATCATATGTTTATAGATCTTTTTGCGGAATTGCTGCCTGTTAGTATACACCATGCATTGTCAGCTTACGAAACTCGTCGCAATGAACTTGTCAATTATGAAGTTTCGAATTTACGGGAAATGACCCAACTTCTAAATAGGTATGTGAACAAGTAATTCGTTAAGTTATTATTGTTTTATAATAAATTTCTTATTTATATGTGTACAGTGTTTTGGCAAGTTTGAATCTACCAGCAGCTATTGAAGATACCAGTGGAACAGAAATACCTCAATCATTGTTAGAAAAAGCTCATTACGTACGAGACACAGGTAGAATAAAAGGTTTAGAAGCATCCATGGAAGAGTTGCCAGACTTATTGCAACGTAATAAAGAACTTCTAGATGAGGTGAAAATATTCTTTAAAGTTACTTTGTATATTGTGCGTGTGGAAGTAAGTTTACGCACATGTCTTGCTAATATCTTTATTTATAGTCTGAGAGAATGCTACAAGAAGAACGTGAATCTGATAACCAATTACGAGATCAATTCAAAGAACGTTGGAAGAGGATACCGAGTGCCCGATTGACAGAACAGTTTACTGTCAATTTACAAAAATATCGCGAGATTATTAATAATGCAGTTGCTGCTGATAAAGTAAATGTTTGAGGAAACAAAGAAAAAGATCTTTCTTTTATGTTTTTATATTCTTTGTACTTTTATTAACATTCTGTCATTAACAGAATTTATTAACATATTTATTAACATATTGGTCATGTACAGGTAGTTCGTGAGAAATACGAAAATCACAAAGAAGGAATGGAATTTTTAAGTTTGGATGAGGATGAACTTACCAGAGCTGTTCCGCAGGGTTCAGCTGTTCAAGAGAGTAATGTTGTTAAGCAACTTAGGAAATTAATGGAAGATGTAAGTGAGTGATAATATAACAACAAATGAGATACATACGCACACATCCACACATACGCATAAATTTCTTAAAAAAAGAGATAATCATTAAAATATCTATATTTTAGGTAGCTGTTTTGAAAGCTGAACGTGATACCATCGAAAGTGAATTTAAATCCGCTACCAATGATATGAAAAGTACATTCCTATCGGCCTTAGTCAAAGATGGTGCGATCGATGAACCGAATATATCTGTTGAGAATTTAGGGAAATGTTACGGGCCTTTGCAAAAACAAGTACGAGAGAATATAGCGCGCCAGGAAGAATTAGTTACTGAGATTCAGGTGTGTCTAGGATCCTTGTAAGATAAATTTGTAATTGTATAAATTGTAATTGTTTACGAATTAGATAAGATAAAAAGTAAAATATAAATTAATTTGTAATAATTTTAGCGTTGCCATGCAGAATTTACAAACGAACAAGTCGGTGCTGGTAGTTCACGGGAAACAATGCTCTGTAAACTAGCTTCTGCCCACGATGCATTTAAAGAACTCAAAAATAACTTAACAGAAGGAGCTAAGTTTTATAATGATTTAACACAGGTATGCGCTTACATATAATATTATTTCGTACATTTGTTATTAAAAACGTCGTTGACATGTAAACTTATCTATTTCTTTCGATAGTTATTGGTGGTTTTCCAAAACAAGATATCCGATTTTTGTTTCGCTCGAAAAACTGAAAAGGAGGAGTTACTAAAAGATTTAACGACAAATTTGAGCCATACTGGCCCTGCTACGACGCCGAACATTCCATCTCATCATAGTGGTATAAATTAATGAGTACACCATTAATTTTATATTAATATTTTTGAATTTTATAGTATCTACATTATACTAGTGAAATAATTATAGTGACACTTGAAAATTATTATTGACATTTTACTAGGATTTAATATAAAAAGTTTAAATTACTGCGTTTCATATAAATATTAATCTTTATCTAAAGGTCCATCTGGCATGAGCCAAACAACGGATACTGCTTTATCATCGCAGCTACCTTATCCTGTGCAACAAGGTGGTATGCCCATGCCTTATGGTGTTACACCAGCACCATACCCAGCATATGTGCCTCCACCTATGCCAGCAGCTTACAATCCGTATGCTACGATACCGTATCCTACGCAAGGTATATAAATGTCTCAAGCTTATCTATAATCATGTATATGTCATTTGGAATTATTTAAAATATTTAAGCTGCGTTCTGAAATTCACTGCCAATACTGAAAATACATAGTTTGTGTCACGTATACTATAAAATTTCAGTGCTGGCAATGGATATCGGAACGCAACCTTAATTATAGTCAGGCACATGAGCCATCTCGCCTATATACAGGGTGTCTTATAACAATTGTTACAGAGTTTGTGGAGACATAGAACGGGTTAAGACAAACATAAAATTCCATAATCCCATATCGTTTTGCGATATTCACGATAATTATCGAGTTATTAATTACAAAAATCTGACAAGTGAACATGCGCCGAGATAGATGATTGGAGAAGTGCCGCCGCCACTCGAGCTATAGCGCGGTCCAATCGATCTAGCAATTGTTGGTAGCATGCAGAGAGACATAGAAACGGCGAGATAAAACACGAATAAGTGCAATAATTGCTGGATCAACTAGCCTGCACTGTAACTTGAGTGGCTGCAACACTTCTCCAATCATCTATCTCGACGCGCACTAGTCAGATTTCAGTCATTAATAACTCGATAACTGTTACGAATATCACAAAACGGTGTTTATATTTATTTGTTCTTATGTTTGTCTTAATCTGCTCTATGCTTCACGAATTTCTTGTACTAAGTTATGGGACACGCTGTACATAAAATTTTTTTTATTTTTCATAACACTTATGTATATATTTAAGTTTTTTCAGTAGCTTTCAATTTAGGACAATATTGCTCTACAATCTATCTATGCCATCTTTCTACAATCACATTATTTAATAACTTTGAAAAACTATTTGATTGGTCATTTTATTAATCGGCTATATCATAAATACATAAAGACGTGTGAGAGAGAGAGAAAGAGAAAGAGTATGATTATTAATGAATTTTTAGGGGGATATAATCCGTATCAGCCATTACCTCAAGTTCCATATGGCGCTTATGCAACGTTACCACGTTATAGTGGTGCTCAAACACCACGTGGTCCAAATCCATGGTAAAAGTTATACAGGCATGTAGCATTCATAACTTTAGGGTATATTATATGGTATATGTGATTTTGCGCAGTTCATAATTATATTGATTAAAGTAAATCAAGCATTTTGAATATATAAATTCTAAAAAGACCCGCTATTAACAAACAAATTTATAGAGACAGTGGTTACATTTGACATAAGTTAATATATATGTTAGCACTTGTGTTCCCGACAAGGTTTTAGAATAATGTTTTCAATGATTAAAAGCGTTTATGCTTCCCCTAGCTTACGCTTATTAAGATATTTCGCTATCTTCGCAGGTCTTTTGATTGATGATGTTAGAAACGAAAAAGAGATATGTTCAATATTCTTGCAAAATTCAATAAAATAAAAAAATATATTCATAAAACAGCACAATCTATTGAACATGTTTGTAAAATATTTTAGGCATTTTCTCCTATAACAATAAATCTTAAAATTAATGCGACATCTAATGTCATATTAATTTCAAAGTGTTACTATTTTAACTTATATTTTCTTATAATTCTGCCATATTAATTTTATGGTTATTGATGAAATAAACAGAAAGAGTTTGGACTATTTTATATATCTGCTCAATTGGTTGTCATTTAAAAAAAATTTTATTTGTATTTTTATTTTATTTTTGTAAGAATTTTGAACATTTATTTTCTCGCTTTTACCAATAATTATAGATGGCCATGGAGAGTAATCAGAAACTTTAAATATATTTTTAATATGCTAAAAAAAGTGGGAACTGTTCAGTAAATATGTTACAAAGCTATTGAACAGCACTCAGTAAAATTTTAAAAGTCATAAAATTACTTTTTCTATTGAATGTAACCAAAATTATTTATAATCCAAAGAAATTTGTATTTACTGATTATTGTGCTACATATTTATGTCATAGTAAATCTTTTTTATGATACAAATTGATTGTTGTTTGTTGAGTTTTAAGTGTCGCTTTATCAATTGCTTAGAAGAGCTTATTATACATCAATAAATTTATAAATATATTTTGTGAAATAAACTGGAAGAGAATGTACAATTATGTGTATAAATTATTTTCACATCTGTTATCAAAATGTTATTTTAGAAGAATTTGCAAGTTGTTGCTGATGTTTTTTAATGTGTGACGTGGGAACCTGTTATGAAATTGTGAAAAGGTTTCCAACTGGAAAGATTCTATTTTCTGTAAGTTATTCTAGGTAATTATCCAGTTTAGGGGCTCCGCCTTAGAATTCGATAAAAATAGACTCAATCAACGCGTTTTTTAATAAGGAGCAACTTTTTCCTCTACGAAAATTGTCGCTCTCCACTGCGAAACGAAATAAAAATAGTTAAAGTTGACTGGTATAATAGGTTAGGAAATCTGTCAAGATTCCGGATGGGTTTGCAACTTTTCACGCGCAACGAGGACGGGGTGGGTGCGGGAGGGGGGGCCGAAGGCCCCCCTCGCACCCCCCCGTGTGTGTGTGTGTGTACATATGTTTGTATATTTGTGTGTGAACTCTAAATTACACACATAAGTACAGAGAGAAGTTTTGATTTTAAATTAGCGCACTTTTTACATGCGCACGCAACCACTGAGCATGCGCACGTAACCACAGAGTGTACTCCTGTCGCTATCTTTAGTCTGTATGACAGATTTCCTAACCTATTATAGTCAACTTTAACTATTTTTTTTTCGTTTCACAGTGAAGAGCGACAATTTTCGCAGAGGAAAAAGTTACTCCTTATTAAAAAACGCATTGATTGAGTCTATTTTTATCGAATTCTAAGGCGGAGCCCCTAAACTGGATAATTATCGTTATTCTATTATGGCTATTCGGATTATACATGGTAAGGAAAAAGTATGGAAACCTTTAAAAATCTCGAAAGATATAAGTTTTATAGAAGTGTTCTAGAGAAACGTTATACCTCATCTACAATAGAAGTCATAGAGTCGTAAGTCGTACAAATTGACTAATCGCGGTCGATTATTTTTCTCTTACCGGACTATGATTGGTCAATTTCTACGACTTACGACTCTACGATTTCTATTGTAGACGAGGTATTATAGGGCCAGACTTCTGCATAACGCATAATACATAATACATAAGAGAATAAACCAATTAGTTTTCTTCATTTCCCTCCTCAGGACAAAAATGAAGAACTCTGATTGGTTGATTCTCTTATACGTTGTGTATTATGCGTTATGCGGAAGTCTGTGCTCTAGCCCTAAAGGCCTATCCAGACAAACTTGCATAAGCGCGTAACGCATATGCATAAGGAAATTGACTAATCATATGTTTAATACAAAAAATATTTTTTTACTACACGGATCATAATTGGTCAATTTCCTTATGCATATGCGTTACGCGCTTATGCAAGTTTGTCTGGATAGGCCTTAAGCCATCCTTCTGCTCTCGTGACAGCGCAGGCGTATGAAGCCGTGGTTGTCTTTCTCCTGAGTTGAAACGCGTTCCGAAGTCAACAAAAAATGGATGCACAAACCTATTAGGCTTGGTCTACAATACCGTGTCGTAAGTTGTAAGCCGTAAGAATTGGCGAATCACAGTCAATTATTACAAAAATAATCGGTTATAATTGGTCAGATCTTACGGCTTACAGCTTACAACACCTATTGTAAACCAGGCCTTAGATCACGAGTGTACATAGTTGTATAGAAAGCGTTTCACATAAAGCTCGGTTAAAAGAAACCCATATGACCTCTGTTCTTTTTCTCTTTGGTCTTAATGAAGAAGTATCGTCAGAATATCTGGAATTGTCTGGAATTGTCTGAAATGTTCGTTTTTGTGTATTTATACGTGGTGTTAAATTCTATATATTTATAAAATATATAATATTAAATTTTTCGCCATTTATAATATTTCAATATTGTTGACATGCTTATGCGATAAATTTATGTGAAAAAAAACATAATAAGCTTACTAATTAATTTGAATAACAACGTGATAAAAGACGTTTTTGTGTTACAAAGTGATCTCAAAAAATAAAATGGATTTTAACGATTTGTTGTCCGTCGCACAGAAGAACAAAGCTCAGAAGCAGGTTAAGTTACATTTTTGTCTTCTTCATTATGGGTAACAAAAGATATCTTGTTCATGTACATATAGCATTATTACAACTTAGTTTTTAGACATATTCAGATTGAACGTATTATAACCTTAATAATTAACAAATTAATATTGCATTTTTTCATCAACAGTTAAAGGCTGTGTTGTAATAATTACTGCTAATACTCACAATTTTTAGTATAAGTAACATGATCAGTAGATTTTCAGTATTAATAATTAATATTGGAACACAGCAGGATTATTAGATGTGTTATTAGATTCCAAAACACTGAATATATTTTTAGGTGTAATATAAGATGTAATAAATATTCTATAATTAAATTTAATATGTTGGAATTTTTCAAAAACAAATCTTATTGGACCATCAATTACTTTCTGAACCATAAAAAAGAATGTTCAGACTGTTTTGAAATAATTGTACGAACACTTAAATATATATTTAATTAGAAAATATTTAAATCTAACTAACTAAACTATCTAAACTAACATTATAGATAGCACTACAGATATACATATCATATTGATAGATTTATATATATGTATGATGTTAAAAAAAATGGTTCAAAGCTTTAATACTCACAAAGCTTTAATACTCACAAAATAAAGGAAAAAATTCTAATAAACATAGATTAGAAAATTAATATTGTTGGAATCATGAGCAATTATTTATTTTAATTAAAGCAAGTGACTTACTTGCTTCTGGTATACAGCCATATATAAAATATATTTCTGCTATTTGTTGATTAGAATAATACAATGATATGCTTATTGTGTTCTGAAAACTTTGTGATAACTTTCTACAAATATTTACTATTTATAAGGATATATGACTAACAATTATTTGATAAAGCATATGTATAAATAGGAAGAAAATAAATATCTGTTTATGTTCCAAACAAGAGCCATATACCAAAGAGTCTTTTTTTTAAAGATTCTTTTAAGATTCCTTTAAAGCATGGTATTCTTTATTGATAAATGACATAGATAAATTATATCAGAGAATACAAAAATATCAGAAGTAAGTTACTTGCTTTAATTAAAATAAATAATTGTTCATGACTAATAATATTAATTTCTTGACACATGTTTATTAAGATTTTCTTCATCCATTTTTTTATGAAAACTATCTATCCTTAAAGTTCTGAAGCTATTTTTTTAAACATTCTGTATAATATGTATATTTATGTGTTTGTCTGATATATACAGGATGTTCCATTTTAAAAAACACCTCAATAATTCTTCAACGAAGCATTTTCAGCCAAAATGTTTCAGACAAAAGTTATGATTTCAAGGAGGACATAAAACAACTATACCATTTTGTTTATAAATGGCACCACTTTTGAGATATTTACTGATCATTATACATACTTTTCTTAAATGGAAATCCTAACTTTTTATTAGATCATCTTTCTATCAATTAATTTAATCAATTAAACAATTTTTGTCTGAAACATTTTTTTATTTGTCTAATATTTTTTGAGATATTTAAGGAACACTTGATAACTTCTTCAATATTTAACTTACGATATCTCGCTAACTATTTGGGAGAAAAAGTGGTACTAGACTTTTTTGCTCTACTTGGTCTCAAGAATATATTGTTACATAGTGCCCTGACTTTCATTAATTTGATGATTTTGAAATTTTCGAAAGTCAATAAGTTAACAAAAGTCAAGGCGCTATTATAACAATATATTCTTGAGATTAAATAGAGCAGAAAAGTCCAGTACTATTTTTTTTCCAACAAATAGTGAGATATCGTGAGTTAAATATTGAAAAAGTTATCAATTTTTCTTTAAATATCTCAAACAATATTAGGCAAATAAAAAAGTGTTTCAGACAAAAGCTGTTTAAATTAATTGGTAGAAAAAGGCAGTGTAATAAAAAATTAGGGTTTTCATTTAAGAAAAGTAATGATCAGTGAATATCTCAAAAGTGGTGCCATTTGTAAACAAAATAGTATAGTTGTTTTATATCCCCCTTGAAATTATACAACTTTTGTCCAAAATATGTTTGCTGAAAATGCTTCGTTGAATAATTACCGAGGTATGTTTTTGAAAAATGGGACACCCTGTATATATATATATAATGTGCATGAGCAGGCATGTATCATGTGCACATGCGTGTGTACGTGTATGTTTATAGATTTCTTCTTTTTATAAGAAATTTTAGTTATATTTTAATATTTAATGCTAATATGTGAAATTTATAGTTAATATTACTGGTTAATGTTATGGTGAATGTTTACATTAACTAAAGCTATCTCTGATGAGTTTGAGCTTGACATATATCATTAAGGTTTTGTCCTTGAGTAGTATTCAAAAGGTGTTAGTTGTCATTCATTTTTTTTTAAAAGTTACTAAAAAAAGAAGATTATATTAGTTATATTTATTATCAAGCATATATAGTAGAGTAATAACTTGATATATGCTGTCATAGTCAATGTTTTAAGTTGTAACAATAAAAAGGTTGGCAATTGTGAAGAATATAGGCCTCCTCATCAATTTCGCTGAAAATTGTATATTTTGGTGCGAAGAACGCGAATTTGAAAGAAAAAAGGGTAATTATTTAGAAGATCTCAGATCAAGATTTAGAAGGGCCTCACCTTGGATTTCGTTCAAACTCACCTATCTTATGTATTATGACGTGTTAAATCATGTGTCTGTCTTTGTCTAAGTTGAAGGAAAGACAAAGATAAACATATGATTTAACTATCAGTTAACTGACCAAGGAGTTGGAACAACCGACCCTAAAAGGAACAGACCATCAGTCTCTGCATTACTGACATGACAGATTTCCTAACCTCGTTGTATCATTTTTTATTATTTTATAACTTTAGATCTGTTTGAGAGCGATACTTTTTCTTTCAAAATCGTGTTCTACACATCAAAATACACAATTGTGCAAAGTTTCAGCAAAATTGGTGAGAAGACCCATATTCTTCACAATTACCATATTATTTTTTAAACAGGCTATACCATGTTATCAAACAAAATTTGCACCATTGAAGAAACAGACCAAACAATCTAAAGCTCTCTCAGAAAATATTAAAAGGTTTTTAGCTCGTAAAGAAGAAGAAGAGAAACAGAAAGCTTTGGAAGAGAAAAGAAAAAAAGAGGTAATCTTATGGGAAATTCTTAATGAAAATATTGTAACATTATATATTTGTGTGTGTATGTTTCTTATATTATAATAGATCTTATATTTGCAATTATTTTATTTTTTTACTTTTGATTTACAGAACCTTCTAGCATTGCGAGATCGCAAAGCTCAAAGTCGGATAAACAAACACTTGAAAGTATGTAAATCAGCAAATAAGTCAGTGCTTGCAGATGCAATTGATAATGACAATACAGCTATTACTATAACAGGTAACACTATATGACTTTATATAGATAGATAATTTATTTGTCTTCTAGAAAAACTTTGTTACCTTCATATGACAGATAATAATACCTTCATATGATAGATTAAGTATAGTTTTAATCTGTCTTATATTTTTTTATTCATAATATATATAAAATAAAATATATAATCAATTATATTCTTTAATGAAATATAAAATTGAAGTTCCAAACATATGCAAGCAAATTACAGTTTACTTTTATTTTATTTATTTATAATTGCATTATTTTCTTTGGCGATATAAACAAATTTGTTTATATATATTTTTTTGCTAAATCGTTACATGTTAAAATGTAAAATTATCAGATATCAAAACAAATTATAGAATGGCAAAGTAAAAAACTACAACATTGTAGTAAATTCAAAGTGCAAAGTAGAAAATAGATATATACTGATACAAGTGATAGAATAAATAAGCAGTTTATTGCAATAAATTTATTTATTAAAGCAGTTTATTAAAATAAATAAGCAATTTATTTGCATGTTATTATCAGCTTAATAAAAGAGAAAAAGTCTTATCCATAATGGGCAATATTTTTGCCCACAGGTTATTATATACAAGAGATACAATGAATAAATTAACCATCATCTCAAATCGGGGCAGAACAATTTCATGGATTTGCATCATGGAAGATACTAAGGTATTAATTAAGGCCAGCGATTTAATTTTAGAGTAGTTTAGAGGGTTCATAAGTATGCAATATCTGCTCAATTTATTCGTGAATTTTGTTCAAAATGATACAGAAAGAGTTATATTATTTATACCTATTATTTATACCTATTTATTTATTACCTATGATATTAATGCAAATCTATGCATGATATTTTATTGCATAATACATTTTTTGCTAATACTTTTAAAATAAGTTTTATCCTCTACATATGGTTATAGTTATGTTCTCTTATTCTATTTTTAGAATTGTCTAAAACAAATGGAATAAAAAGACAATTTCAATAAATTGTTTATTATTTTGTTTATCATTTAATATTTTTATCTGCTCTTTTATCATATGTTAATTTTTGTTAATAATGAAAGTATATCATTTGATGTTTATAACGAACACAAAAATATTTATTGCAATTCATTGCACGTTATATGATATTACTAGACATTATATTTTTAACAGTAAAGTATAACATACCATTTTTCTACATGTCTTACATATCAGTTGTTTACTCAACTACATTGTCATAAATCATTTCTTGTTAGAGTAATAGAAACAAGGAATTGGAATTTTATTCTTATGTAATTATAAAATGAATTCTCATGCTTGATGTTTGGAACTTTATTTTTATATAATTATTAAATGTGATATATTATTAATTAGAGTAATATATCCTACATAAAATAATAAATCTTATACACAGGTCCATCTCAGCCAGATGAGGATGATTATGGATATGTATCACAGGAAGCTGCTGCACTTTATACTCAATTAATGAATAAATATAATAAACTACCTCCAGAGAAACCTATATTTAGCAACAATGAAAAAAGAACAGTAAATGATATTGCATCTACGAAGGTATAATAATATTATATTATATAAAAAAATTTTAAGAAAATATTTTTTAAATATTTTTTTATTTTTGTGTAATATTAAGTGGGTATTTTATTTGAATAAATGTTAGTTAATATATAGGATATCTAATAATTAATGATATAATACTTAGAGTGTAGATAGAGCACGTCAGACTGGACAGAAAAATTCTCTATTTGCAGAATTGCAGCATAATTAATAAATATGAAATGAAATATAACAAATGAGTACGTACTATACAGTAGAAAGGACTTTATAGGCAAGGGCCTTATTCAAATTACCTCAAATCTGTTAGCATAATCTTTTGCTAAAAACGTGTGTATGACGCAGGTTGTATATTTCTATAGTTCAGCATTATATACTATCTACTATTACTAGGAAATTATCAACAAATTAAAGGCATTAAATGTGCTCTATCTACGCACAAGCATTATATTATTAATTATCAAACATCATGTAAATATATGATCCAGAATTGAGGACTTTGAGTTCTCACCACAGCTATACTGGATAATAACGTTAAAGACGAAAATGATACGTTAAAACTTCTTGCATGTCATTTCTGAATAAAAAATATTTATATGAAAGAATATTTCAGATCATACTTTAATATACTTAGAGCATACTTGCAAAATATGTTCTGAACATTATATTTTTCCTTTGAAAGTCAATCAACAATCATAAAATGATTGTAATATAAGATTGGTCATACGATTGCGCATGCACACGACTATGCCTCATATTAGTCATTTTATAGTTGTCATGTTCGCAATATTATTTCGTTTTTTTTTTGTTATCCGAAGTGCACCATTGCTTTGAAACGAGTCAAGAAATCTAGGCTATCTGATAAAACCAGTTTTACTGCATCATACTAATTCATTAATTTTTCTTTTAATCTCAAGCCTTATCGTAATTTTTTGCGAAATAGTAAAGAACTTTCCTGTTCATTTTGATTGAATTTACATACAGCATTAACTTATTGGATAGTTTGTATAGAGAATATTTTTATTGTCGAATAATTTTACTTGCTTGCTAAAATTTAAATTATTGCTCCTAACATTCAGCAGTAGCTTTTATTATCTCAGCTAGTTATGAATTTATAATCTTCAATATCTTCTTTTAGAATTCTCTTTGATGGAATTATTTTTATTTTTTATTATTAATTTAATATAGTTCAACTGCCGAAAGGTTTTTTAGTGAGAAGATAACATTCGACATTTTTTCATCTTTAACTTGGGTATAAATACTGAATATTAATATATATTATATGTTATTTCAGGATAGGTTAAAACAAGCTTTTAAACAACAAGAACTTGGTGGGACTGATGGACATAGGCGAAAAAGAAAAATAACTTCTTTGAATGTAAGAGAATCTGAAACAGATGAAAAACTGGAAACAAAAAAAGTCAAAGAAGAAGAGAAGAATGAGAAGCCTAAGATAAAGAAAAAATTACAGCCACCTCCTATAGATTTTGCAGAACTTTTAAAGCTTGCAGAAAAAAAGCAACATGAACCAGTGTTAGTAGAAGTTAAACCAAAAGTTGAAGAATTAAGACCAATGACAAAACGTCAACAGCAAGAATATATGAGAGAAAAAGAAAGAAAGGAACAACGTGAGAAAAATTCAGAGACAAATAAAAAATTAAGCACTATAAGCACACCTAGTAAACCTATTAAAACACAATCGAATAAGATTCCCAAAACTATTCAGAAACCTATAACATCAAACACTAACATACCGGATAAAAGTATCTTAAGAACTGCATTAACTGTCTCTAAAAAAATTAATAGCAAACCCAATGGTAAGCATAGCTTAGAGAAAACTGACTCAAGCAAAAGTCCATTGAAGAATGACTTATTAGAAGAAAGAAAGAAATTAGAAGCCGAGAGAAAACAATTGGAAGAAATGCGTCGTGTTATCGAAGAAGAAAGAAAAAAATTAGCGCAAAGTCAAAATAAGCAGGAGGATAGCAAATCTCAAGTAAAGTCTTCTAATAAAGTACTGTCTAAATCTAAAGTTGCAGATAAACAGGTATCATGTAAGGATGTTAAACCACGGCAGTTTCCACTAGTAGACTTGAAACTACATTCATCGCTAATTAATGATAAACCAAAACAATTTCCATCATCTGATATTAGGTCCATGAAAAATAAGCAGATTGTTAAGAAACCATCTGCATCTAATAAACGTAAGTTCACTTATAAAATCAAATATATCTGAAATATACTTAATTACTTTAAAATATACTAATTAATAAAATTATTAAGACATTCGAATCAAGAAAAGAACAAATAAGGCCGTTCTTATAAGAGCCAATTTTATCGAATATAAGAATAAATTTTATCGAATATTTAATTATAAATATTAAATTAATTGTAGTTTTATCAAACGTTGAATATTGAATAGTATTCTTTAAGAATTAACCAAATATTTTAATCATTATGCCAGTGGTAAAAAATACAAAAAGAGTTTACATTAAAACTATTTGCAGGATAAAAAGTCAATTCTTAACATACATATGTGATCACTACATAGTTGTAGCTCATACATGTGTTGAAAAAAGTCTGAACATAAAGTTTAGCATGTATGTTGCACTATTAAGCAATTTCATCCTCCTATATTTAAATTGCATTTAACATCTAGCAATAACTCTTACTAAGCTCTCTTATTTTGATTGTTTATCCTCAAAAACTTCACAAATTTTTTGTATTGTGCATTTAAAATTTATAGGACGTATGTATGACGACGATGAAGAAGAATATGACTCAGATATGAACGATTTCATAGATGATGGGCCAGAGGAAGATAATGAAGATTATAGTAAATATATCAGTGAAATATTTGGTTATGATAAAAGCAAATATAGGCAAATTGATGATGAGGATGATGCTGCCATAGAAAGTAATTTTGCACAACAGTTAAAAGAAGAATATGTATCTACGAAAATAGGTATTTATGAATGATAACTAATAATATTTAATATTCATAAGTAATTAATTGATAACTTAATTCAATATAACAATACATTAGTAAAATACTTTAATGTTAAATAATTGACAACTTGATGTGTGTGTAATAATTTTGTTACTAATAAATTATTAATAAATAATAATTGATATAATAGCGTAACCAATGATATTAAAATTTATTTGAATATGCTAGCAAACTATTATCTGTTATATATAGTCATAAATTATTTTATACAATTTTATATTATGATACTGAATTAATATAAAATTAAATTCTTTTCTTTGCAGGAATTATGGAAGATTTAGAAGACATGCGTATAGAAGCCTTGGAGAAGAAGAGGAAAGAAGAAGAAAAAAAAGCTCTTTTAAAAAAGAAGATTGGGAAATAATAATATTTACTCTTACCTTGTTTATTGATTGTTAAAAAAATATATTCATTTATTTAGAAGAAAAATTGTTTCCCAACAAGTGTTTTGTACAAATAACAAATATATATTACATTTTCATCACAGACAACTCATTGTGTTGAATACAAAAGTTTTTTCAGTTTATAATGCAATCAGTACACAAATTTCTTTTTCCAAATGACAGAATGATGATTTTGGTGTATTAATATTCTTACCGATATATCACTTGAAGAGGGTAATCCATGTAACTGGTTCAAAAAATCGATTTCTTTTTTTCATAAATCAGTAGTAAAACATCTCGAAAATATATTCTCAAGGTTATAGAGTGAAATTCGAAATCCTACGGATGGCTAGTGAACGTTACGCACATAGCATAGACTGCGTTCCGTTTCACGCATTATGCGCGCATTTTCTACAGTATACGTAACATGAACTATATATAAATGTGCGCATATGCGTGAAACGGAACGCGACCATAGTATATCTAGGCTGCGTTCCGATATTCACTGCTAGTACTGAAAATACATATTTTGCGTCACGTATACTATAGATTTTTAGAATATAGGGTGCGTTCTGTTTCACGCATTGCGCGCATTTTTTATAGTATGCGTGACATAAATTATAGATAAATGCGCGCATATGCGTGAAACGGAACGTACCCATAGATTTTTAGAACCAACACGCACGGTGTTGGTTCGCGATCTCGCCGCACGAGGCCTCCAAAGTCAACGCTGGATTTGTCTCTGGCTCCTGTAAACCCTTAACGGCCCTGACTCTATGGCTTGTCCAAGACGTAATATTTCCAAAGTCAATTCAGAACTTGCTTTTAGTTCTTGTAGACTTTTAAGATTTAACGTAAGTTTAGTATATATTTTTATACTCATTAATATTTATCTATTTACATATATAAATAATTTTAATATTTCAGCATAATGAGTATCACGAAGTATACAAAAGTGTTGGGAGTTTTTAATGTCACAACGCGAATATTCAGCCGACGGTATTTATTTACAAATACAAAGATCAATATAACACATTATGATACTTTGAGGAGATATTGTTCATTCTTTTCACAAAAGGTAAACTAAAATTTCTTTAGCCAATTTCTGATTGTTATTGTATGCATAAAATTTGTAACATCAAATATACTAATCTTAATAATTAGCAGATACAACTTAAAGAAATAAATACAGTAACTCGAGGTTATGCTTCAAATGGAAGAAATAAATATAACAAAATTGTAGGATCTTGGTTACTCACATGTGGCGGTATGGTTTTTATAGCTGTTACTTTAGGTATATTTATTTATTATATATTTTATTCTTATATTTGTTTCATTGTGAAAATTATCTTAGAAAAAACTTATGGCAAATAGAATTTTAAATGTAATGGTTCCTGTAATTTAATATATTGCCATTCAAGTAAAATACAGTTTTACTATATAATAGATATTATAGAATTGACAAAAATAAAATATGTTTATTAAATATTAAAAGAAATAGTTTATTCTTTCATATATATATTTAGGTGGTATAACAAGACTTACAGAATCAGGTTTATCTATGGTTACCTGGAATTTGTTGGGAGAAAAGATGCCTCTTAATGAAACACAGTGGTTTTCAGAATTTGACCGTTACAAGCAATTTCCTGAATATAAAATGTAAGAAATAATATATGTAGTATTAATATGTGAACTAGCATGTATATATATACACACACATATATTATTAATGAACCTGTCTATAGAAGCAACCAGAATATGACATTGGAGGAATTCAAACGTATTTGGTGGATGGAATATTTACATAGAATGTGGGGACGTTTAATTGGTGCTGTATTTATAGTTCCAGCATCATGGTTTTGGTTTAGGGGTATGCTAAATAGCAGAATGAAAAAACAAGTTCTTATCTTAGGCTCATTAATCGGCCTGCAAGGATTTTTAGGATGGTATATGGTTAAATCTGGTCTAGAAGATCGTTTTACAGAACTTACTGATATACCACGAGTTTCACAATACCGGTTAGCTGCGCATCTCGGATTGGCATTGCTTATATATAGTGGATTTCTTTACAATGCACTAGATTATTTGATACCTGCTCAAAGACCAGCTATTGATCCTTCTATCAAAGTTGTAAATAATACAAAAAAAGCAATAAAGAGATTTAAAAGATTGATTTATACAACAAAAGGATTCATTTTTATCACTGCCTTATCAGGCGCTCTTGTAGCTGGAATGGATGCTGGTTTAATTTATAATACTTTCCCAAAAATGGCAGATAAATGGATACCTGATGACATATTTGCCATATCTCCTATATTGAAGAATTTTACAGAGAATCCAACTACTCTTCAGTTTGACCACAGGATTCTGGTGAGTCAAAACATATAGTCACCCAGCACATTATATATTTTTTCACATGCATATTTCTCTCTTTCACATGCAGGGAGTTACTACCATAGTATTAATAACTTGTCTGAGTATTGTGTCACATAGACACAAACTTCCTGGTCGAGGAAGACAAGCAATAGCTGCGTTACTTTGCACTGGTTATCTTCAAATATTTTTAGGTATATCAACTTTGTTATATCATGTTCCTACAGCATTAGCTACATCTCATCAGTCTGGTAGCCTTTTTCTTTTAAGTACTATAATTTGGTTATGTCACGAATTGAAGTATTTAGGAAAATTTGCTAAATAAGTTTATAATATATATATATATATATATACACACCAATATATAATAAATTATATATATATATATATATAGTAAAATATTTAATAATTTATAATATTAAACATGTTTTTCTACAAATGTTTATATAAATATAGTTTATCTAAAAAATTGTCATCTATACTTAAGATATGTTACTATTTGTATCTCTTCTGTTATCATACAATCCTGTTCATATAATAATTAAAGTATTAGGATGCAAAGTTTTTGCTCATTATTTTTATATCATATGTTTTATTTCACAGTACATTATATTATAATAATTATATTAATTATTGTAATTAGCAATTTTCAGGAACTATTGTATACATAACTTAATTTTCTCTACATAATATGTATATTATCAAATATGTATAATATCAAATAATTATTTTGCTTTTTCATATAATTGGTATTCATTCTTTGTTTACAAGAGATGACAATCTTAAAAAATATTAATATGTGAAATGTAATATATTTTATATAGTATTGTTATTTTACTATTCTCCAGAATAAAACTCCAGTAGAACTTAATATCGTTCGACCGAAGTATCTTTTGTAAACTATGTTTACAAAAGTATGTTTAAATATGTTTAAATATATACTATAATATAATTAAATTATGTTTAAATATATTTAACATGTGTATTTTTAGATATAATTTATCATACATTCACGCATATACATATATATATATATATATACACGTTTTCTTAATCTCTTTCAAAAAATCTTACTATATGGCAGTTATCCTATTATCACTAATTATTTCTCAAGTTTAAAGTACTTTGCATGTGCATTGGTCTGATATATTATTAATATTATCATTAATAGTATATAGTATCATTAATATTATGTACCATTTTTACTTAAATAATTAAAATTATATTCATCATTGCAACAATTTTATTTTGTTTAAATGGGAGTTATTTTTCTTCTTATTTTTGACATCAGAATTTTGCTTACTATTGAATTGAGTTTTAATATTAACAAAAACTATATATCTTAATATATTTTATATCAGATATAAAAACGAAAATGCAACCATAAGACACGACCAAATTCATACTGACATCAGACAATTCATAAAAATGAGTGTACATATTGTATTATACAATCTACACAGAGCTTATTTAATATTTCCAATAAACACAAAGTATTATCGATGTTACAATGTCAGCTAAATCATATCATGTTACATAACAATTGCTTTGTTATATAACAAAGTAACAGTTACAGTACATACCATATGATTTAGCTGACATTGTAACATTGATGATACTTTGTGTTTACTGGGTTTCTGAGTTGTTATTATATATTACTATATTAGACAAAACACATACTTTGATTAAGGCTGTAATATCTATTAGGATCTGACCTTATCCAGATGTCTGATTATTAAGATATTGGATAAATGTGACACTTCAATTTTGAAAATATCGAATTCAAAACAGAATCCAAAATTGAATATAAGTTCATAACAAATTTGACAGACACATTCATAGAAATTTAGATTCTTCTCGACTTTGACAATCAAATCAATTTTTGATAGCATAACCTGAAATAATTATGTTCATTTATGTATTTAAATAATAATTATTCCGGATAATTTAATTATTAAATTAATCCCTCTTTTTTCAGATCAAATTTAGGTCTAAAAATTCGATTCTGGATCTTATATTATAACCCTCGTCTTGAAGTCGAATAATTCGAATTGAATTCTGTAGTTTTAAGATTTCTGGTCGAGAGCATTTTCAGATATTTGATTAGTTAGATATCCGAATATTTGTAAAAATCCTAGTTTTGATTTGATAAATAATTATTGTTGCATTTGGTTTTTATGTTTGGCCCATGCAATATGAATATTTAAATTTTTAACATAGATATGCATATATACAAGATATTCGTTTAAAAAATTTTCACTTCAATATCTTCTAAAGACATGTATGAAAAAATGTTGAATATAAAAATTACAATGTTTTGAGGAAGATATATGACGGTGACTTTAAAAACTGACAGTAGCGAGTTTCAAAATCATTTCAGAGTCAACTTTTTTTCTTAAATAAAAAGAAATATTTTTTTTATTACGAGATTCGATAAAACAGATAATTTTATATCCAAACTTTTTGAGACTTTTAAAATGATTTATTTCACTTCAAAGTTTTCACTTGAAAAATAAAAAAACGTTAAAATACGTGCATATTTGTAACTTTGTATGTATATATATGTATGTATGTGCTATATGTGTAAGAAAGAGAGATTAAGAAAGAGAAAGAAGGAATAAATAGAAGATGATTATAGTTTATTTCTTCATCCATACATTATTTTCAAAATGTCCTTTTATTCATATATAAAAATAAATTTGATTCTTAAATTATTGTTCTGCATTATGAAAAATTAATCGAGGAATCGACTTACAAGCTTTAATTGTCCTATTTTTCAAATCCTGGATGTCATTCACTCCGAAATTTTGTAAACGACCGATTTCAAATATACTCTAAAAAAAAAATATATAATTTTAAATCAAGGAATTTTGCTGACCACTTAATGAATCACATCTGTTGATTCATTTACTAAGATATCGGTTATTCAATCTTCGAATCGATCTTTTGATCGATTGTGAAACTTTTCGTTTCGGATTTTTGAATAGTTTTTCAGTCAGCAATAGCTTTTAAGTCGAGAAATTTCAGAATGCAAAATATTAATTTGTAAACAAAATTGATTTTATATGGGAGAGTGAACCTTTTAAAAATGATATTCAAATAAAAACATAAACTGTGATAATTTTTCTTTTTTATTTTCTTTCTCAATCCTTTTCTTTATTTAAATATTTCTCGTAATTCTAATTGCGATCAATTCTCATGATTGACACGTGTGATTTTCACATATCTAATTATATTTTGAACGATTAATCATGGATTTTGAATTCGAGAAGTTTCCGTTTGTCAGCTAAGATATAATATCGTATCAACTTTAAATTCTATATTAAAGAAATCAGAAACTGATGAGCGATAAGCATGTCAGATATTTATTATATTTATTATCATGTGAACCATATACGTAGGCAGTCTGAAAAGTTCTCGATCTGACACATACCATTATTCTAATGCCATGTACCATTGGTACATGGCATTAGAAACTGTCAAACTATAATCGTATTGGAAAGTGGCATCCCTGATATAAACCCATGTAAAATTTTATTTGATCTGTCAAGTCATTCAAGTAGTAGCACCAGTTGAGAAAGCTTTGTGCAAGATGGGTGCCACATTTGCTAACAATTGACCAAAAATGCATTCGAATGCGTATTTCTCAAGCGTGTTTGGCACGTTTTAAGCAAAATAAAATGGATTTCAAGCGTCGTTTCATAACTGTTGATGAAACATGAATCCGCCACTATACACCAGAGCGAAAAGAACCTTCCGGAATCACACTTTAATGATGGTATTGAATTATCGGAAGAACGTTGGAATAAACGTGTTGAAGTTTTAGGAGATTATATTGAAAAATAAAACATTTCACGGCAAAAAATTTTCTTTCATTGTTAGGCCGACAACTCTTCAAACTGCCCTCGTAGATTCGCGTACTCGCACGTGTTAACTTGACGTGGAGATTCAAATATTGCAATCTCCAATGTATTGTTCTGACACTTGCCAAGAACCGTAATTCGGTTTAATTTCGTTTAATCTTGACGTCATCAGCGATCACCAACACTCTTCCTCAATAATAGCAATTGAGAGTTGCTTTGTGAGTGGCATGGTCCAATGCTCACCTGTTTATTCTTGAAGAGATAAAAGCTGAAATATATATATATATATATATATATATATATATATATATATATATATATACATATACACAGGGTGATTCAAACCACCCGTACAGCCCTTTTATTTCGGAAATAGAACATTTTAAAGAAAAATGTTTCAGACAAAAGTTGTATGACTTCAAGGGTGACATAAGATGGTATTATTTATTTGACTTTGAAGAGTTACTTGATGGTCACATGAAGGTTATCTTCAATTTCTTAAGCAGAACCTACTATTTCTCATTACATATTCTTGTTTAGCTTATCTCGGGAGCTTTCCAAAACACTATAACAAAATATTTTTTCATTGAGTACTTTTCGAGTTATAAGGCTCCAAAGCAGTACTTTGCAGTACTTTGACATAAAGTACAAAATATGTTGTATGTTGTTATGGGATCAAGTAAATCCTTAGGTATTATTTTAAGGTCAAATTACCTTTTCATACAAATCTCTGTAGTTATGCATGTTTAAAAAAATTCGGATCATCCTACTTTTAGCGCTATCCAGGAACAACGACGTGGACGTAGTAGAATTCTGTTCCCTTTGGGGTGTGGGTTTAACGTGAGTAATCCCCTTGCCTCTTACGTGCGTGCGTGCGTGCGTGCGTGCGTGCGTGCGTGCGTGCGTGCGTGCGTGCGTGCGTGCGTGCGTGCGTGCGTGCGTGCGTGCGTGCGTGCGTGCGTGCGTGCGTGCGTGCGTGCGTGCGTGCGTGCGTGCGTGCGTGCGTGCGTGCGTGCGTGCGTGCGTGCGTGCGTGCGTGCGTGCGTGCGTGCGTGCGTGCGTGCGTGCGTGCGTGCGTGCGTGCGTGCGTGCGTGCGTGCGTGCGTGCGTGCGTGCGTGCGTGCGTGCGTGCGTGCGTGCGTGCGTGCGTGCGTGCGTGCGTGCGTGCGTGCGTGCGTGCGTGCGTGCGTGCGTGCGTGCGTGCGTGCGTGCGTGCGTGCGTGCGTGCGTGCGTGCGTGCGTGCGTGCGTGCGTGCGTGCGTGGTGCGTGCGTGCGTGCGTGCGTGCGTGCGTGCGTGCGTGCGTGCGTGCGTGCGTGCGTGCGTGCGTGCGTGCGTGCGTGCGTGCGTGCGTGCGTGCGTGCGGCGTGCGTGCGTGCGTGCGTGCGTGCGTGCGTGCGTGCGTGCACGCATGCACACATATTTCCGAAATAAAAGAGCTGTACGGGTGGTCTGAATCACCCTGTATATATACAGCAGGTGTTTCAGACCACCCGGGTCACCCGATTTTTTCGTTAATGCGACATTTTAGAGAAAAATATTTCAGACAAAAGTTGTAGGGCTTCAAAGGATCTATTTACTGACGCTATGAATTTGACCTTGGGATAACCTTGAAAAGTCTTGTCAAGATCAACATAAAAATCTTAAATAGATACTTCAATTTTTTATTACATCATCTTTTTCTAGCAATTAATTTGAACAACTTTTGTCTGAAATATTTTTTTATTTACCTAATATTTTTGAGATATTTAAGAAAAACTTGATAACTTTTTCAATATTTAACTCGATATATTATATTTAGCACGATATCTCGCTATTTGTCAGAAGAAAAAGTGGTACTAGACTTTTTTGCTCTATTTAGTTTCAAGAATATATTTTTACAATAGCGTCCTGACTTTTGTTAACTTGCTGATTTTGGGAAATTTCAAAATCATCAAATTAACAAAAGTCAGGGCGCTTATTGTAACAATATATTCTTGAGACCAAGTAGAATAGAAAAGTCTAGTATCATTTTTTTATCCCGACAAACAGTTAGCGAGATATGGTAAGTTAAATATTGAAAAAGTTATCTAGTTATCCTTAAATATCTCAAAAAATATTAGTCAAATAAAAAAATGTTTCAGACAAAAGTTGTTCAAATTAGTAGAAAAAGACGGTGTAATAAAAAATTTTGAGTTTCCATTTAAGATTTTTATGTCGACCTTGATAACGTTTCTCAAAGTCATTCCCAAGGTCAAACAATTATAAATATCTTATATATAGCTTTTTTTAAGCCCTACAACTTTTGTTTCAAACATTGTTGTAAACAATCATTATTTTTTGAAATAATTAGCTGTTCCGGAACTTTTGGCAGACCCTGTATATTATATATATAAAATTAGCTACTATCCGCTGTTCGCTATTAAGCTGTTTTTAACTTTCTGTTTTCACTTTCGCATTCATTAGGCAATTAGCTTGGTTGTCGCTGATGCGATTTTGTATGCGTTACTGCAAGTTCATTAGCAAATTTATTAATATCAGTGTAAGCTTTCTTGTGTTTTATCGAAATTTACATTGGCTAATAGTCCAGCCAGTATAGATTTAATAGAATAACTGAAGTTTGTGAATCGGTTTCTCGAAAAATTTTTTAGAATGCAAGATAATCTGGAAACAAAACTTATTTTTGTATTATTTTTGTATGAAAAAATGATCATTTTAAAAATCATGTATGAATAAAAAAATAAATTATAATCATTCTTTATGTTTTCTTTTCTTCTTAATCTTTTTCCTTTACATATCGTGCACACATGCACATGCACACATATTTCAACTTTTTAAAATATTTTCTCAATGAAAATATATACAAAAAACTTCAAAGAGTTATGGATGCAAGAATATCTCAAATCAATCCTACAATGAAAATAATCATTTATATTTTAATTATCAAAAAATTTTAATTATTTAATTATTAAATTTTCAATAAAAGAAGAAAAGTTGACCTTGAAGTAACTTCAAAACCATCATCTACATAGGCTTTTTTAAGGTTACAATCATATATCCTCTTTAAAATACTGCAACTTTTATATTCAATATTTTTTTATACAATGTATGTTTTTACAAGATATTGAGATGGAAATTTTTCAAATAAGCACCCTATATATTAAATAATATATACATCGTTGAATGTTTAAATATTTATATTTTTAAGATCAAAATAATGAGAATGTCCTGAGTTAGATACATGTTCCAACATTGTTACTTTTACTTTAATATAACAAAATTTGTTAACATCATTATGAATTCTATATATTAATTACTAGGTAATTATAATTGTATATTAATATATGTGTGTATGTGCATATATATAAATGTAATCTTATTGTTGATAATTTTTGCAATTGTTTCCGGGAGATATTAAGGCTTTCATAATTTTTTTGTTTCTTTATCCCTTATATAATAAAGGGACTTTTCTGTAAGGTTTTAGAGAAAGGCTGGTATCATTACTACTAAATTTTTGTAATTTTGCTTAACTAATCAGAACTGGGCAGTGTAAATATTTATACGCATTACAATACATTATTCAAATTTTTTATCGGTATTTTTTACACACACACACACACACACACACACACACACACACACACACACACACACATGCGTGCGCGTGCGCGCACACACACACACACACACACATACACCAATATGTACAAATATAAAATATAAAAGCATCATTAAAAAAATTTCTCAATCAATAATAATGATAATTAATTCGTTTAACGAAAAGCGCTTTTGGAAAATATGTTCTCAATTTTCAACGACCTTATATTTATGATTGTAGTCTGCTCTAAAGTATATATCGATACGGTATTGTTAATATAGAGTGTAACATATATGATCGTGGGCAGAAAGATTGTTTCTGTTTACGACTATACGTCTGCTCGTATGCAAATAAAGCTCACTAAACTGAACGAGAAAGTTCTGCATCACTTTGTAAATAATTAATTATTACGATATTAAAGAAAACTAGCGAATAAGTGTATATGATGCAATGGACTCCTTAAGTCTTATCTAATGTTATTGCATACTGTTGCCAAGAAATTTTTAATAGATTCAGATATCATGAATGAAATTTTACTTAAAAAGCTCGTCAACTATATCTTATTTTATAAATTTTTTAATTAATAATTCTTCATAATGCTGTGATTGTCTGCAAGATGCAGGACTTCTTCATTCAGTTTGATAAATCTTATCTGCACATCACTCTGAACGTATATATGTCAAACATCTATCCATAATTACATATAATAGTAATAAATTAATTGAAGCTATAATATTCATAATTTTTGTTTATATAATGTAAAGAAATGTAAATATGCTTTTAGTCTTATGTTATTTTTTTGCTAAACAGTCGTTAAAATCATATTCAATACTTTAATTATAGAAATGTTAAACTTATGAAAATTTGGATTCGCGAGAAAATATAATATCGATTTCAATAATTATATATTGAATAAAAATATGTTCAAAAGACATATATTGAAAATATTGGAATATTCCGTTGAGTAAGATAACAGAGTCAAAAGAATTTAATTGTTTAATTATATCCATATATAATATTAACTATAAGAAAAATTACAACAAAATAAATCAGTAACTGCACAAGCAGAATATAAAAGTTTACGAAAAAAATTACCACTATATATATTGTTTTGCATAATATGAGTATTATATTCTTTTTTTCAATATTGTCGATATATTATCGATGTTTCCCATAGTTATATAATGTAATGTAACAAAACAAAAAAGTTGCAAAATTTCTTGTTTTTTACAAAATCAATATACCATATGTTTAAAACATTATTCCAAATAGTTATATTATATATAAAACTTTTAGATATAATATAGTGACTCACATAATTATTAAAAAAATATTTTATGTCCAATATATTATAAAACTGCATAAACTCGAATATTACAATGAAATTATGGGAAATAGTCTGTTTATGTATCTTGTCCAAATATAGATAGATCATATATTTCAGTTAATTTTCTTATTAAAGTACATTGTATTAAAGAAAATAACTGAAGATATAATTTTTCGTTCTGTACTTAGTATTGGCTAAATTTTTTATACGATATTACAAAAGATAATGTATACATGCTGAGTTATAGATAAATATACAATACTGAGGAAAGAAAACTATAATTGCACTTAACCCATGATTTCATTAAATAGCAAAGTTGTTTGTTAAATACAAAATTTTGTTATGTTCAATTTATCCTAAAATAATTTATCTCTGATGATACTCACAATTATATATATGATACAAAATTAAAAAATATAATATTCTTACTTTGATACATGGTTAACAAGTTTTGTTAACAAGCGTAAAAATATGCCTATTATTGATTGCTTACGGAACATGACGTACTTTTGCCGTGTTTATGTAAAAGTTCAACTACTTTTGGTAGGACTATTATCCATTTTTTCTGAATTCACAATTACTTGTATTACATAACCCGGCTGTACTTTAGCTTCTTCAACATACATCTTATCACTTAGCAATTTACCACCGAAAAACCACCTCTGGCGTGATGGTTCCAAACCTTCTTGACTCTGAGAATATCACAAATATGATAACAATTTATCAGTATTCTTCATATTGTTATTTAGTTAAATATGATTATTATTTTACAAACCTGTAACTTTTTTTTTGCAATACCAATAGTATCTTTACTATAAACAGGTAATTTAACTTCTCCTAAAGTAGTCGATAGTCTAAGTCTTAAAGTTTGTTCTGTTCCTCCATCAACTGGTTCTATGCATAATTGATAAAGTAGTAAATTTCTTATGATAAAATATATTATACAGAAATTTACCAAATTTATTTTCTTACCTGAACAATCAGCAGGAGAATCTCTCCCACTGTCTTCCTTTACAATATTAATCGGGTAAGATAAACAATAAATAGGTACTTGATAACGAGTTCCTAACTCATCATAACATTCAGTTAAGAAACCGCTTGGAACAGAAATATTAGCTCCATCTAATATTGCCTGTGCTAACTGATAATCCTGTGCTTCAGCTGCAGTTGCACCTGCTCTCAATGCATCCCAGATCTCTTTACGACCATCAAAGGCTGGTGCAGTGTCCCAAAATTCATCTCGCTTACTCCTCAATTGACCTTCGGTTAAAGGTACATCTGATCTCCATCTAATTATCTCATGACACAAGAGATGATTTTTTCTGGAATTACCTATGCAAATATGAATAATTAAAAGTAAATCTTTTGCTTCTTTTTCAATAGATAAATACTTCTGATATTATTTAAGTTTATATATAAATACTACTGATATTATTTAAGTTAATTGATAATTAAAATTTTATTATAAAACAAAAAATTACATTGAGCTAAATTTGTTAAAAAATATTGAATTGGAATCGATTATAAATGCTACATAATCATGATATCTAATATTGCTCATTTGATACTGTAAAATCACTGGAACTTCAATATTACAGACAATAAACAATAAACAATAAAAATTAAATAGATATAAATGATACATATACTCTTATAAACCACGAATAGAAGAACAAAAATAAAATTCAACTAAATTTCAAGGTTAGTTGATAACTTATGTATTTTTTATGCGATAGATATTCTATCATAATCTTACCCGAATTCGTCCTCGATGAATTCTCCGATGTGTCGTTGATTGAGGCATTTCTTGCCCTGGTTATACCTATGCAGCTTCCCATCCTACACAACCGGTGCAAACAAACATTTCACTAAAATTTAACAACACTTGGCATGCCATTTTCTTCCATCTTATTCATCATCAGGGTCAAGGAATATGCAAAGAGAAACAGAGCATGCCGAGTGTCGTGACCAGATAGAAGTCGGAGAGGCCATAGTGGTAGTGATTCTCCTCTAAAGCCAGCGGCACACGGTGCTGGTTTTCGTGTTGGATTGCTTACTGGATGAAAATACTGCGTTCTGATTGGCACATTTCCGAAGATGGATGAAAATGCACCAATCAGAATGCAGTATTTTCATCTAGGAAGCAATCCAGTACGAAAACAAGCACCGTGTGCCGCTGGCTTAACACTATTTTGAAGCGCTTCTATGTCCATTATGTGGACATCAACTATGTAGCCAATGTTCTTTATCATTTTCAGTGGACATAAGAGAAAATTTCCACAATTTTATGGTTCTGTTCCGCGCTATATCCATGCAGAAAGAATCCTAAGAGTAATCATTTCATAAGGTTTCCGAGAGATGTACTTTCCGATGTGTCCTCTGACAAAGTATATGTAAACTACGTTTGTTATATCACCGACAAAATAAAGACTTGTTAGCCCTAGCTAATAACTAGGCATTGAAAAATAACCTTACTAGAAGAAGCACTGCCCTACTCCCTCCACGATACCGAGAGAGAGAGGTAGTTAAGCTGGGACTATAGACATGGTATGGGCCAGAGCACAGACTTCTGCATAACGCATAATACACAACGCATAAGAGAATCAACTAATCAGAGTTCTTCATTTCTATCCTGAGGAGGGAAATGAAGAAAACTAATTGGTTTATTCTCTTATGCGTTGTGTATTATGTATTATGCAGAAGTCTGTGCTCTGGCCCTTATGCAAAAGCCTGTGCTCTTGCCCAACATCTAGACTGTGTGTTCGAGGAGTGAGGGTATAGCTCACGTAGAAAAGGATATACTCTGTTTTTACTGCTCGTTCTCTCTCGCACAGCCCCGATGGAAGGAGTGTAGAGGAGGCAGTTGCTGTACAATGGTGTACAGTAACCACCGCCCCTATTCCCCTTTCATCGGGACCGTGCGAGAGAGAACGAACAGTAAAAACAGAGTGCTCCCTTTTCTACGAGAGTTATTCCCCCACTCTTGAAATTTGGGAGAACGCACAGTCTAGATATACTATGGCTGCGTTTCGATATTCACTGCCAGTATTGAAAATATATACTTTATGTCACATATATTATAGATTTTCAGTACTGGCAGTGAATATCGGAACGCAGCCTACACAGTCTGTCCCAGATCCAATGAGACTGGTCTAAAAAAATACAAAGCGTTTATTAATTTGATTTTTTATTCTTGTTTATTCAAAATAGTCTCCTTCTGAGTCAATACAGCGCTGGAAACGTTCAACAAATTTTTCGAAACATTTTTTATACTCATCGGCTGGAATGGTCTTTAGTATGGCGGTCGAAGTCTTTTAGATGACCGGGATGGTATCGAAACGATTTCCTTTCATCGCCAATTTCAGTTTGGGAAATAGCCAGAAGTCGCACGGAGCCAAATCAGGTGAATACGGTGGATGATCGATAACAATGATGCCTTTTTTGGTGAAGAATTCACGTACCATGATGGCGATGGTGCATTATCGTGCAACCTTCCGTTTGCCCAAATCTTCGGTCAAAATTCGATAGACTGTGCTTTTCGGTATCCCAGTTTCCTCTTCGATAAGTCTCGCAGACACACAGCGGTTGCTTCGAAGAATTTCTTTGACTTTCTCGATGTTTTCTTCATTGCGAGTGGTTTTTGGCAGCGGTGCTCGGTCATCGTCTGCAAGGTCCTCACGACCGTCACGGAATTGACCAAACCAACGGAAAACCTGTGCACGGGACATGCATTCATCCCCGTACACATTTTTTAGCATTTCGTACGTTTCTGCACCACTTTTACCCAATTTAAAAAATGTTCCATGTTGGTTTTTCGACCGACGTACACAATCTGACTTTACATAAAATGTCAAACCACAGTGAAATATCAACCGAATCGTTCAAATTTTGAAGTTAAGTAGATGAAGGGTAGAACATTCACTTACCATCATTCACTCATAGATGTCGCTGCGCTAAGAACTTTGATGGAACCAGTCTCATCGTATCTGGGACAGACTGTGTATGTCTATGGCTGGGACCGAGTTGCATCTTTTTAGCATTGAAATATAACCATACTGGAAGGAGCATTGCCCTATTCCCTCCACTATACCGAGCAGTCAGAGAGAGATAGTTAAGCTGGGACCGTGTTGTCTCTTTTTAGCGTTTCAACTGCCGTGGTTGAAAACATTGGTCTCGTCCTGTACATGGATGTGTATAGTGCGTGTGACGAATACCAAATGAGCCAATAGCTTATATTTATAGTCTGGATTTATGTATGTAACATTATCTTAAATAATTGTAAGATAATATTAAACACAATAAAGTTAAGTATTATTAATTTCATATTATTTACTTATTACTTAATACGTAAATTTATCTTTCCTGCATTTTTATATATTGTATATTATTTTAATAAATATATACATCCATAAAATTAGATTTGTACATTGCTATGTATATGCAATTTCATTTTTTGCTATATACATACATACAATTTTATTCCGATTCCGAAAATTATTATTTATTAAAAATCTTTGATCAAATAAATTTTAGGTGTGTGAAAGATGTTTGCAAAGGCAAATATTTTCAGACTAAATAATATATCGAGTCACGTGATCGCTGCAGTTAGTTAGATAAGGATAACACGGTCCCAGCTTAACTATCTTTCTCACTCAGCTCTAACCGCACGAGAACAAAAGGAGTGCTCCAGTATGGTTATATTTCAATGTTTTTTAGCATCAACTACCGTGACTGAAAACATTGGTCTCGTCCTGTACATGTGTGCGTATAGGGCGTGTGACGAATACTAAATGAACCAATGGGTGCATTCAGTACTACACCGGTCACTGAGCGCTCAGTGAGCACCCTAGATTTATGTACTGAATACAAACGCTCACTAATAGTGAATTCGGCCGCTTGCACTGGTGTACACTTAATGCGAATAAGGCATGTTCATAGTCCATTTTTTCATTTAAGAACATCTTAAATACATCTTCAAATATTTCTTGGCTAGTAGAATGCTTTATATAACATCCGTACGGATTGTTTGTTGACTAAGAAGTTTATGAAAATGAATTTGAAACAATTTTAAATATAAGAACGGACTATAAACAAATCTTAATCGCACTCAGTATGCACCAGTGCAAGCGACCGAATTTGCTATAAGCTGCTCACACTGAGCGGTCGCCATTTTTGTAAGCGTAATTTTATGTCGTTCACTATCGCTCACATTGTGCTCAGTTAGTTACATAGTTCAATAAGCACTTAAGCATATATAGGAAAACATAATAAAACTACTGATACATTACTTATTAAAAATTAAAGATCAATTATCTATTATGCATAATAAACATATATTAATATAATTGGTCATTTTTAGATTCTTGCTGAATCTAAGGTTAAAAGTCAATTATATTGATATGATTTTGACTTAGTGTCAAAGAAAGTCACAAATTAAATGTTATTAATATATTTAAGAGTTGGATATATTTATAACATAATTAATAACAATGAATAAATATATATAGGTTCATTTTACAACAGTTATATTAGTAACAATTGATACCAAATTATATTTAATATATAGCATTTTATCTATTATATATATATTGCGTTTTGACATATTGTGTGGTAGATACATAATGAAGTTACCGAATAAAGATATAAAATATAACAAACCAGTAACAAATATTACAGTATAATATTGCAATTGATATTTATCTGTCAGTATATGTCTGTCATTCTAATTAATTTAACTCATTTATTCCATGCATGCTTTTCTCTCATATAAATATGCAAAATTATTTTGCATATAATCCTTGGGTTCAAGATTACAAAATTATCAAAGCATCAATTATATCTTATATCTTTAAACATTCTTTTGTGGTCTAATACCAAAAATAGCAGAACCTACTCTTACACTTGTACTACCAAGTTCAATCTGTAATTGAAAATAATGCAAATAATTAATGAAGATATATAGATTTTATCAACTATTTTATTCACAAGTGAATCAGAGACTTACCGCATGTTCATAGTCATTAGACATTCCCATAGATAATTCAATATTTTTAAAATCAATCTCTAATTTATTGCATATTGTTTCTCGACATTTTAATAAGTTAATAAAATCAGGATTTGGACCATTTGCAATATCATATCCAAACATTCCTATTGTCATAAGGCCAATGAATTTTAAATTTGGACAATTATTTATAATATGTTTTACAAGAGCTGGTGCTTCTACCATATCACAACCATTTTTTTCTATAATCCAAATTATTATATTATTATATACAAATTTAATAATATAGGATTATTATACCGATTTTTTCATGTTTATCACATAATATATAATAAGTATTTTTTTACCTTTCTCTTGACTTGTATTAATTTGAACCATGATATTTAGCTTTGTATCATCATTTTTTCGAAATTTTACCCATAAATTATTAAGCATATTCGCAAGTCTCTCATTATCAACAGTTTCTATTATATATAAGTTTGGTACATTCAAAATCTTATTGACCTTATTTCTTTGTAAATTGCCTATAAAATGCCATTTAATTTCTGTGCCATATTGGAGTATCTGTGGATGTGAAGCCTTTTCCACCAACTCATTCACATAATTTTCACCAAAATGTGTTTGACCAGATTTATAAACAGACAATATTGATTCAACAGATTGCAATTTGCTAACTGCTACTAATCGCGGCTCAAAATATCTATGTTCCTGCAACAAAGAGAAAAGAATTTTTATTATTATGTAGTCTAACTTTGTCTACTGCATAAACTTTTATTGCACTTTTTGTTTGATGACTTGGTATGTTTTCTATAAATAAATTAACATTTAATTTAATTAGCATTAAATTAACATTTAATGCTAGTAAAAATTAGATAAAAAAAGTACCGATGCTTTTTTTGAAGCAGCACGTAATATTTTTTCATACACTAATTTTAAATTTGCTGCTGCTTCTGCCATATTAAATTTATAAACTATATTCTAATCAATATTGTTAATTTATTTCAGATATGCAGATCCTTTTTGTTTATTAAAATATATTTTATTGATGACATTGAATAATGTATTATCTTCACGTCTTAGCTGCTAAATTTATAATAAATTTTTAACAAATTTTATCTGCATTATTACACATTAAAGATACCAATAACCACTGGTTGAGTTTACACTATATTACTTTTTCACAGAGAGAAGTCTGAGACCCAGTGTTGCCAGATATCAGAGAGCAGTTCAGTTCAGTTCAGTTCGGTAGTTCGGTATATGGCTTTAGGTAGAAGGGTGTACCCATACGCCATTCTCCAGCTGCGTTTAGGGGAGGGAGAGTTAAATGGATTGGTTAGTGGATTTAAGGAAGTTGGCTATTTCTTTGAATACGTTAATGTTGCGGTTGTTAAAAGCTGCAGTATAAAGATTCCTCGTAGCAGAAGCTCCATCCGTGTAGAACAGTCAGAGCAACAAAGAATCCGATTCTTTAGCGAAGGTGGGACATCTGAATAAGATGTGCTCCAGGTCCCTATTGGACCAACCACATTCGCATGTAGCATCATCGATGATGTTTTTGTCCATGAGGTATAGACCGGTGGCAACGTGATGAGATCTTAACCTGACCTTGAAGGATTTCGTCACAGAATCTTCTATATCTGATGCCTTTGTGTGTGAAAGATTCTTCTAGTTCTATAATTGCTGATCCAAAGCAGGCATTATAGTGTAAATGAATAATGTCTTCAGATATAGGTTTACAGTAGTCCAGGGAAGAGGTTCGGTACTGAGGGCTCCTAATTTTGCTAAGTTATCTGCCATGTCATTGCCAGGAATGTCCCGGTGTCCAGGGATCCAAATTAATTGGATGTTGATGTTTCTTCTGAATGCTTCCTGAATTTTGGCTTTGATGCAAAAGATAAGTTCGGGGCTTTTTGCCTTCAATGTCGTTTTTGTATAGTGAGCTGAGGCAGCTATCAGAGAGCAGAGAGAAGCCTGAGAGCGGCTATGGCTGCATTTACAATAGATATAGGAATATAGGGACAGAGCATAAGCCTGTAAGATAGGCGAGGGGAGTTATACTGAAATGCGAGGGGCGACTGTGCCTAAAGCCAGCGGCACATGGTGCTTATTTTCGTGGAATCGGAAATACATTTCCGAAAATGGATGAAAATGCACCAATCAGAACGCAGTATTTTCATCCAGCAAGCAATCCAGCACGAAAACAAGCACGGTATGCCGCTGGCTTAAGTTTCATTGGCTACAATATTCCAGAGCGTGTGATGCAACGACTTGGCTGTCACTGGCAAATAGTAAATGTAACAAAATGATAAGAACTATTTATACTGACAGTATTTTGCAGAGGTTATGCATGTGCCTTTTTTTTCATAATTTCACTCACACACAACTTTATATACATCTATCTATGTATGTATCAAATACTATGTATGTATTATATACATCTATGTATGTATTATGTATATATACATCTATGTATATATGTATGTAGTATACATCTATGTATCTATGTATGTAGTATGTATATATACATCTATGTATGTATTATATACATCAAATACTATGGCTGCGTCCCGATATTCACTGCCAGTACTGAAAATACATAGTTTGCGTCACGTATACTATAGATTTTTAGTGCTGACAGTGAATATCGGAATGCAGCCTATGTATATATTATATACATCTATCTATGTATGTATCAAATACTTACACACGGCACAACCACCAATTAGATTTAGGCACAGTTTACTCGTCGCATCGTCCCGCAATGGTTATCCCCCCATAACTCTATGCTCTGCCCTATATTCCTATGTCTAGGTATTATACGTCTATGGCTTACAATATATAGGAGTTCATACACACTTTGTCAGAGGGCAGGAAAATATGTCTCTTGCAAACCTTATAGAGTGGTCGCTCTCAAGTTTCTCTTTAATTTCAGTTTCATCGTTATAATGTTCTGATTTCTTAATTTTTCTATATTTTTCAAGATTTTGATATTTCTTGACGCAGAAAGTTTAGTTTAAAATAAAGAACCTAATACAAAAAGCAAAATTTCATGCCAATTTTTGTATTAAATGTGTTGGTATTCATAAACAAATGGATACACGTAACGCAGAAATTTGTGGTTTTTTGTATGTTAAATTAGTAGGACAAAGATATATTGCACGTAAAGTAAGAAAGAAAGTATTGGTATCATCAAAAGTATGGAAACGACTTTGGTGCTGTATAAAAAAATTAGGTTCTGGTATACAAATACAATTCGATAAGATTAATCGTAATAGTAATGCTCTGAAACAAAAAGTAAAAGACAATTCTGTAACAATAGGACCAAGTGCTATCATATACCGCATTCATTCTAAAACTAAGCAGTTTGCTTTTGGTATATTACAAGGAAAAGATAGAAAACTTTTATTATCATTATCGACTGATTCAGAAACTGAAACACAGCGTTGGATGAAGAATATTAGATATTTATTGAATCCTAAAAAAGATTGTATAAAGAAGTCATATAATGTATCTATAGTTGATAATGCTCATTCAAAAGCAGCAGGATTAATTGGTTAATATAATATATACACTTGGTTACAAAATGATATAGACACAATGAAGTAAAGTGCTTATCAAACTTTCATAATTGAAAGTTATTATATTTATTGCTGAACTCTCAATAAATTATAATTTTTAATATCTTGCACTAGTTTTCTTTTTCTTTTTGCTTAACAAATCTCAATTGCATATCTGTTTCTTTTAAGTTCTGTAAATATAACTCAATGATAAATATTAACTCAATGACAAAAAATAAATCCATTTATACTGGTAGGCTTATATAGTAATTGGTTATGATAAAAACTGAAGTGACAGTATATGAAACATTTGACAACTATACATCACAACTATAATGGAGGATTCAGAAATAAATATAAGTATTTTTATTATATTCTTATCTGTCAACTAAGAGTATAATAAAGAACCAATATTTATATCCTGTCTCTTCAGCTTCTGTTTTTGTGTAATCTTTATTGTATCTAAGCAATTTTGTAACTAAATGTATATTTAAACTTATTTCAGTTTAAGTTTATATTTGCTTCTTAATATTATATTTTCCTTAAAGGTTTATATGGAAATTTAACTGCCACTGAAACAGGAATATTTATTCAAAGTCCTCATATAGATAAAATAATTAAATCTTTTAAATGGAAGGAATTTGGTCAATTTCATTTAATGACAGCAGGTCGTCCAGAAGATGTAAAACGTATTTGTGTAATACATACAACTAAAGAATTTTGCTGCGGTACTGGAGAACTTTATTTATTTTGTCTTGATGCTGATAAATTATTACAAGACCTAGTAACACAAGGTCGTGGTCCAAAATATAGACAAAAATCTTTGAATTTTAATAAGATCTACGAAGTATCAAAACAACATAATGAACTTGTTGGTTCCTTTTCACAAGGAAGTAATTCGTGGTCTATATTGGATATAAAAACAGATTGGTATGTGTACTGTTGTATATTACATATGTAATTTATAAGTATAACTATTAGAAATAATAATAAAAAATTTATAATATATAACTGTATATGTGCATGTGCATGAAAATAAAATAAAAAACAATTATATTTAAAGTAATATATAAAAATATTTTTTTTGGGATATCAACACATAGCGAAGCTATAGAGAATGTATATCAATCTATATCTGCTAGCTTGACAAATAATGTGTTAGATTTTTATAATTATGAAAAATTTGATATATCTACTGCTTCTGGAATTTATGAAGAAATTGTGGACAATGTATATTCTACTAAGTTAAAAGCTAATTCTTTAAATATATATGAAGATATAGATCAAATTTTGTATAATCTACAAATAAAACCCCCACCATTGCCACTACGACAGAGGCAAAGACCAGAATGCACAGAGAAAGTTAGGTATGGTTAATATAGTTAAATATTACTTCACATACTTAAAAACTGCCATCAAATATTATTTCAAGCTAACTTTTCTCGTTAGTGTTTGTAGCAAAGTATATGCGAGAATAGAACTGTTTTATCATAATATTGTCATACTATTGATAGTGTGAGTAAATACCATAAAATGAATATTGTCAGTGTGTAAATAATATCAAAATAATTTTTTAATAATATAAAAAATTTGCATGAGATGAAATTTCGTTCATGGTAGCTTTTAAAGATTAAACTTAATAGAGTTATTTATAAATGTTTTCCTTTCCGTGAAGAGAGATATGAGATTAATATAAGTTTATAGTAATATAAAATAAATAAGGATCAGTATTTTTTTTTTTAACAGGTTAGATACAAAAGAATATTTTGATGCAGAAATTTGTGATCTTGAGGAAAATCTACAAAGTACTGATGTATGTAAACAGGAAATTATTTTTATAGAAAACTCCAATTATGTTCCAATGTCACCACAATTGAGAAACCTTAACTTGTTCAAATCTGATGCTATAGAAAATGCAAAACAAGATGATTATGTAACTATGCGATAACTTATGTCCTGTAAGTAATCCATAGAAAATTATGAATAACATATGTTGTAATATTAAATATGGAAATAGGTAAATGAAATCGTTTTCCCTATACATATATACATATAGACATTAGGTCATACATTATTATTAATAAAAGTAATTAATAAAGTAATAAAGTAATTAATAAAGTAGATATTATGTATAATATCTACTTTAATTTTTAATGTAGAATTAATTTTTATTTTCTATACTTATTATTTTATAGACATTAATTTAACAGTAAAGATATATATGCATATATGTATAAACAACAGTATAAAACAATAAGTTTATTTTCATTATTTTAATGAATATATTTTTATTTAGCATTATATCAAACAAATGACTGAATAATATATCCATACGATGTTAACATCAAGTTTATAATTTTGCAAAATACCAATGAGTCCAAGTTTAGTTTGAAGAATATCTATTCATATGTCAATAAAAAATTAACAATTTTACTGCCTTCTTTGAATTCTTTTTTTTTTTCTTTTTTTTGCGTAAACTTTTGAACATCACTTATGCCCCATTGGCCGCGTTTAGTAGAAAAAATATAAGATGTTATGCAAAAGATATTGGCGGAACTCAAGTATATCAATAATTGTACTCACTTTTAATAGTAATAATAAAGAGTAAAAATATATTTAGCAGTAATTACAATGAAAATATCATATAGATATATTATTTTACTTGATTATAACATACGACTTAGTTATTTGACTGTTTGTAAGGCTGTTCAACTGTTCTTGCCAAAATGGCTAACGATGTAATCTTAATGATTCTACATGATATAATTATAGAAATATATATATATTTGACAAACAGTGTACACGAATATAGTTATTCTAAGGCCTATATTCTAAAACCTCTTTTATTACTAAAAATGACTTTAAAAGTGGTTTATAACCAATTAGGGAGTGTACCCTTGTGAAAAAATCCTCAATTTTGGGTGTTAATACTAAAAAAATGCTTAACTTTGGGTGTTAAACACCGATAAAAAACGCTCAACTTTGAGCGTTATACACACTACACTGAATAAACGCTCAATTTTGGGTGTGATTTCGAATCGTCAATTGAAGGTTACACCCAAATGAAGGTTAACGCTTAACGAAAACCCTCAAAATAACACCCAAATAAAATCCTGAAAAGGAAACCCTGAAATTAAATGCACCCAAATTTTGCAATAGACGGCAATATACACAAATAAAGACAAATGAAAGCATATGTTAGTAAAATCTTTGTTTATTTGTTGTTTTCACTTAAGAACTTAAAAATAAGCAATTGATCGAATAAATAAATAGGCTAAATATACTTTCACTTAATTGTATCATATTCATTTTGATGGTGTTTGTTTTCAGTGTAATTGTAGAGTTAACCATCAAATATAATACTCGAGTGAGGGTATGTACTGGGTATTTTAGACTACCCGGATCACCCGATTTTTTCGTTAACGCGACATTTTAGAGAAAAATATTTCAGACAAAAGTTGTAGGGCTTCAAAAGATCTATTTACTGACGCTATGAATTTGACCTTGGGGTAACCTTGAAAAGTCCAGTCAAAATTAACAAAAATCTTAAATGGATACTCCAATTTTTTATTATATCATCTTTTTCTAGCAATTAATTTGAACAACTTTTGTCTGAAACATTTTTTTATTTACCTAATATGTTTTGAGATATTTAAGGAAAATTTGATAACTTTTTCAATATTTAACTCACGATATCTCGTTAACTATTTGTCAGAAGAAAAAGTGGTACCAGACTTTTTTGCTCTATTTAGTCTTAAGAATATATTGTTACAATAGCGCCCTGATTTTTGTTAATTTGATGATTTTGAAATTTCCGAAAATCAGTAAGTCGCATTATAACTCGGAAAGAACTTAATAAAAAATGACTTCATTATAATGTTTTGGAAAGCTTTCGAGATAAGCTACAAGAATTTCCAATAAAAAATAGGAGGTTCCTTTTAAAAAAACAGTTGACTTTCATATGGCCTTAGCAACGCCACTTATGGTCAAACTGATATGACTACTAAATAGATCTTTTTAAGCCCTATAACTTTGTATGAAACATTTTTTCGTATCTTTCATATTTTTCGAAATATTTTAGCGTTCCCGGACTTTTTGAGGACCCTGTATATGTAATACATAAGTTATGTTACAATCTATTCAAAATCGGAAGCTTTTACTATATGCTTTCTTCAACCCTTTTTTATACTTACTCTAAAGAAAATTTCAAATGAGCTTAAATTGAGCTCAATCAATTTTGGTTATTTTTAAGTGTATTCCATCCTTTGGTGCTAATAGAAATGTATTGGGATCAATTACATAAGGTATTTGCGTTTTCTCGCAAGCCTCGACTTTATAATATCGTAATATTTTGATAAGTCCTACTTTGGTCTGATAAACTGCAAAGCGCGCACCTAACACAATAATTATGGGAGAAATTTAAAATAAAATAATCTTCAATTTAAAAGGAATGTGCTTGAAAAAGAATATTTAGTAAATCTATTTTAACTTTTTACCAATGCAATTTCTGGGACCATCACCAAAAGGCAGATACGTCATTGCGTGTCTAGTTTGCATAATTTCCTCACTAAACCTTTCTGGATCAAAAACGTCTGGTTCTGGATAGATATTTGGATCTCGCTGAATTGCATAAGCCGGAATCCATATTCTTTGGCCTTCTGGTATAGTAATTTTACTACGGGCGAAGGTATAACTCGATGTTGCTTTCCTCATGATAAATGTCAATGGCGGATACTTTCGTAGAGTTTCTACATATATCAAAACCAATAAAGATAAGTCATCAAAATACGCTTAATACTAAGAACATTATAATTAATTCCAAGTTTGTTAAGACTGCGATACACAATATCGTTGAAAATCAATAATATATTTAGTGTCTATTTAATATTTCTTTTAAACAAACCTTTGAAAACTTTATCCAAGTAACTCATCTTTTTAATATTATCATATGTTAAATCACCATTAATATTCATATATTTTTGGTGAATTTCCTCGCGTAGCTTGTCTTGTATCTCCTGATTCAGCGCTAACTCATAAAGTGCATTACTCATGGTCGTCGATGAAGTTTCAAAGCCAGCAATAAAAAATACGAATGCTTGAGATGTCAACAAAGTATCGGTCAGCTCTGGAATATATTATGTCTCTCTATTAAATCTTGGTTAGACACGTTTTTAAGAACAATTTGATCTTTATATAATTAGTGAAAACTGAGAATGAATTGGATGAATTAGGCCGGGTCTACAATAGGTGTAGTAAGCTTGTAGCTTTTTGATCTAAGTTTTACCAATTGCTTCCCGTTTCATTTCTTTCATGTTGTGATCTTTATAATATTTATTATCTTTTGCATACAAATTTGCTTGTACAATTGTTATTGAAACTTCATCGTTAATGTCAGCAACATGTTCTTTGTTATCGATTTGCCCAACTTTTAAAGTTAGGAATTAAAGCTTAAGGCCGATTCCTCTCAGCCAATAAGAAAAGTTATTTAGGTACACATACACGTTTTCACGTACATTTCGATCTGGTTTGGCAAAATGTCCGATAACAAAGAACACGTTGCTGACATTGACGAGGAAGTTTCAATAATAATTGTACAAGCAAATCCCTGTTTGTATGCAAAAAATAATAAATATTATAAAGGATAATAAATATTATAAAGGATCACAACATAAAGGATATGAAATGGGAAGAGATTGGTAAAGCTTAGACCAAAAAGCTGAAAGCTTATTACACCTATTGTAGACCCCGTTTTAAATATGCGATAAATGATTCAATTGATCGGTGATTTAATGAATTTTAATTCCACTTTATCATTATTTACTAAATGATTTTTCACATAAACGCGTTTTACGATGTAAAATATTTCTCGTTTATATAATAAGGGATATACAGGATGCCCATTTTAATAGTGCATCTTGATTATCATTGCAGGGAGCGATCGTAGAGAAAAATGTTTCAGACAAAAGTTGTAGGGTCCAGAGGGAGTCATCTGATGGTGACCTTCTTATTGACATTGGGGTCAAATTTGAAGGTCATTCGAAGGTCAACATAAAAATTTTAAACGGATTTCTATTTTCTCTCTTTCTCTCTCTCTCTCTCTCTTTCTCTCTCTCTCTCTCTCTCTCTCTCTCTCTCTCTCTCTCTCTCTCTAGAAACTCTATTATCCAGTACATATTCTTATAGCTTAGCTCGAGAGCTTTCCAAAACACTAATTAAATATTTTTATTAATTAATTAATTTATTAATTAATTTTTATAAAATATTTTTTTATCCAGTATTGTAACTCGGAAAATACTGAATAAAAACATACTTAATTATAGTGTTTTGGAAAGCTCTCGAGCTAAGCTACAAGAACATGTACTGAGAAATAGTGGTTTCTATTTAAAATTTTTATATTGACTTCCGAATGACCTTCAAATTTGACCCCAAGGTCAATATGAAGGTCACCATCAGATGACCCTCTCTGGACCCTACAACTGTCTTTGTCTGAAACATTTTTCTCTACGATCGTTCCCTGCAATAATAATCGAGGTTCACTATTAAGATGGAATATCCTGTATACTTATATGATCAATTGATTGGATGATATTTACCGATGTTGAGTTTTTCCGGGTGCTTTTTTATTTCGCGCAACATATCAACGACATCGTGTCTGACGATATTATTTTTTTCTCTGTAGTCGATATTCTCTACGATGATGCGTGTAAAAAATTTGGTGGTTCGTGTTTGCGGTAGAATGTAACCAAGCTTATCGTAGAGCCATGGTAAGGATTGTCTCATTCTCATTCGTATCATATTATGCCAGCTTGGAGCAAATATTTCTCTTCCCATTTTACGAAATTCGCTGTCTTCTTCTGACAGAGAATTCGTATCGATACCAAAAGCACAGCTGCCGATAACATCAGTCGTATACTTGGCCGTCAGTTCACGGCATTCAACGGACTCATTTTTGTTCGCTAATGTCTCTACATATCGTTCCAGATGACTAGAACATTCTAATATTAAGGGGAACATATCTTTTAGTTTGCCAGATGTAAAAACAGGTGACAGCCTTATTCTTAAAGGGCGCCATCTTTTCGGTTCTAAGAGAAAAAGATGTTGCGACAGCGGCTCGGCCTAAAACAAATGTTGTATCTTTTTAAAAGGGATCTTATTAAATTGCAAGACGATTCTACGGAATTATCACAAAAACGTAATACAATTTACAATGATTTTTATTGTTGAAAGTTACACTGTGTAAAATTTTACAAATAAAAAAATTCATCCCACACAACATAAGTTATTTAAAGGACGTCCTATAACAATATCATGGGGATATACAAATGTCCACTGTTTTAGATCTCACGATATCCTACGGATATCTCTTTTAGTAATAATTTTTGGAAACTAAAAGTTTCTGAAAAATAACTACAGTTACTAAAAAGGATGTTCGTAGGATATCTGTGGGATCTAAAACAACGGACATTTTTATATCCTCAAGATATTGCAGTATCTCCAAATGATATCTGTCGGATGTTCCTGAGATAAAGTATGCTGTATAGATAAATTTTGAAACAATTCCTAACATTTTTTCCGTTTCTGAATAATAGTTTTTTAAATATTAACTAGAAAAATACTATAAAAATAATTTAGGAAGTTATATATACAGGGTGTTCCAAAAGTAACGGACACCCTAATAACTTTTCAGTATTGAAGTTTCAAGGAAAATAATCTGAATAAAAATTGTAGGGATTTAAGTTATAAGGATTGACTTTTGGAAATTTCAAAATCATCAAATTAACAAAAATCAGGGCGCTATTATAACAATATATTCTTGAGACTAAATAAAGCAAGAAAATCTAGCACCACTTTTTCTTCCGACAAATAGCAAAATATCGTAAGTTAAATATTGGAAAAGTTATCAAGTCTTCCTCAAATATCTCAAAAAATATTAGACAAATAAAAAAATGTTTTAGACAAAAGTTATTCGAATTAATTAGTAGAAAAAACAGTATAATAAAAAATAAGAGTTCCCATTTAAAAAACGCAAGTTGACCTTCAAATGACCTGGAAAATAGAGGTCAAGGTCAAAGTTAAGGTCATCATAAGGTAACTCACTTAAATCCCTACAACTTTTATTCAGATCATTTCCCTTGAAACTTCAATACTGAAGAGTTATTAGGATGGTCCGTTACTTTTGGGACATCCTATATATCTCCCTCTTGATTACATGTATCATAAAATATTTGTAAGCACTGATACCTTTTTGTGTGTAGTAAGTCCTCTATCTGCGAAGTTGGAGAAATCTTTGATAAGAATGTCTTTGATTAAGTCTGGATCTTTCACGATAAGAATAGGTGTTCTTCTAGCAAATATACCGATCATAGTCTCATTCTTATAATAGTGATAAATTTCCGTCAAATATTCAGTCATACTCGTTTTCATAAGTAGAACGTCTTTAATACTGCCAAACGGCGGTATTGGTGTTGGACCTTGAATACCCCGTGATTTCCAGAAGTTATAGTTCAAAGTAAAGTAATAATAAAAAACAAGAATTGCAGCAGCGGCACTGCACAATATTGTGAAAGGTTCCATTATTTTATACTCGTTGACCACAAGTAAATTTTCACTAAAATACAAAATTCAAGTAAATTTTCACCTTCCAAAAGAAAAAGACACAAAGAAAGGAAAAGAGAGAGAGAGAGAGAGAGAGAAGGAGAGAGAGGGAGGGAGAGAAGGAGAGAGGGGGAAGGGAGAGAGATGGGAAGAATGGAGAGGAAGGAAAGAGAGAGAGAGAGAGAGAGAGAGAGAGGGCGAAGAGGAGAGGAACAAAGATTTAAAGTATAGAATAAAAAAATTTAGAGTTAAAATCTATATTTTTATTATTTTTATATACAGGGTATGGTAAAAGTCTGGGAACACTCAAATATTTCTTAAAAAATGAATTTTAGAAAAAAACTTTTCAAATAAAAAGTTGTAAGGTTTAAAAAGACGCATTCAACGGTAATATCCGCTTGACCTTAGGTGGCGTTGCCAAGGTCAGGTCAAGGTCAACCCGATATTTGTAATTGGAATCCCCCACTTTTTATTACATATTCTTGTAGCTTACCCGAGAGCTTTTCAAAATACTATAATAAAATTTTTTTTCGTTAAGTACTTTCCGAGTTATGAGACACGAAGGTTGCAGTACCGCCGACATTAGCATTACCCAAGACAGTAACCGCAACCAAGCATTACCGCGTGGAGGTTGCACGGTCGGATTTACATCTCGTGTGTGCGTGTGTGTGTGCGTGCGTGCGTGCGTGTGTAAAAAGTGAGTGAGTGGGTGATTGAATGAATATGTGTCTATAAATATAAATGTTCGAATTGTTGACCTTCTTCAATTTGACGCTGGAACAGTCGATCATGAAAGCCCCTACTAACATTTTCCAATGTTTCGGAGGTACTTAATGCCACTTCAGTGGTAATTCGGTGTCGCAAATCATTCAAATTTTGAGGTTTTGTTTTGTAAACGCGATCTTTTAAATAACCCCAAAAGAAAAAATCCAAGGAATTCATGTCAGGTGATCGGGGTGGCCACTCGATGGCCACTCAACTTGGTCCCCTCCTTCCTATTCATTTTTCAGGAAAAGTGTTATTTAAAAACTGTTGTACCTGCAATCCAAAAAGGAGAGGGGCATCATTCTGCTGAAACCAAACTGTATCAAAATTTAAACCGAAAATATTGTGAATAGCAGGAATAATATCGTCTCGATATTTAAAAGATCGCGTTTACAAAACAAAACCTCAAAATTTGGATGTTTTGCGGCACCGAATTACCACTGAAGTGGCATTAATTATCTCCGAAACATTGGAAAATATTAGTAGGAGCTTTCATGATCGACTGCTTCAGTGTCAAATTGAAGAAGGTCAACAATTCCAACATTTATATTTGTAGATATATACTCATTCAATTGCTCACTCACTCACTTTTTTACACACGCACGCACACACACACGTACACACGAGATGTAAATCCGACCGTGCAACCTCCACGCGGTACATTTTGGGTAATACTAATGTCGGCGATATTGCAACCTTCGTGTCTCATAACTCGGAAAGTACTTAACGAAAAGAAACTTTATTATAGTGTTTTGAAAAGCTCTCGAGGTAAACTACAAGAATATGTAATAAAAAGTGGGGGATTCCAATTACAAATATCGGGTTGACCTTGACCTGACCTTGACAATGCCACCCAAGGTAAAGCGGATATTACCGTTGAATACGTCTTTTTAAACTTTACAACTTTTTGTCTGAAACGTTTTTTTCTAAAATTCATTTTTTAAGAAATATTTGAGTGTTCCCAGACTTTTACCACACCCTGTATATAGAAGATATCTCAATCGTCGTATATTCCAATGTTTTGAATATTAAAATTGCGAAAATTCTAATACGCTAATACCAAAATTACGATGGTTCTTGATCCGGATTCATAAGCAGTTATAATTCGAGAAGAATAGGATTATTCAAATATATTCTTAGATTAGAAAATATAATATTAAGAGAAAAAATGGAGAAATCATTTCGTAAATAATAAAGATCACATAGTCACAAATAGTTATATTTTTAAAATAAATATCACTATGTACTATACATAAATGAGCAATATTATTTGATTTCCATTTTTATAAAAATTATAAATCTTTCTCTTTTTAAAATCATCACTATTATTATTCATATAATAATTAATTGTTGTATATAATAAATAATTATATATATATTATTAAATAAAATATATAGTTTGTATAATTCATAATGTAATAAAGTTTCCTAGTGGATACGATCTCAAATAAAATAGCGTAACGAACAAGCAGCGGATAATATACCTGGAAATAACTAGTAATTATGTCCACAATACTGCGATTATATCAACTTTCCACGATATTACGGAAATACGACTGGTCGCTGCGACCAATGTTGGCTTTAGTTATAAGGAGACAGAGAGAGAGAGACAGAGAGAGAGAGAGAGAGAGAGAGAGAGAGAAAGAGAGAGAGGAGGAAATGATAATACAAATATTAGTGTGCGTCACGATGAGAAGCAAGAATTTTATCTGGTTTAACTGGTCACACCAAAATACATCATATGTCTTACAACACGCATCAAAAAAATCCCACACAACAATATGGCGTCTAAAAAACGTCTAAAAGACGTCTTAAAATTTTTTAGACGTCCTAAAAAGTTGTCAAAATGACGCCTTTATGACGTTTTATGTCCCGATTTAAGACGTCTTTTAGATTACTTTAAAACGCCTTTTAGACATTATTTTAAGACGTCTTTTAGACATTAATTTAAAACGTCTAAACGACGTCTTATTTAAGATAATTTTAAGACGTTTATAATCTAATAGTCGGTAATATAGGTAACTGTAATTTTAATAAATAATCGTAATTTTATATAATAAAATTTAATTTTATTTAATAAAATGTGATTTTATTTAATATAATATAACATACAATACATGATATTTATTAATAGAAATTATGTTATGTTCTGCGTGTTCCATATCAATCGTAGCATCATCTGATACCTCATCTGTGTTATCAAGAGCTAAATAAAAAAGTATATATATATATATATACATATATATACAGAATGTCCGGTAACTCATGATCACTAAAAATTTATAATAATGGAAAAAAAATGTATGTTGTGTCTTAAATATTTATATGGGAATACTTCTTATCATCGTAGTTTATCCCGATCAGCATTATCACTTAATGATCTTTCTTCATCCAACGTATGTTTGTCTATCAATGATAGCTCATCATTAAAAACTTCAAAATGAATATTTGAATCGTCCTCTATTGGAGCATATACAATATATATTCTGTGTTATGTAATAAAGCAATTACGTAATGAAGGAGGAAGAGATTTATACATACTATCTACTCTATTAGGAAGATTTTTGGCATTATTAGAGGAAGGCGTCAAAATACTGCCAATTCTTTCTGTCACGATTACGTCATAATTCAAAAGTCTTTAAAATATCTTAAAAATGACGTCATTTATATGTAATAAATGATACGTCTGAAAAAGGACGTCTTTATGACATCATAATTTAAAAGTCTTTAAGACGTCTGGAAAGGTCTGAAGAAGGGCTACAAGAATATGCAATAAAAAGTAGAGAAGGTCCCGTTTGATAATATATTATTTATAATCGTATATAGAAAATGGTATAAATTAATGATAACAATTATCATTGATTAATCATTACTATCATTAATTTATATAATCGCATAAGCAGTTATATATGTGTCAAAATTTTAACCAGGAATAAATATTATATTATATTGATATGCATAACGAGATATAGGAAATACAATTTGTTTCAATAAGCATATGCGATTCCGATCGGGCTGCTATAACTCATATGGGACACCTCAACAGCTGGTGAATAAGCAACTCCAAGAGCGGCCGCTGGAGCGGCGGGAGCGGCGCCGTATGTAGCCGGATGAGCAAGGTGCGCGTAGGTGACAGCCGCTGGATTGGTCACGCGAATGTCGGCTTTACTCGAGCTGGAGAACGGCGTGTCGATAGTCTTCGTTTGCGTGGCCACTTGCGCCAAATTGCCATGGCTACGTAATATGTTGTCAGATGTTGATGTGATAGCGTGAGATTGAATCTGTGCTATCGGTGTGATTTGATATTGCAATGTAGGCACTCCAACATAGCCAGCGTTAGCTACGGCTAGCAAAGCGCAAATTACGAAAAACTGAAAAAGAGATCATTCTATAATATACCCATATTTATGTGTATTTTATATTTTATGTATAATACACACACAGGGAAGGGAGGGAGGGTACCGATAGCGTTTTTCTTCCTCAATACGTTTTACATACACCATTCACTTACTCTTTCTCTCTCTCTCTCTCTCTCTCTCTCTCTCTCTCTCTCTCTGTTTAAAATAACGTTATTTAAAAAGCTGTCGATCAAATCTATGATTTAGACCAGTGCTCAGAATTACTTTCATTTTCCAGGCAATTTTTGAGAATTTTCTCCCATTTACTTCCTTTCATCTCTCTCCCTCCTTATTGCACTTGCACGATCGTACATCTGACAGTCGCACTCATCGCCTCAAGACCGTTAACATCATAACATCTAAGAAGCACTTACTAATAGTTATATAATTATCTGTAATTATAACTACTAGTAAACGCCTATGATGTCAACAGCCCTAAGGCGGTGATTATCAGATCTATGGCTAGCGAGTGCAGTACGAGGAAATTAGGGGGAAACAAGTGGGGAAAAGCTTCTGAAAATCATCTGAAAAATGAAAGTAATTCCGAATATTGATTTAGACGATATGAATTGTCTGAAAATATTACCCGTCATACACAATTAATCTTTTCTTTCCACAAGTAAGCTTCCGCCGTACAACGAATTCCGCCAGCAGTGTCCACTTTGTAGATAGAATGAAATATGTTTAATCTTATAGAGTAATTTAGATTTGGTTAGTTAAAAATATTTAAGAATTTAAATAAAAATATAAGAATAAGAATTTAAATGGAGATAATGTTTCTCCTAATTATATTGCATTACTTTAAACCATTCATATATTAACAAAAACAATATACACTATTAAAAAAAATTATGGCATCAAAAAATATGCGTTGAATATTGCTTAACCTTGAACAATGATTACTCAGCGACAAATGGTCATAAGACAATGATTTTCTTTTTAAATTAAAGGTTGAAGTCTCAACTTTAACATACTTTTGGTTGATTTTAAATCCAATTCATTTCTACCATCATCATCATTTGGTGTGTCAACAAAGATAAGGACCCCACACACACATATATACACACACACACTCAAGAACGCGCGTGCCCGCGTGAAGCCTTATCTTTCTTCTGTTGTCGCCGTAGGCCCTCGCTATCGCAAAATCTCAATAGAAATGTTCAAATGATCATAACTCTGCGAAAACAAATTATAGAGACCTCGGCGACCTCGCGTTGTTTTCGTTTCGGAAAGCCTTTTCGAACGAGCCCTCAGTCAATCTCACATGCCATTTAAGATTTTTTCCCTTCTCCCTCCTCCTGTCCCCCGGGGATGTGGAGGTGGGTGTTTTTGTGGTTAAATAATAAACTTTGTGATCCTATTGTATCCCTATAAATTTCAGTCCTACATTTCAAACCATTAAAAAATTATTTAGGTGGCCTGGAACTTTTGGTAGGCATTGTATAAATCAAAATAATTATTATAGGCTATGTGAAATTGATGCAAAGTACCGAAAACCGACTAAAGTCGGCGCTAGTATGGATAGCTTATCGCGTGAATACTGACTGTAGTCAGCTTTCGTATATATAAGTATGTACAGATATATCCTCGCATGGATGCCGATTAAAGTCGACGTTAGAAATGAAAAGGTTAAATTGGGTCAAACTGAATAGAAAATTCTTTTATCACTTTGTAAATAACCGCGAGGAATTTTAAAATATCAATGAGAAAATATAGACTAATCTGTAATGCCTTGAGACGAGTTTTGTAGCCATAATTTTATAAAACAAACAGAAATAGTTGACTGTCTCCTAGCAATATTGAATGTCAGCTAATAGTGAAAAGCGAAGTACGTGAGCAACGAGTAATGTATAAAGCTGGAGAGAGAGGGGGGAGAGGAGGGAGGGGGAGAGAGAGAGAGAGAGAGGAAGAAATTGTATGCCAATATTTATTGCTAAGAAGTAGTCAACAAATCGATGCTATTTTCAATGAGATCGTCCCTACAGAGCTTATCCCATTACAGTTCAAGCATAGATTAGTCTGCCTTCTTTCTTAGATAAAAGTATTTTCTGTTTAGGTTATCTTAATCTATTTATACTCGATATATGTTTTGAATTTACTATACGATAATAGTTATGAAAGACATATGAGCGATACACCCCAGCAAGAAATGACTTGTCGACCGATGTCGAAACGACGTCAAATCGATGTCTAAAAATTCAAATCGACATCAATTCGTTTCGACGTCGATCGACGAATCATTTCTCACTAGGCACATGCATGTATGTCTCATATGTCTCTCGTAGCTACTATTGTATAGTATATTTCTTAATAATTATATTGTTAATATTTCTACCACATAATTAATTATTAATTTTGATTTTTTCTACTTGAACTATTTTATACAAATAACTCAGTTACACGTACCTTAGCTGTCATTGTACTTAGAACGATTGTGCGACGACTTTATCGGATCTGTACCGAAATGTGAATGTTACCATCAGTGACAATCGGTACTTTTATACTTGGCCCAACAAACGGCGATGAACCTCGAAATCTTTCGGTGTGCACAGTTTGTTATGGTGGGAGAAGTAGTGTCAAGGATAAATTTGATTATTGCGCCATTGTGTCGAATATCTTACTCTCCATTAAATATAACGTTCCGACAGAACGGCGATAAGTTATTTTATCGGATATATGTTGGGTATTTATTTCGATTATTAACAAAGTTAAATTAAATCTAAATTATATAATTCATTAGTTAATATAGATTTGAAAAAAGTAATATAATTTTTAAAACTATTGTGTTAATTTAAGAGTTTCAACTCTTTTTAATCTTACAAAATTAGAACGTATATATGTATTTACGTATAATAACGAAAGAATAGCATCTATATTTCTTGCAAAATCTTTAAAAAAGTCAATTGATATCCCAAAGTAAATTAAAATCAAATTGTGAAGGTAAAAATTCGACAGATTGACTTTCTTGTATAAAATATCGTATTTAAAAGTATTGTTTCGCATTCACGAGATTTCGTCGTGAATTCTGCTTTGTGGAAATCTCGAATTGGATAGCGGGCCAATATTTTTCAATGCGATGCGGGGAATAGAATGTGAAAATCTTGTATGCCTCTGAATCCGAAAACAATTAGGAGAAGAAGTAAATACTTTTCAATGCGAAAGTTCGTATTCGTTTGAAGGTTATCGATTGCGATTGAATGCAAAAAATATTTTGAGCTAAGTGAATCCTTTTTAATACGAGAATTCGCATGCGTTTGAAGGTTATCGATCGCGATTGAATACGAAGAACGTTTTGAACTGGTTAGTTCTTTTTAATGCGAAAGTGCGTATTCATTTAATTTTTGCTATTTTGAAAAGAGACTTGTATATTTTTTAATGCATAAGGGCGAAATAAAATATATTTGATTGTTTGACAATACAATTTTGTAGACAAATGTTTTTTAATTTAATTAATAATCAGAAAGAAGAAACAATTCCTTATAATAAGAAAGTAAAAATTTATAAACATTTTCAATGCAAAGCATTCACCATTGTCGTCTCACATTCAGCGCAGCAAAGTTTAATGCGAACCAATACTTTTTAATCCCTTTGTTCAAGCCAGAAAACAGAATTCCGAAGTATTCAAAATGTCAATACTATTTAATGCGTTTTAATCCGACATTTTATGCAGGGTTGTTATTCTATATTTGTAATATTAATTAATAGATTAAAATATTATAAAAAATTATAAATTAAAATATTATAAATTTAAAAAAATTATAAAAGATTATAAATTTGAAGTTTGAATATACTCGGGAAAAAAGATAATATATAAACTTTGTTCATATATAGCCATATAAAATCATGCATAATCATATATATCAATAATGAAAAAAATATTCTTGTACAAATACAATTGAAGTAAATACTTATGCTTTTAGCAGCACATGATGGCGATGTTTATTTGAATAAAACTATTTCTTCCTTTTTTCATTTAATATTATCCTTTTCCTGTGTGGATATATTACCCAATTAGCAGACAATATTTTTTGAACGTTTTTTAAATATTAACTTTATATTCTTTTTACATTTCTCCCATTCATTATACAAAAAATATTTATTTAACGTTTATTTAATATTTATTTTACATTAATAATTCGTTTAGAATTATTTTTAACATTTTAAAAATGTTTTTTAATATTTTTAAAGATTAAACATTTGTAATATTTTTTTTATTGGATATATATTTGACCATTTACAGGCAAAATATATAGTCATATATATAATTTTATATAATTATATATAATCATATATGATCTTTTGTCTCTTTTTGTCTCAGATAATCTAATATATACTTTAATCCTTAGATGTTAAAATATTCAACACAAAGTATTATGTGTGTTCAACACATAATATTATTTTTGAAATTAAAGTGAATTGCATATATAGTTACATTAAAACATTCTTTTTTATCAGAAATCGATCAATTGCTACACTTTCGTCTTCAAAACTGGAACATCTGGCTCGGCCACGCCTTTGCGAAATGTGAACGGAAAGTAGTCTAGCCTTGTTGTTCCCTCTCCAACTTTTTCTTCTGGAGCGCAACTCGTTGTAATTATGGTCTCGATTCTATATTTAAGAAACTGGCATTGCAGGTATGCCCGCATTTCAGTTGCACGTGAATAATTCGCAAAGATATATTCTTCTTTCCAATCATGTGTCGACCTTCTGATAAAATTTATATAAACCAAAATTTTACTCGTAAATAATAATGCCGGTAATCAGTGTTCAGTAATAGAAAAAGATCATATGTAAAGATTAAATACAATTAAATATTGTTAAATTAATTAACTTTTAACTAATTAAAGAAAAATAAGGAACTACTATATTCTTTTGCCTGGTAATTTATTCTATTCTGCCTATTTATATATGTATACTTCTGCACATTCTCAGAAAATACAAACTTATAAAAGACGTCTTTTAATCCCTTGACTATTTAACATTATAATGGTTTCCCGTTAAATAATAATTTAGGATAAAATGGTACTATAGTGGCTCTCCTAAAATTTTCATTAAAATGTAATGTGTATGTGTCCATTAAATAACAATTTGTTTATTATTTTTAACATTGTAAATACGAATTTCAGTCATTAAATGTTATTCCATACCAACATAGATACAATAAATTAATAAAAATTTAGTAGGAAATAACAAACACTGATCATATCTTCTGATATGCATGCTGATTAACATGCAACTTGGTTCACTATATAGACCTTCTAATACATAGTTGATGATCCATATAGTGAACTGAGATATTTACAGCATACTGATTAGCATGCATATCAAAAAGCATGAAATCATACATCATATAACGCTAATTTTGTATACGTTTAACGCCAAGTTATATATGCTTGGCTAATTAAAATATTTTTTTAATAATTTTTGAGAGATACATTTTCTTATTAGATACGAAATGCGTCGAATAACCGAGGAAATATGTTATAACTTTTAATCAACCGACTGTATGTATGTAGTGGTAAAATCTATATCCAGTTCAATCGCAGCCAGAAAAGTTTAAAGATATCTAAAGGACATCCTATTTTTCTTAAATATTCTTTAAAATGTCTTTTACAAGTTTGCGCTATTTAAATTTATAATCAATCTTATTCCACTTTAGCTGCTTTGAACACGGGCCATCATTGAAATCTTTTGCGCCTTCTGAACAATATCCGGGCAACGTCGCCGTCTTACCAATCTACAATCTTGGAAGAAACCTTCGTTTCTCGGAAATCCGTGCGATCCATCGGCATAAGTCACCAAACCTATGGTGATCAGATAAATAAACTAGTTATTTCCAAATTATATTTACAATGTACCTGTTAGTAATTGCTGTAATTATAATTAACACAATTAGTTGTTGCAATACGATTACATGCCTAAGCCCCAAACGCGACCACCACGAAATTCCCCTTCGAATTTCATTCCATCAGCTCTCCAGAATACACCATGACCATGAAACCATCCTTGCATAAACTCTCCCTCATATCTAAAAAATATAGGACGTAAAATTTTTACACGAATATACCTATACATTTCAATGAATATAAAACGAAACAAAGATACAAGGTCACAAACAAAAATACGAGGTTATAAAAAGGAAAAACGGAAACCTACTTTGCTCCATCGGGAAATATAATAACTCCTAATCCAGAAAATAATCCACTTTGAAATGCTCCGCCGTATCGTGTTCCGTCCGGAAGAACTAATAAACCAGCGCCATGCTTCAAACCTCTGCTATTCCAATCCCCGATATACTTCGTACCGTCATCGTACTTGTACGCGCCATTCTTTACCACATCTAAACACGTAAAGACAATAACAAAGAATAAGCGAGAAAGAGGAACAGGAGTTGATAAAAACATAAGGAAATTTTTAATTAGGAAACAAATAAGGTAAGTGTTAAAATTGCGTGTTCTTACCGTCGCCCATGCTTGCACTGTACTGAATATGTCCACGGTAATAGCTATGGATCTTATAATCCATTTATCAAGATTAGGTCTTTATTTAATTAAGAAAGGCATCAAGGATAAGGGAGTCGTTCTAGAGAAGGAAACCAATTTGATAAACTAATGCAAACTGTATGCATAAATAAAAACAAAACTTATTCATCATACTTATTTCTGAATATAACATGTTAATATTCAATAATAAGAAATTTATATTTTACAGAGGATAGAGAAAATTATTATATAAAATATTTACATAAAATCATATATAAAAAAATATTCATTCTGAATCTTCGGATACACCCACTATAAACCATCGTGTTCTTGCTTCCACAGCCGCCTTTCTAACTAGACGTTTATGGTCGTCGATTATGATTCCCAGCTTGTCTAATACGAGTACTTTGTATGGATAAATTATGACGGTAGGATAATCAGCATAATATGACAGGCACTCCAGTACTGCAATTCTAACATTCTGTCAACATTGAAATGCTACATGATGTCTTGTACAAAAGAGAAAGTTCGAAAGAAATCAAACTTGATACAATTAGTAATTACCATGCTTTCTCTCGTCGCTAATTGTAAGAGTCTCGGTATAATGCATTGTACGTTGTTAGAAAATATGTCGTGTTTACTATTAATTAAAGACTTGAGCGATCTCAACGTCCAAAGAATCAGTTGTACGTCGCTGAGAGACAGCGATTCGATTAATAGTGGTACTAGCTGATATATAAAAAAAATTTTATTTATCATAGAATATTACATGGAATATTATCAACATGCATTAGCAATGTACTTACCCTGGCTAAATGTAAAAACTTTAATTCCGTAGATATTTGTTCCAATGAATATATTAACGCGATAAGATAATTCTGTCTCATTGAATTTACGACATTATTATTTTCTTGCAGTAAATACTCAAACACCCTTTGTTTGTGAAATATTTTAATATCGCAAAAATTTTCCTTCGTTAAAACATCCTCGTGATTGCTTATTAAAATTTGATATTGTTGACTTACGTATTGGCCTACTCGATCATGTGTTAGTAAATGTGTGAGCTGTGAAAATAAAATATATATTAGTGCATTAATATTTAAATCTTATATTCAAGAATCGCCGATGTATGAATCATACGTACATTTTCCAAAAGATCTTGAGATTTCTTATATCCCCTTATGATAAGTGCTTTAGTCATCCAAATTTGTAAATCAATTACATGTTCCAATTCCATATCAATGTTTTCTTTCAAATTATTGCTTATCTTTTCTTCAAAATAAGATACAATCCGATTAAGATCTTCAGCTTCCATTTTATTTAATAAAACGGATAAACATTTACAGATTATTTGTCTTGTGTATTGTGAGCTGTGAGTATTAACAGCCAGATTGTATAGATTTTCTATCATATTATCATTAATATAAAAGTTGACGTCTTTTCGCAGAGGGATTAAAAGATTCATTATCAGAGCCACGTCTGTTTCTGGAGATTTTACATTTAAAGTCACAACGTACTTCGTCACAATCGTACGTTGCTGTTCAACTGTAAGATTTCGCATAATTAATTGACAAACGTTATCTATCAACATTTTGTGATTGATAACGCTTGTTTTATATGAAATTAATTTATCTATAACATGACATTTCTCATATAGAAACTGATGTATATTATAATCAAATTTCCCTGAAGCAATCAGCTTCTGAATATTCAGTAGTATTGTAATGCATATATCAGCACAAACATTGTTAGTTAATAAGTTAATGATTTCTGGAAGAATTATATATCCTAATTCATATAGCTTTGCAATTGCTAATAATGTCCTTATTCTGCGTTTTAGTAATTTGATTTTTGTATCATCTGGAATAATCAAATGGTATATTACTTTCATTTTCATTCATAAAAATTAGTTCATATCAATTGTAATTTACATGTAACTTACCTATGTTTAATAAAAATCTTTCTTCAACTAACAATATTATTTCTTGAGAATACAACATAGCAAATTCTAGAATAGTTGTGTGACATATTGTCTGTATTTCATCACATCCTATTTCAATTTGATCACATATCACGTTATATAATATAAAACGTTGTGTTTCATTTAAATATGGTCCTTGAATTATTAAGCCACAGAACATTTTACTTCTTAATTTAATGTTTTCTACTATTAAACCATCTAAGTATAATTGAGTTATATTTGTCCATTTTAATTCTGGAATATCTAAAAGATATATATATTTTGCTTTATTTGTAATTATTTTATTTATAATTAATAATAATCAATATTACATTAATATTACATTATAATTAATAATGATCAGTAATATAACATTAGTGATACATTGTAATAAAAAGTTGAAAATATTTGTAAAAATATCAATAAATGTAATACCTTCAATACAAAATCCATGGTTGGAGCATATTTTCAGAACATCATTTAAAGTCTCCATCAACTTAATTTTATTGTCCCATGAAATATTTGTGAAGTATTGTCCAATACATAGAGGTATTATAGTTAATACGACTTGCATACATGTTTCTTTACTGATTGTTGCTATTCTTTTTAATAGTGTTTCAGCTGATTTAAATAAACTAAATTGCACATCGCATATTAATGGTTTTATATCAGCAATTATTTTGTCAACAAAATCTTTACAAAAGATTTCAGTAGAAGACATCACTGTAATTAAAGATATTGTTGCTTCCAAAGCAGCATCTGCTACCTTAACATCTTTCATTGACATAATTTCTTTCTTTAAAGCTGTCCATAATTCACATAAATAATGTTGCAATTTTAATGCACCAAATATTTGAACACTGTCATGTAATAAATTCAAACTATCGAGTTTAGCAACTCTATGAGAAGAATATAATTTTTCAATTATGACAGGTATACAATAATTTGCAAATTCTGAGGTAGCATATAAACAAGGTGCCAATTTCTCTACCAAATCTTCTCTTTTCAAATTTGTATCTTCTCTGCTAGACTGTAAAATATAAATCATAAATTTTTATGTTAATGATTTTATATAAAAGAAATAAATTTGTGTATATATATACATATATATATATAATTACAGAATTAAAATCAACTGGGAAATAGCACGCCATAACTGTAAACATTTCTTCTGTTAAATGACCCAATGGAAACTCTTTTATAATATATGGTAATGTGTTAAACAGTATCATGAGATTATTCGGATCTCTTTCACCATCCATAGTATTAATAATTCCATGAACTAAATCTGATCCCATAGATCTCAAATCATTTAATCTGTTTTCTATTAAAATTTTAAATATTAAATATATATTGCGACGTTCTTGTACTAGTAGAGATTGACATTGAATATGTTCAAATATTGATCTTAAGAGAGATAATAGTGAATCTTGAGGCAAATAATTCATGTTCACCTAAAACAAAGTTTATACATAAAAGTCTGACAGATACAGTGGCTACAAGAACAATGATTTAAATTTTTATAAACAAATACTTACAATTGCAAGAATACCATTTAATACAGAAGGTATAACTTTATCATGATCTTTTATCCTGTCACAGTAAAACATTGCAATGAAATGTAGCTCTGTTTCATTAAGATAATATTGAGGTAGTTGTGATAAAACAGAAGAAAGTATAGCAACACCTCTTTCTCTTACATGAACATTTTGGTTTGTTGTATAGGAACTTAGTGTCTCCACAAAAGTACAAAGTTTCATAGAACCTGATGCTATTTCTGAAGCAAAATATTTTAGACTTTTACAACTTGTTGAATATTCATTTCTTTAATTACAACTGTCTAATATATTTATAATTCATAAAATGTTTAAATATTTTAACAAAACAAAATTTTAATATTTATATATGTATAATACATACCTGAAGCTATATTTTTGCATAATAGACTCAATGTTGTTGTATTTGTGAAATTAATGTCTAACTTCTCTTTTAAGTTAAATTTCAAAGACAAAGCCATAATCAACATGTGTTATTGTTTACAAGAGCCAAGAGTAAATTCTTCTTTTTCTTTTGATATGATGAATTGTCTTCTTGTCCTTCCTAAATATAAAGGTTTCTTGAGAATTATGAGGTTTTTTAGATTACAACCTGGCGTTCATTCCATATACATAGTATGAATAAACCATTGAATAAAGAATATAAGGAAGGAGCATTTGGCAAAAATACGTGGTGAAAAGTGTAAAGGGGTCTGTTCTTTATAGCTGAACTAATGAATTAAGCTAAGACTCCATGCATGCGGTGAGCTGCGGCAAATGCTGCGATGACCAATCAGGAGGGAGGCGCAAGTCCGGTTGCGGCAAGCTCCGGCATGCGTCTGTCTCCTGATTGGTCACCGCAGCCGTTTGCCGGAGCTCACCGCATGCATGGAGTCTTAGCTTAACTTTGACTACCGATGTATCAGCGAATCGAGATAAGATCGAGATGTTTGATGACATCTATCATCGAGTAGTCGAGAAGACGACTTAACGTATTTTAAGAATAAAAAAATGGTTAATTGTTGCTCGTGTGGTGCGATACAAAAAGAGGATGTTTGGAAACACTTCATATGTGGGTATAATTTATTCTATTTTTTAAGATTATTATAATTGTAAAAAGTAATTATTTAGAAGAGGCACACTCCAGGTGAAACAAAAAATCATAATAATATAATTATGATATAAAAAAAGCGTCAGAAAAGACATCCCGGCGTAACCGGCCTGGTGGCTAGCAGAGAGAAACTCTCAGGTTTCTCTCTGCTAAAGCATCAGGTTCTATGAATTTAAAACGAATTTAAAGGCAAGAGCACAGGCTTTTGCATAACACATAATACATAACGCATAAAGCTAAGATTCCATGCATGCGGTGAACTGCGGCAAACGGTTGCGGTGACCAATCAGGAGGGAGGCGCAAGTCCGGTTGCGGCAAGCTCCGGCATGCGTCTGTCTCCTGATTGGTCACCGCAACCGTTTGCCGCAGCTCACCGCATGCATGGAGTCTTAGCTTAAGAGAATAAAGCTAAGACTCCATGCATGCGGTGAGCTCCGGCAAACGGCTGCGGTGACCAATCAGGAGACAGACGCATGCCGGAGCTTGCCGCAACCGGACTTGCGCCTCTCTCCTGATTGGTCATCGCAGCATTTGCCGCAGCTCACCGCATGCATGGAGTCTTAGCTTAAACCAATTAGTTTTCTTCATTTCCCTCCTCAGAACAGAAATGAAGAACTCTGATTGGTTTATTCTCTTATGCGTTATGCATTATGCGTTATGCAGAAGTCAGTGCTCTGGCCTTAAATATAAGACCCAACTGTATGAACACTGGCCTATGAAGGCTGCGTTCCGAAATTCACTGCCAGTACTGAAAATCTATAGTATACGTGACACAAACCATGTATTTTCAGTACTGACAGTGGATTTCGGAACACAGCCGAAATCGATGTCAACTGTAAAGAAGGATGACCCTCCATTATACCTCAGTCTCGAAACTATCTTAAAAAAGAATAGAAATACTGGATGTGTAGCTAAAATAAGTAAATCTATATTTAAAATACATATTTTTTTTTTGGTACACTAGGAATTTATATAACACTTAAATGTTTCTGGTTATAATTTTAAAGAAAAATAGTGGATAATATTCTATCAGAAAAGTGATATCCTAGAAAAGCAAAATATATAAGGGAAAAAAGAACAAATAAATAAATCCATAGTTGAATACGATTTGATAATTCACCGAATATTGTAGTTCTCATTATTATTTTTTGAAGATTTTGAGATTCCTTGGCATAAAATAATGGTACGTATATTATTTCTTATTTTTTCCTAATTTTAGCTAATTATTTATAAAATATATGATTCTTAGGCTCAAGAAGTTGAAGAAACTATGAAACGAATTCAGTCTCACAAAGGAGTAGTTGGGACAATAGTTGTGAATGCAGAAGGTATCAAAGAGAATTGAAAGTTGATTATGATCATACAGCAATGTTTATGAATTTATACATATATAAATATGTATATATAGGTACATGTGTGTATATATATGCACACATATATATATATATGCACCTGTTTTTTCAGGTATTCCGATTAAATCAACGTTGGATAATACAACAACAGTTCAATATGCAGGCTTAATTAGTCAATTGTCTGACAAAGCCCGTTCTGTTGTACGAGATTTAGATCCAACAAATGATCTAACATTTTTGCGTATACGTAGCAAAAAACATGAAATTATGGTTGCACCTGATAAAGAGTTTATATTAATAGTGGTACAAAATCCAGTTGATTAATTAAAAACAAAATTATATTATAAAATAAAGATTTGTTTTCTTGGCCATTAATTCTGTGTGCTATATTTGATGTCAATAAAGAAAAATGCAACAATCAGCTAATAGAAACAAAATATTTACTATATTATTTTTACTTATTTTATTTTATATTCTTGTTTTTGTCTTTGAACATTAAATTTATAAATTGTAATTTTCTTTTTAAGTCAAAATACTGCTCTTTTCTATTTCTTTTTATGAATAGTATTTTATGTTTTTGCCAGATTAATTTAGCAGTGGAGTATAAATAAATATATTTATTAAATAAATATACTCTTAAGGTAATATAATTATTTCTATATTATTTAATATATTATGTATATTTAAGTTTATGTATGTTGTGTGTGTGTATATATATACAGGGTTCTCGAAAAGTCTTCGAATGATAAAATATCTCGAAAACAATTAGTTTTTGGAAAAAATGTTTCAGGCAAAAGTTGTAAGGTTTAAAATGATCTATTTACTGATCTTATCAGTTTGACCTTGGCTAGCGTCAACAAGGTCAGGGCAAAGTCACCTTGAACTTTTCAAATGGAACGCCCTACTTTTTTTGGCATATTCTTATAACGTATTTCAAGAGCTTTCCAAAACACTACAACAAAGTATTTTTTTGTTAAGTACATCCCGAGTTATGAAGCTTCAAAGTTACAGATCCGTCGGCATTAGCATTACCCAAGGTGTACCGCGTGGAGGTTGCACAATCGGATTTACACCTCGTGTGTGTGTGTGTGTGTATGTGTGTGTATAGATCACGTACGAAGAAGCTTTTTGAGAACCCTGTATATATGCATATATGCATGTATGTGTGAGATTTGATATTTGGAATATTAAAAATACATGTATATCTAGTCTGAATTTGACAAAAGATATGTAAATATGGAGAAATTTATTTCACTGTTTTGTTAAACTTAACCATATTATTTCAAAATTATTCTGTCATTTCGTTATAATAATTGATTTTATAAATAATGATATTAACGGAAAATTATATCTTTTATTTGTAATTTTTCTTGCAATTTTCCTCTTTTTATTCCAAAGTTAAATATAAATGTGTTCAAGTATAAAAATATTTAAAAATATATGCAGTTAACAATAGTAGACCTTATTTTTGAATGAATTATAATTACATATCCATATATAATTACAAAAGTTATAATAAATACTGTTTATTACTATTGTTTATTACTAATCTAGAATCTTATTAATACTAATGATCTAAAACCTTATAAATAAATCAAAGTAATATCGTTTTTTATACTCTGTACATAAGACAAAGATTTAATACATACATATGTTTATAACTAGTAGCTTCAATTAAATAGTCAATATAAGTAATAATATAAATAACAATTTAAATAAATTTGTTATTTATATTGTTCTTTTGTAATGGTTATCTTGCTTTATACAGGGTGAAGAAAAAAGATGAAACCCTTAAAAATTTCGAAAGATATAAGTTTTACAAAAAAGTGTTTCAGACGAAAGTTATAAGGCTCAAAACGATGTATTTACTGATCTTATTAATTTGACCTTGAGTGGCGTTGCCAAGGTTAGGTCAAGGTCAACTTATTTTTTTTTAAACAAACCCCATTTTTTGTTATATCATTTTTTCTACCAATTAATTTGAATAACTTTTATCTGAAACATGTTTTTATTTATCTAATATGTTTTGAGATATTTAAGGAAAACTTGATAACTTTTTCAATACTTAACTCACGATATCTCTAACTATTTGTCAGAAGAAAAAATGGTACTAGACTTTCCTACTCTATTTGGTCTCAAGAAAATATTATTACAATAGTTCCTTAACTTTTGTTAACTTATTGACTTTTGGAGATTTCAAAATTATCAAATTAACAAAAATCAGTATGCTATTGTAACAATATATTCTTAAAACTAAGTAGAGTAAAAAAGTCTAATAGTATTTTTTTCTTCCGACAAATAGTTGGCGAGGTCATCAAGTTTCCCTTAAATATCTCAAAAAATATTAGGCAAATAAAAAAACGTTTCAGACAAAAGTTGTTTAAATTAATTGGCAGAAAAAGATGATATAATAAAAAATGGGGGTTTCTGTTAAAAAAAAATAAGTTGATTTTGACCTGACTTTGGCAATGCCACTCAAGGTCAAACTGATAAGATCAGTAAATACATCGTTTTGAGCCTTACAACTTTTGTCTGAAACACTTTACTGTAAAACTTATATCTTTTGAGATTTTTTAGGGTTTCCATCTTTTTTCCTCACCCTGTATGTCATTAGAAGTACAGAAATATACTTTATACTTCTTCAAAAATATATGGAAGAAGTCAGTATACCATCAGAAAACACACTACAGTAAATTTTATACAAGTACAGAAATATACTTTATACTTCTTCAAAAATATATGGAAGAAGTCAGTATACCATCAAATAACACACTACAGTAAATTTTATAGATCAAGCAAATCTGTAAAATAGCTTAAATGCTTATTTTGTCTCAACAAAAATAAATAAATATATTAGATAGGATTCACGTGACAAAAGAATTATAAGAGAAGATAGATTGAAAATGTAGGTATCATGTTAATTTTACAGTGAGTTATTGACTTGTTTATACAAAAAGAAAAAATTCGAGTTATTTTATAAATCTTGATTATGTTATTCTGTAGATGTAACCCTTCATTTTAATATATTTGATAAGAATGTATAGTATATATTTTTTTGCTTCTGATGTTATCAATCATGAGTTGCAAGAAAGAATCTTAATGCTATTATTATAATGGGTTGGCAACTAAGTGATTGCGGATTTTAAATAAGAATGAAAATTCAAAATTTTAAATTTGCTTTTTTAAATTTTTTTCAATGCATGTATGCGATACATTGAGCTTCTCTGCAATATCACGTGTTGTGCTATGACGATCTGAATCGATAATGGCCTTGATATGGCTCTCATCGACTTCAACTGGACGGCCAGATCGTTGAGCATTTTTCAATGAAAAGTCACCAGAACGAAATCTGGCAAACCGATTTTGACACTGCCTTTCTTTCAAGGCTTCATTCCCATATACGGCACATAACTTCTTGTGTGCTTGCGATGTGTTCTTGCCTTTTCGGAAATAATACAATAAAATATGTCTGAAGTGCACATCTTGCTCTTCCATTTTTAAATTGGGATAAAAACAAAACTAAAGAATTAATCGATATAATTTTTGTACTAAATGAAAGGTAGAAGTCCAAACAATAAGAAAAAAATATAGGTTAGGTACTTTGAACACGTTAACGAAACAAAAGAAAGTGTAAAATCCAACTGTCGACAAAATCCGCAATCACTTAGTTGCCAACCCAATAGTTGCGTATTACTGATTATCTTAAAACAATTTGTTATTTTTATCGCAGTATATTATCAATTTCTTGGAAACAATATTTGATGCCCTTTGTTTACATTGATGCTAAATTTTAAAATTAAATTTGCTTTAATATCTAATTATATATATATTAATATTATATATATATATTAATATTATAATATATATATATAAATATTAATAATAATTATATTAAAAAATAAAAGATAAACATCTAAATTTTATGTTATTTGAAGTGATACTTTCGAAGTATGTTGTTTCTTTGAAGGATGAAACATGGTATAATAAATAATCATTGCTACAATTCCCAAGAAAAAGGACAACACACAGAAAATAAAATATATATAAAAGTACCAAACACTTCTAATCTCTGGAGAAGAAGTGTAACTCCATACTATATTACATGAAATATTTTCCAAAAAACAGAACATATAAAAAAATATATGCTTCCATAATGTATTGCTATCTATTGTATTAAAATATATAAAAATATGAACTATGCCAATGATCATTGCAAATAATATGGAATAAATATGTTCTTTAAACTTTGGTTTAATATGTGGTGGACGACTGTAATCCCGACAGAATTCTAATATTCCATGAGAATCGATTATAATCCATATTGTCATGATTATCCAATGTATAACACAACAAATTATAGTAAGTATAGGCCAAATGCTTGCGACGACACTAATTGACAAAATTCTTGCCACTGCAACCATTATATCAAAGTTTATGAATTACTGTTAATTGTCCTATTTTATGATTTTTAAAATTTTAATCAAATGAATTATCTTATAAGTATGAAATCAGACTGTGGAATAAAATAATAATTGTAATAAAAGATATTTTGACTATACATACATATATATATATACATATATACATATATATATATATATATATATATATATAGTTTTGTTATTACATTTGTTACTTTTATAAGTCTCTAGTAATTATGAAATCACCTGTAATGAAGAAATGCCACAGAAATTGGAAAACAGTTGCCATATATCTGATATTTGATTTATCTTGCTGAGCTGAGCGAATGCTACGATGATAACTAGCCATTGCCCAACTCATACTTCCAAATGAACTGACAATACTAGCTACTTGATGTACAACTAGAATTAACATACAGTTATATTATACAATGATTGACTAGCAAAATATTTAAAAGAAATAGAATATTTAGTGATTCTCTCATCATATATTCTTGTATCTCAAAATATATATTATACAATTACATGGTAAAAAAGAAGTTTGGACTGAAATATAAAGAAAAGAAATAATGTACTTACATTGAAAATTAATTTCATTATAATGTTTTAATATTAAAGTCAATTGTAAAATCTGCTGTGGTGCAGCTTCCAGAAAACATTCAAATATTCTTAATAATGCAACATCTTGATCTTCCTTCAGCATTTTTAAGTAATTTTGTTTTGTGCCAATGCGATCTCTAGATTTCTCACATTTGCGTGTTTTTAATGCATACTTTAAAGTCTCATAATAATGTAAAACTGGTGCTAGTTGAAAAATTACAGTAATCACAAAACATAATTTATTGTTCACCATTAGGTGCAAAATTTTTTTATCCTTTGAATTATGCATATTAGAATTTATCTATATAAAAAAAATATATTAAAAAACATTAGAATTTTTTTAATATTTTATAGAAATTTTTGTGGTATTACTACTAAGGCAAAAAACTAATACCCAAGTACAACAATAATCAGATGTAAAGTATAATTATTAACATAATAACACTTATAACATAAAACATATAATGCAACTATAGTAAACATGATACATAAGTATACTTTACCTCTTTATCTTGGCATTGCATTCTCTTGCTAATAATAACATTTATCAAAGAAGGAATGATAATAAGACAAATTGTCCAAATAAAATATGTTATTTTATCATCTAAAAAGTATTGTATGGCAATATTATAATCAAATCCTATATCCATAATATGCATAACTATGGAACAAACTATACAAAAAACAAGTAAATTGGGAATGCAAGGAATTTTCATTGAAATATCCACATCATCACCAAAGTGTACAGTTGGAGATATTTGAGGAAGATAGCCCAGAAGATGATGTTCAGGATTTCTTTCTTCCATAATTTCCTATAATTATTTAACACATATACTATTATAAAATTTATATTAAATATTTTAATCAAAATATTTAAAAGTGTCACTCTAAAGTGAAATAAGAGTTATGAAGTGCTGAAAAGTCATAGTTCTGAGGTTAGGAAATTTGTCATACCGATCTTCTTCTTCACACTTGGCCCGGAACTGGGAATTCCATTAACCAGTCTTATTGGTGAGATTTCCTTGGTGAAAATTTTTTTTTTTCTCCCCCATTGAGGTTACTGATGGTATTGAGGATAGTAGATGGAAGCTTTCTTATTTTATATATTTTTTCCTATGCTGTTAAGAAATTTTTCCAGAATAAAAAGGGCAAGAGCACAGACTTTTGCATAAAGCCAGCGGCACATGGTGCTTGTTTTTGTGCTGGATTGCTTGCTGGATGAAAATACTGCGTTCTGATTGGTGCATTTCCATCCATCTTCGGAATAAGCGGTAAGAAATAAACCAATCATAGTCGACTATGACAAAAATAATCAACTGTAGTTAGTCCATTTCTTAAGGTAATTCTACAATATATGTCGTAAGTTGTAAGTCGTAAAAATTGGCGAATCACAGTCGATTATTACAAAAATAATCGACTATAATTGGTTAGTTCTTACGGCTTACAACTTACGACACGTATTGTAGAATGACCTTTAAGGTCATTCTACAATGAGGTGTAGTAGTATGCAGTAGGCAAATTGACCAATCACGATCGATTGTTCTCTTTACGATCGAAAAATAATCGACTGTGATTGGTTAATTTGCCTACTGCATACTACTACAATCTCATTGTAGAATGACCTTTACTGTTCACGCTTAAGCCAGCGGCACACGGTGTTTGTTTTCGTGCTGGATTGCTTGCTGGATGAAAATATTGCGTTGTGATTGGTACATTTCCGAGGATGGATGGAAATGCACCAATCAGAACGCAGTATTTTCATCCAGCAAGCAATCCAGCACGAAAACAAGCACCGTGTGCCGCTGGCTTTAATTTAGGGTTTACATCCAACCGTTGTGTTTTCTGAACGCGATCATACGATCAGTAGAAATGGCGCATTGATACTTTCAAACTTGGCAACGCTGCATTGAGTAAGTACAGTATAGCACAGTTTTCTGGGTGGATCTTGTAACACGTAGCATCACGTTAGTTAATGTGGTGGAGTATGATAAAGTTTTATCACATCTAATATCTTAGCGAGATAGAAAAAGTTGAAGTTATATTGTATTATATATTATATATCACAAACTTGAAAACACTAAGTACATTCTGTAAGTTTTATTAAATCGTATGTCTAAAGCATGTTCATAGAATTCAGGTGTTTCTAACAGTTTCTAACAGTCGTTTGATAAGTTGCAATAAATTTTTGTCAATTCATAATCTTTATCCGATTATTTCTAAATTTGTTTCTAAGTCTGCGTGTAAAAAAATAATAGATAATTTTTTTTAAATTCATATGACTTTTTCAAAGCAACACACAAATTACTGTATAAAACCTTTTTATATATATAAAACAAGATTATGTCAGTGTACTAAAGAAATAATAATTAATATTTATACATGAATTATAACACATTGTGAATAAGTACATATTAATATGTTTTATTACAAATGATATATTAATACTGATATTGCTTAAATTCACATATTCATATTTCAATTATTATTTTCTGCTTTCCAAAATCTGTATTATTGTAATTACATATATAAAAATCTTTGTCTTTTCATATCATAACATTAGATTAATAATTTTTGAAATTTTTACTAATTTTTTCATATATTTTCCTAAATAACTGTTCTTTGAAATTTACAGGTAGATTATACACTATTTCATCATGGTTAACATTAATACGAGAGTATTCTTTGACATCGAAGTTGGTGGGCTGCCTATGGGGAGAATAATCTTTGAACTTTTTTCTGATATTTGTCCTATAACATGTGAAAATTTTCGTGCTTTATGCACTGGAGAAAAAGGACTTGGAAAAACAACAGGCAAACCATTGTATTATCAAGGCATCGTTTTCCATAGAGTTGTAAAAGATTTTATGATTCAAGGTGGAGATTTCTCAGTAGGCAATGGAACAGGTGGCGAGTCAATTTACAATGGTATATTTGCAGGTAAATATATAAAGTTCTAATACAAAGTTTTGTATAAACTTAATAAAAATTTGATCCAATATTATAATATTGCTTATCGTTCATGTTTGAGATGTTTTTGCAGATGAAAATTTTATTGTAAAACATGATAAACCATTCTTATTGTCAATGGCAAATCGTGGCAGAGATACTAATGGTTCGCAATTCTTTATGTAAGTACTAATTATCTTCAAGTAATATATAAGAATATTGTTTTATTAAAATATATATATTATATTTCTTCCATTCATGCTTTTATGATTTGTATTTAATCTATATCATCTAACCATATATTTTAAAACTCATCAAGTATTTAAATATTACATATTTTGCTACATATATAAATTGACACATAATAATGTTACATATTTTCAATGTTATTATATAACATCTGCTTATATATGTAGTAAAACTTTACAGGCATGAGATGTTACAACATGGTTATTACACATTTATTACTGTTTTTATTATAATTATAATATATACAAAGAAACTGTTTTAGAAAGAAGTTTTTTTGAAACTTTCCACCTATTAATAATTAGGTATCTTATATATAAGAAATAGAATATATAAATGATAAAAAAACAAAGCTCGAACATAATAACAATAATAACAGCATTCTCCTAATCCAGAATTAGTAGATATAAATGCGTGGTAAAAGCCAGCGAACTTCAATTCAACATGAACATACAGTTTTGTTCCCACAATAGTTATGCAGGCAGACTCGCGGAGAGTATTGAAAAATATATAAATAAGAATAATTCTGGAGGAATGAATAACTTAGCGATGTTTCTGTGTAGTCGTGAGGGAAGGGTCTGCACACCACTACTGCAACACAATGACCAATGAAAGCTGGCTCTTTCTGTTCATCTCTCATCCCGTTAATAATATTTTGTTGTTGTAGTACAACACAACCAGCGCCTCACCTCGACAAGTAAGTACACTTAAAAATTTTATATACAGGTTGTCCCATTTTAAATTCCCCAGGCAAATATCTCGAAAAATATGAAAGATACAGAAAAATATTTCAGACAAAAATTGTATGGTTTCAAGGGGGACATAAAACAACTATATCAATTTGTCTACAGATAACGCCACTTTCGAGATATTAACTGATCATTACGTTTCTTAAATGGAAACCCCAATTTCTTATTACATCATCTTTTTCTATCAATAATTTGAATAATTTTTATCTTAAACATTTTTTTATTTACTTAATATCTTTTGAGATATTTAAGGAAAACTGTAACTTTCAATATTTAACTTACGATGTCTCGCTAACCATTTGTCGGAAGAAAAAATAATATTAGACTTTTTTACTCTATTTGATCTCAAGAATATATTGTTACAATAGTGCCCTAACTTTTGTTAACCTATCGACTTTTGGAAATTTCAAAATCCAATTAACAAAAATCAGGATGCTATCGTAACAATATATTCATGAGACTAAATAGAGTAAAAAAGTTTAGTACCATTTTTTCTTTCGACAATAAGTTAGCGAGATATCGTAAGTTAAATATTGAAAAAGTTACCAAGTTTTCCCTAAATATCTCAAAAAATATTAGGCAAATAATAAAATGTTTGAGACAAAAATTGTTCAAATTAATTGATAGAAAAAGGTGATATAATAAAAAATTGGGATTTCCATTTAAGAAAAGTAATGATCAGTGAATATGTCGAAAGTAGTATTATCTGTAGACAAACTGATATAGTTGTTTTATGTTCCCTTTAAAAATATGCAACTTTTGTCTGAAATATTTTTCGAAATCTTACATATTTTTTGAGATATTTGCCTGGGATTTAAAATGGGACACCCTGTATACATTAATGTATTTTGCAGTATTAGTGATACAGTTTGAATTTTACTTGCTCAAAAGTATGTTATTCTGTATATGCAAATATTTTATTTTCAGTGTCCATGTGGTTTTTGGAGAAGTAGTATCTGGGCAAGAAGTCGTTACACACATCGAAGGACTTCCAGTGGATCGTATGTCACGTCCATTACAAGATGCTAAGGTTGTAAACTGTGGAGAATTAATCCTGAAGATAAAAAATAAAGGTAATACTATTTTTTATTGTATTTATTTATATTTATATTTATATTTCAATTATATTCAATTATATTATTTTTATTCTTATTATATATATATATATATATGTGTTTCTTTTATTCATATATATACATATATGTTATACTTATATCCTATATTATTTACATATATACAACATAATTAAGCACTGTATCATATGTATTTACAGTAAAGAAACGTGAAATAAAACAGAGCAGTTCATCGGATTCGGAATCTGATTCTTATGTCGATAAGGTAAAGAAAAAGAAGAAAAATAAGAAGAGGTATGTAAAAGCAGATAATAAGTATAATTGAACTTATAGATTCTGTATAATTTACAGACTAATCATTACTCATCTAATTATATCATATTGTATAAATTATATCGTCGTTACAAATTATATCATGTTATAGTTAAATATTAATTAATTATTAATAGTATAATGATGATTTGCGATTGTTTTAGTAAAAAGAGGACAAAGCCAGAAGATGGTGAAATTCGAGACTCTAATGAAGAAGAAGATAATGGACAACCTCATCCATTAGTATCAGTCACCAAAATTGACCCAGATGAAATACCAGAAGTACCAGCGAATAAATTTTTATATAGAGCGGGACCTACCAATAATGCAAACCAAAAAGAATTTAGACAGCATTACGGTAGAGATCGTATACGGTCTCATAGAAAGGCTGGTCGTATTTTTAAAGGGAGAGGAATATTTGTAAGTTGCTCGCGCGTATAGTTATGATATCCGATTATGTCTACGCAGCACATTAGATACGTATATCTAAACATCTCTCTTTTCTCCATTATCTTTATTTATTTATTATAGAACATTTTATATTTATTATAAAAGATTTAAAAAATAAGGAATATATTGAATAAATTAGAATAAAATTTCAGCGATATCACACGCCCTCTCGAAGTCGTTCCAGAAGTGTAACACCACCTCATTGGAAGCAAGCTCAGAATCGTACTATTAAACTACATGAATTTCAAGTATTACATATTAGACTTATATTATATACACTATATAATATGTATTAACAATATATATATCAAAAGTTCAGGATATATATTGACTTTATGTACATACGCGCGCGCACATATACGCACACTGTAGTTAATATCTTTCAATATTACTTTAAATATTTCTAAATTTAATATATCATATTTAGTAATTTATTAAGATTGTTGAACAAATAGCACAAAATGATTTTTATTAATCATTTCAAATCATATACGAATACCTAAATGCAATGTACACAATTCAAAATGATAAGTTATTCATGACTTTGTGTACTATTTTTATGTAAAACAAGACGTATCGATGACATAAATTAGAAAAAATTTTTAGACAACATTACGGAAGAGATCATGTATGATCTTAGAAAAATCAGTTTACAGCTAAAATTTTCTGAAGTTTTTTATTTACAGAAAGAACATTATTTTCAAAATATTTATTTCAACTGATACTAAATACAGCTTACTTGCATATGTTAGCACAATCTAGGGTAGCACATAAAAATCTATAATATACAATTGTTATAACCTATTAGACCAGTGTGAATTTGCATTGCAGAAAATAGAGAAAGAGCGTATGAAGAAAGAAGAAGAGTTGAAACAACGTGAAACTGATAGAATTAGAAGATTTGGAGAAAATCCCGAAGAGGACAATCAACTTCCGAATAATCTAGATAATATATGCACAACGGAGTTAATGGAGAATAAAGAAAACGATCAAACGGACAAGGCAGTGACTATAAATAAAATATTACAACAACAAGGCGATATTATGAAGAGAAATGCAGAGGGAAATAATATTATTACGCAGAATAAAGAAGAGATTAAATATAATAAGAGTGAAAAATCGGTGAGGCGTGGTGTTAATCGATCTTACAGCGATAGAAGCTCCCGACGTAACTCACAAGACAACAGAAGACGCAGACATTCTCGATCGAAAGATCGCAGACGATCTAAAGAAAGAGACTATGATCGCAGGGGGAATCGTGATAGGAGAAATCGGAGAAATTATTCTCCTCGCAGGCGAGATTTTCATAGAATCAATAAGACCGAAAAGGATCATTATAAGTACTACGATAAACGCAACGATCATAGACGTTCAAATAATTCGAATTCTTATCAGGATAACGATTTTAATTCTCGCTATGACAAGAACAAATACAAAAGAAATGATAATAACGTACCGGATACAATGAATCAACCGAAATTTAAACGTCGTTCGCGTTCAAGCACTTCCAGTAGCCAGCACTCCAAAGATTAATCTCTGTCGCTTCATGTCCTCCCGTTCCCCGCTTTTTATTGAGCACGAGAAATTCTGTATACTATCGATAAAGTCACTTATATTACTAGTTTGCAGATTGATAATACTATAAAGTGGTATATATATAGACCGATTCCCTTTTGATCACTTATTCATGTCTAGTGTGCATTTTTCATCATTGAAATTTACAATAAGATCGATCTACATATAATCTTATAAAAAAGTATCTATATTTCGAATCTTCTCTACCTCTTATACTAAGCTAAAGCTATTCTTGTTGGATTATATTGTGTTTAAGAGAAAAATCTTAAGAATTTTTCTGTATAGATAAAATGTTTCTTAAGAGATTTCTGATATATCAAGGTCTTTTTTAAAATCAGATTTTGAATTTTTGTTGTACTTCTAAATTATAGAAAAAATTTATAAGAATACATTCAGTTAATTATTCAAACAACATTACACTTTATGTAAAATTTTATATGCAAATCTCTTGTATTAATGTATTATGTATAATTGTAATAAATTGTCCTCTCTTATTCATACAATTGCTATGAGTTTACTGTTCCGTTAACAAAATATTTCCTTCATATCTGATAATATAAATCTATTAATATATATAGGGTGATTTAGACCACCCGTATAGCCCTTTTATTTCGGAAATAGAACATTTTAAAGAAAAATGTTTCTGACAAAAGTTATATGGCTGCAAGGGTGACGTAAGATGGTATCATTGGTTTGACCTTAAAGAATTACTATTTCTCATTACATATTCTTGTAGCTTATCTCGAGAGTTTTCCAAAACACTATAACAAAATATTTTTTCATTGAGTACTTTTCGAGTTATGAGGCTCCAAAGCAGTACTTTGCAGTATTTTGACATAAAGTACAAAATATGTTGTACGTTGTTATAGGGTCAAATAAATAGGTATTATTTTAAGGTCAACTTACCTTTTCACTCAAATCTCTGTAGTTATGCATGTTTAAAAAAATTCGGATCATCTTACTTTTAGCGCTATCCAAGAAGAACGATGTGGACGTAGTAGAATTCTGTTCCCTTTGGGATGTAGGTTTAATATGAATAATCCCCTTGCCTCTCAAGTGTGTGCGTGCGTATGCGTGTGTGTATGTGTCTGTACTTAAGTAAGGTAGTGTTCAAAGTGAGCACCAATCTTTTCAATGCAAACGTCTACTCTGTTTTGAAAAGAATTGGTTACTCGAAGAATTTCATTGCTACTTAAAGATTGAATTGCTTCTGTTATTCTGGTAATCATGTCATTCCTTGTAGTTGGACGATTACGGTATAAGTACTGTCTTTTACCCTTCCCCATAAATAATAATCCAGGACAGTAAAATCCGGTGATCGAGGTGGAAAATCGATTGACCCATATTTGCCTATCCGCGTATAGGGAAAAATATTATTATATTATTATTATTACATATTATTATCTCGATGCACGAACCACTACAGCTCTCTTTCAGCAGTTGACGTACCTTGTATTTACAACTATCGCCGCTACGTGGCGCCCGACGGCATTGGCATACTCGGAGTTGAATTAACGACTCGGAGAGGATAAAATGCGAACGTAGCAGTTGGAAAGCATCGCTTCTCGGCTCTCTGAGCTAAGATCAAAGTGTAGTATCTGTTCTTATCAGCTTAATATCTGATACAATCCCCAAAGGGGATTCAGAATATTAAACTGATTTTTGGGACCGGGAGGGCGCCCGGAGCTTGCTCCGCCCCCTCCGCGGGTCGACTGTGCATTGCAGTGCCGTGCAGTCTGGCCCAACAAGCTATTTCAAGAACAATTCTATTTTTCTGGTTTCAAAAAACAGTTTACTCGGGTGCTTTTTATAAAAAAATCGCTACGTCGCGTACTTCTCGGCCTATCTTTGGGTACTTCAAAATCCCGAGTAACTCCGTTGTCCAGGGCTCGCGCGCGTTGCCTCCCGTCGACCGCATGTATAGGAAGAAAACTTGATCTTTGTTCAGGGAAGGCGATTGCCTCGTGCGATTCCGCGTCTGAAATTAATTGTGATAATTACTGTGATTATTAGTGTAAAGTGCCTCTGGGATATACTTACTGATTATATTTACCTGTTGCGCTGATATCCTGGAGGCGAGGAGCGGCGAATATACTGGTTCTGTCGACGGATGTCTGTGGATGGCTGTAAAGGCAGGAAAAATTAATAAAACTTTGTTAACGCTGCGTTGAAATCCGACCGGCGTGCAGTGGAGCTGTAGAATAAATCTGAGAGAAAGTAGCGAAAATTTTCTAAGTCCAGTGACGGGCGGCGTGTCGCTTTCGCACATTGCCCCACTAATAGCCCGTCACTGGCAATAAAATATTAATTATTAATTGTCGTATAGTGTTGGCGAGGCCTGTGGCGGGCACATATACACATTTAATTACATCTTTTATTAATAAAAAGTCCCGCCACAGGCGTTATAAAATACAAAGAGAAGCGGCCGCGCGCCGAGCATAAGTCCCGTGACAGGTGCAACGCTTATATCTCAGTAATTAAGCACATTATCACAGCGTACCTGTCACGGGCAGATAAAACACACTCCACTGCACACGAAACATAGGTCCCGCGGCGGTACCACGGTCGTTCTCTACTTTTTTTTTTTTTTTTTTCGACGTTGCAAACCGCCCGCCGCGGGCCGCCGGTCGGACCTGCCGAGCGCCGTCAGAGGGCCGCTTCTCACACGCGGAATCGACACGCGGGCGAATAATTCATTTTTATTAATTCCGAGTGTGTATGTCGTGTTACTGACTGCCGGAGGTCAGCTTGTGCACGTCCGTCTTCGCTGCCACCGTCGGCGCGCGCTCGCCCGTCGCGCGCGTTTTGTCGCGTCCGCCGCTCGGCCGCGGGGTCGCGAATCGGGACGGGACTTGGCGTCCCGAGTGACGCGTGCCCTCCACTACGCGGAACACCGGTCACTGAGCGCGGCATTGCACCACACGCTGCACCGGGGCCGTTGCGAAGCGGACGAGAGGTGCTCGCTGACGGGCGCCGGCCGTCCCGCGCCGTGACCTTCGCACGCTTGTTTCTCGCCCGGTCGTTCGTGGAACATCACCGCAGGCGGACACTCGGTTAAGGCGAAACCTCCTCCGCGAGGTTCATCGGTCGCGGACGCTCCGCGGCGTTGGGCCGATCGGTGGAGGCGTAGCATACGAGAGCCGTCTCGGTGCCCGCGACCGACGGGGCGAGAAGCTTGTCAAAGCAATTTCTCGCTCTCCGGGTCGCGAACAGAAGCGGCACTCGAGTTGCGGGCGAAGCAACCGTTTCTCCACGTCGTGCATCGGTCGATTGTCGCGGATTGCATTCTCACTCCGCACACTCGTCGATTCACTTCCGGACAGGGTAACCTGTTCGCGGTGCTTCGGGAAGCACGAGCCTAGGCAAAAGGCGTGGGAATCTTACGTCGACGGGCTGAGTCTGGCTAAACACCAGAAGAAATGCCACTCCGACGACACCGTCACCTACAGGTGCTCGGCTTGCGGCTTCTTGGAGACCGGTGGGTAGTTCCTTGAAGTACCTTGAAGTTCGTAAAAAAGCACTACGAGAGCCTGCACGTGACAGGGTCGCCGGCGGTGGTATCTCCGGGGTCGGCCCGTCGGCGTACTCCGCGTCTTACACCGACACTATCACCATCGTCGTCATCGCGGGCGAGCGCGGCGTTGGTGGCGTCAACGTCGCGGGCCGGGAGAACGGCGGCGACGCGTGGGGAGCCGCCGTTCGCCTCGGATGATGCGCGCCGCGCGACGCGGAGTGCGGCAACGCGCAGACAGCCATCCACGAAGGGCACGGCTGCGAGGACGCAGCGCGCGACGCCGTCACCGTCGGCACACACACGCACCACCACACGCATCATAAGAGCATGCACTGCATCGAGGTCGTCGGCAGCGGCAACACCATCGCCACACACAACACCGCCACCACGTGCACAGCCGACGGCCGTCGTGCTGCTGTCGTCGTCGTCGGAGGAGGATGCACCGAACCACTACACATACGAGCGCGTACACCAACCACATACGCGAAGGCCGTCGCGGCGACACCGCGGGCGCGGATAATGTCGACGAGGACATCTTCGTCGGCGGAAGCCCGCGGTGCACATGCGACGACCATTTTGGAGCAGCTGGTGCGGCCGGCCATGACATATGCGAACGCTAGACGCGAAGTCACTAGCGCGGCCGAAGCCTCGCCGCCATTGGCCGCCGCGTTTGAGGATGAGGGCGCCACCTCCCGGATCGGTAAGCTGCGTGAGTGTTTATATTAGTATGCAATTATCATCAGTTCATGACTGAAGTATGACGTCAAAGTGATATAGCATTTTGACGTCAATTAGAAGTCATGTAAATGACCGTATATAAATTGATCATTATCACATATGCTTTCGCTCGGTCGCCGCTCTCAGGTTTCTCTCTGAACTGAGCCGGCTATGAGTGCGTGCGTGGTGGGGGAAATCAGAAAAGAGTCGTGGACATTGACATCGTAGTTCATGTGCACGGTTGTATAGAAAGCGCCTCACACTGGGCTCGGCTAAAAGCGGCTCGTGACCTCTCCTTCTTCTTTCTGCCCATGGCATCTCTCCTTTTTCTTCTCTCTGGTAATACCAGGATGGCCAACCTGGCCGGGCAAGCCTGTCCGGTCGAGGCGCCGTGACCCTCTTTCCCGTAAAATGTTGAGTGAACACGGCACTAGGGCGTGAGGCTCGTGTCAGAACCCTAGGACCGGGATGCCGGAGAGGGAAGGCAGGCGCAGTTCTCCCGGCTCGCCACTTCAGCCCGCTTGGATGCAACCGGGGGGAGGGGGGTGGAAGTTTAGCCGGTAAGGGTCTGGCATAATCCTCATCCATCCCCAAAGGGGCAGAGGTATCCATGAGGATTTTCCCTCGTGACCAAAAAAAAAGTAGCGATAGCAATAATCATTAAGTAATTATAGACAGATAATAGATAATATATGTATTAGTAATTATATAAGTTATATAATAAAATAATTTTTATGATAACCGACACGGTTCCTCGTATTAACAATTGTACTGTTTCAGGCACGCATCTTTTTTGTTACAGCCCTGTGCAAAGCGTACGCCAGAAAGAGATAAATAGAGCTCTCTCTCTTCTTTTACACCTTCCTTGGTCGTGCATGATACTCCATTTTTGCCTTCATTGACACCAAAGATTCTGACAAGGAATTGCGCTACTGTATATACTGTACTCTTACTTCATAGTCTAAACTTTCCAATAATATATAGCCATTCGCGATTATCACTTCGTGCACTTCCCTCATCAGATTTCTCTCTAATAGCACTTCGTGTGTACATGATGGTACGCGGATTAGCTTAAACCGGCCCATGATATCTTTCTCTCTATTGGAAACAGCAAGTATCATTTTTTGGCGAGATGCAAATCGACCTTGTTGCGATCAAACTAGTCCTCTGGTTTGATTTTTCGCGATAATTACGTTATTCAGTTTTATAAAAGAACACTGGTTAATTCAAAATATATAGACTATGGAGTCTGCAATTGGGCATCTCGAACAAAGCGTGAGTATTATTTCATATATGCTACATATTTCCGTAGAAAATTACTCGCGAATTTAGTCGTGACACAAACACTACTGTTGTTTGATATAAATTAAATATTTGATATTTAATAATTGATAAATTGTCACTCGTGTGTAAAATTTGTTGTTTTTACTACGCTTTAGGTTCAGAAAGCTGACGGAAAATTAGATATGATTGCCTGGCAAATTGACGCTTTTGAGAAAGCTTTCGAGGACCCAGAAAACGAGGTAAGATTCCGTATTTACATTACATAATAATAGTTATGATTATACTATATTGAGTGAATATTCTTTTTAGCTGTACTTAATTCAGAATTAATAATAGTTGGTGCTTTAAAGTTTTATAAATTGAAAGTTACATGTGATCTTAATATTAAAATATTAAAGTTTTGATAGTGTTTGAATTATAGGAGATGGAAATTGAAAATTTCATATATTTTAGATTTCATATGCTAAATAAAATGCTAAGTAAAATATGCTAAATGTACTTTGATTCAATTAGTTTTAATTTAACCATTAGTTTAAAAAATGTTTAATGTCAGATATAAAATATTTATAATATGTATAATGCAAGTATATTTTTTTAAACTTCCAATTGGTTTAAATATCTAGCTTAAAGGTTGTTTGCCAAAAATGTAAAATATTTTCATACTGTCTAAAATATGTTGTAAGATATCTTTTTGTAATATGAAAATATGTATTTATTCAACCTTGATTAATATTTATTTTTATAATAATTCTTAATGTAGTCTGTCTTTCAAAATATATAGTATAAATGAGAAAAGAAAGAAATATAAATAAAATATCAAAATATATGCAAAAAATACAACTAAAAAGAATAAATTTGTTGTGTTGTGTAGTTTTTTGTGATAATGTGTCGGATACAGCAATGTTACATGGCGTTCATGAGACTTCCTGCTTAAAACCAGGACTATATCAGTTACTTTTGGCATTAGATGTATTATGAGCAATGTCATATTTGAGAACTTCTTTTATGTGCACTTTATTGTCTATGACATTTCTATATTTTCAATTATCAAACCGCTTTTTATTTTATGCTTCCAACAGATATCTGTGCTTCGCCTATTACATTCTGTCCTTCAAGTAACGAAAGATTATCAGAATCTCCGTCAAGAAATTTTGGAGGTTCAACAGTTACAAAAACAGCTTTCTGACTCACTTAAAGCTCAGCTTACACAGGTGCACGGACATTTTAATTTATTGCGCAATAAGATCGTAGGACACAAATCACCACAGTTGAAGTAAAAGATTTTATCATCTATTTTCCAGAAAGTCATCCATTGTTTCAATAAAATATATGAAAAATTCATGCATAATTTTTGTGATGCAAATTAAAGCTTGATTATAGCCAGAATTATGTTTATTACATTTATAACAAAAAGTTTAGTAAACTGCAACAAATAGTATAGTTGATAACAAAGAAAGAATGAAAGACAAATAAGAAACAAATGCATGGTATATTTTAACATTTTCTTCTGAAAATTTTAATAAAGCTTAATATTGTTTCCGAACATCTAGATCTTTTTAAAATAGAATGTAATCAACAGTTATTATTGATGGATAACTTATTTGACTTATGCCATAAACATGACAATGGGGCCAATTTATGCGCTGGTATATGGAAAGAATTGGATTGCTTTCAGATTTAAAAAAATGCTGTATATAGCTCTTATTATTTGTCACTATTCACTATTTCAAATATATTGATAGATTGCAAACAACATATGTAATAATATTATAACTAATTTTTAAGTAGAATTAAGATTCCAATATTACATTAATTCAATAGTTAGTTCTTAACACACACATATACACATATATATATTATCCTATTGTTAAAAAAGTTATCTATATACATTCTTCTTATATCATTTTGTGGACAATTGAAGATTTCATTCCTTGTATCAATCGATTCGCTTTCTAAGGCACTCAAATTAGGACAAGCTTAGCATGAAATCTTTGTGTATATTTATAACTAGTTTAAGTTAGATATTTATGCTTTTATGACATCGATATTTCGGGAATAATAAGTTTAATATTTTAAAAATCTTAAGTGATATATATGATATTAAAGTATCATGTGATGCGCGCGAACGCGTTTCTTTCTTTCTACATTATATAATATCACTAATAATGTCTACATTATGTATCTACATATTTAGTTAACATAACATGCAACATAGACACGGTTTTTCAAGCTATATACGCGATTAGATAGGTAAAGTTTATTGAGAAAGTGTTTTAGATAAAAATTGTATAATTCATAAGCCATAAGATACTAATATTATTGTGTTATATCGAAATATTTTTTTAAAAACTTTTTCAATACAAATTAATTCTTTTAATTATTTTATGTACAAAAGTATGGAAATAGAATCACATTGCACATATAAAATAAGAAATACTTCCTGAAATATTTTATATTTTATTCTGATACACTACGATATATAAAATATTTCATCAAATATTCCTTTTTTTATCATCTCATTTTAATATATTAGGTGAGCAAAAAAGTTCTGGGCTTTAGATTTCATACATCGAAACCACAATTTAAATTTTACTTATTCTCCCGCTGTTTTGCGGTCTTAAAGCGTTGACATTTAGCCTTTTAAAATGTCATGCGGTTTGGCGTTTGATGCACATAATTTAAAAAATCAGTAGTGTTCATTATGACAATAACGAAACCCAGTGAGAAATGATTCGTCGATCGATGTTGAAACGATGTCGAATCGATATCGAAATCGTCAAATCGATGTCGATTCGACCTCGTTTCGACATCAATCGACGAATCATTTCTCACTGGGAAGAGCATATTTGATTTTCTATTTACTTCATATTTCATCTGTAGAAAAATGCTGCTAAAGCCACTGAAATGATTTGTGTTGCATATGGTGAGAACGCTGTAAGTCATTATACGTGTAAAAGTATCCAAAATTTCGCCAAATAGATTTCAGTCTTGCAGATAAACTGCGTGCTGGACGTCCTCAAAAGATTTAAACGGACGAACTGCAAGCATTGCTGGATATAAACTCTGTACAAACTGAAAAGGAGCTTGTAGAGCAGCTTAGTGTTACGCGGCAAGCCATTTCCGTATGTTTACATACAATGGGAAAGATTCAGAAGGAAAGCAAATGGGTTCCGCATAAACTGTCCGATGACAACAAAAATCGACGCTGTGACACCGCACTCATTTTGCTTTCAAAGTTCCGGAAAAAGGACTTTTTGCACAAAATCATTACAGGTGATGAAAAGTGGATTTTTTATGATAACTCCAAGCGCAAAAAATCATGGATTGACCTTGGTCAACCTTCGATATCGACTAAAGCCCAATATTCACGCTAAGGTTTTGTCCTGCGTTTGGCAGGATTAGAAAGGCGGTGTTGTATTATGAGATATTAAAGCCAGTATAGTGGGACTTTTGTACCAAAAAGTTGGCCAAAATTATTGTTTGACGAATTTCGGTTTAAAACGTGCTATTAATTATATGTATGATCATTATAAAGATTTCGTATAAGTTTTTCATGAAATAAAGTGCAAATATATATGTGAAAATATTTGAATAATTAAGAAAGCATAATATTCCACATCAATAAGTATTCAACTAGATAAACTTCAAATTCATCTAATGAATGTATTCCATCCAAGAAACGTAACAGGGATACACCTTGAAGTATAATTAAAATTTTCGAGTTTGACATCGAGAATGCAAAAAGATACATTATTGAATGCTATTTTCAAAATCGTATATTTACGTGAATAACAATTCAATTGTAATAAATATAGTCTAAAACGTTTCTTCATACCTTCCTCGAAACAATCCATAACGAAAAATTTCGCGCTGCCACTTCTAAGAACTTTAAAATTCTGATTGAAGATCGTATATTATAAAGTGCTGAAAATTGATACGTGCAATACGAATGATGTCCAAATTCCGACTAACCGACCACTTCATGTTACCACAGATGAACAAAAGCATAGCGGCCTATTATTCCGCAGATATTCAACTGTCTAGTCACTCATGTAGAACAGGAATGATTTTAAGAAAATTGAGTTTCGGCCAGTTTTTCAGATCAAACATCCCACAGTGAACCGGGTGAAACAATCACGGCAGACCGTTATCAACAACAATTGACCAATTTGAGCGATGCGTTGGAGGAAAAGAAGCTATTTACTAGCCAAGGATGTCGTAAAATGATCCTGCTTCATGAGAATGCCCGACCACATGTTGCGAAAGCGACTCAGAACCATACTTAGCGTTAGGCTGGGAACTTCTCCCGCATATGGCATATAACCCAGACAGCTCCTTCCGATTACCACCTATTCCGGTTGTTGCATCACTTGGCTGATACACGTTTCGTAATATTTGAAGAGATACGAAAATGCATCGATGACTTTATCGCCTCGAAGCCGATGAGCTTCTATCATCAGAGAATTCGCAAGCTGTCCGAAAGATGGCAAAAGGTCATCGATGCAAACGGGGAATATTTTGCTGATTAATATATTTTTATTTGTTTTTAAATAAAGATTGAATTTTGCAAAAAAAAAAACCCAGAACTTTTTTGCTCATCTAATATCTAATTTATCTAATATCTAATATTTATCTAATATCTAATATTTATACATATAATTTATATATAAATTTATATATAAACAAGTGGAAATGATTTTTATAAAAGAACAAAAACTTTAAAAATATTTCGTTGCATTTTACAGATATTGAAAGAATATCTTTTCTATTTTTTTCGTTAGGATTTTTCTTACATTTATAAACTATTTTATTTGTCAATGCAACGAAAATATTGTAACAATTATATATCTATCTCAACATTTTTATCTGTGAATTTGTACTGCATTTTCATGTAAGTTATTACTATTAAAGCTAATCGATCGATAACGAATAACCCAATAGAATATAATTTCTCGCAGGTAAATTGAATTTTATAATCGTAGGTATATCGTTTGCTGTTGCTTACATGCATGACAGCATTTTGTATTTTAAAAATATTAAATGATTATGTACTCTTATATCTTTAAACATAGATCGATGGTATCGTTGCGGAAAACTCCTCTAAGTCAATAATATTATATTGAGAGAACGGTATTTGTGATACTCAGTGAATCCCGTATTTATTAAAACTGATTTGTATTGCGATTGATCAAGAATATATCTAATCAGTTACAACGAAAAGACAAGAGAGAATATAATTTCGACATTACGCTTATTAATCGTAATGTAAATCGGTCGTTGTGTTTTATCTTATTGCTTTTATCTCTCTAAAATAAGTAGTTACACATTATTATCAGATAATGAGAATGTATATCTTCTTTTGTCAAGTTAAAATTATATGTATCCATTATGTTCTAAAATACTTAATCATTGATAATATCTATAATAATCCGATCAACTATTTTTACTATGCAAGACTTTGTACCTGGAAAACAAAGCAACGTATTTAATTTATTTTCTTTAACTTAAATATTTCCAATTATATTAAAATTGATAAAGTAAAATCAGTCTTTTCCTTTTTGGATATAAATCTATTAAAAATAAATTTTATTTTAATGTATACGTATATTATGATCTACATATACAGGGTGTCTCATAACTAATGTTGTAGAACTCGTGGAAATATAGAGCGGATTAAGACAAACATAAAAGTCCTATGCCGTTTTGCGAGATTCGCAATAATTATAGAATTATTAATGACAGAAATCTGACGAGTGAACGCGCGTCGAAATGGATAATTGGAGAAGCGTTGCAGCCTCTCGGGCCATAGCGCGGCTCAATCGACCTAGCAACTATTGGCGACGGGCGGCGAAATACGTAAAACAACGAATATAGCGGCGCGTTGTCCTTCTCCCTGCCGCGCACTAGCAACAATTTCTCGATCGACTGGGCCGCGCTGTGGGCTGAGCAGCTGCAACGCTTCTCCAGTCATCCATGTCGACGTGCTCCCACTCCTCAGATTTCTTTCATTAATAACTTGATAATTATTATGAATCTTGCAAAATTGTATATTACTTTCCTTTTCAGCTTAACTTAATTTACCTTCCCACTTCAGGTTGGCAGCTAACTACCGGACACCCTATATACATATAATTTATACAATCGCGTAGTTACGGTCCCAGTATAATTATATGAAGATATAAACTGTTGCGAATTTATTTTAATTTGTGTGTATATGTTACTATAATTTATATGTATATTAGAGCTCAGCAAAATCTACATTTTTCGCTTGATTTTCAGCTCGTTCCACTTATCGCTATTCCTCTTGTGTCTTCCCCCTTTCCCCCTCTCCCCACCTTCGGCGCAGCCCACAAGTCGCGCAAGGCTCAGTAACGTATGACGAATGAAAAAAAAATGCATTGACAATAGTACTTCATAGGTGACGTGAAGTTATTGGAAACAAATTCATGCGTCGTATGTTACTTGCGCGGCTCATGGGCCACGCTCGGGGGAAGACGTAAGAGGAACAGCAGTAGGAGGAGTGAGCTGAAAATCGGACGAAATGTATAGATTTTGCTGAGCTCTATTATATATGATATTAAAATGGTTTTTGTGCATAAATTACGTGTTATTATCGTACCAATGAAAGTTATATCAAATTTTCTATTAAAGTAATATTTTATCATCGTTTAATTATATTTTTAATAATTACTAAAGCATTGGTAAACTCAGATATCGTTAATTTATTGTAATCACTTATAAGTAAAGTAAGAAATAATAAATATTAATATTAATGTATTGCATTAATATTATATATAATATAATATATTTATATATTTTATTTTTTATTAATAAACTGTATTATTTTGTCCCTCGCAACTATTTTATATACTATTTTAGATTTCTTACATTTCTTTTTTACAAGTGTTTAGCGATATCTTATATTTCTGTAACATATGTACTTCACTGAAAAGCGAGAGCTACGCGCGCACGCGTGACACAACTTTCATTTGCTTTTTGCCCCACGTTCCCCATCACTGACGTGCTACTTGCATTTTTCCTCCGTCTTTTGTTGTCGTCCGATAATAATCGCTGCTAAGAAACGATCGTGTGGTCAGCC